AAGGCCGTTGCGGCGCAGACGACTACGTGGCGATACGCTAAATACGCTATGCATTACAATTACCGCGGCAGATAAAATATCGTCCGTAAATTACGCGTTTTCGTATTTTTTTTTTTTCTGTTTTTATTTATACGCGAATACTTACGCGTTATTATTGACACGTTTTTTTTTTTTTTTCTGTTTTCGTCTAAACGTCTTATCGAACGCGTTATTGTTGTTCTCGGTTCCTTTTGTTTTAAACGCGCGTGCCTCTATTCGCCGCCACCGCCGCCGCCGTGTACGTACAACACGACGCAGACGTTTCGCGCCGACAACGAAAGCATTTTGTCGTTACGCGGGTCTGTGTCGCCGCGGGAATGCGATAGAAAAACAAAAAAAAAAAAAAAACGAATAAGAAATACTTCGAATCGTTCGGCGCGTAAACAAAATTACACAAAATGTTTGATAATATTCAAAAGAGAGATACGTGATTACGGGTGTTGTGATTATTTTTGAAATATCGCGTGTAATTCGTGCCGCCGCTGCTGTTGTTGCGCGCGCTCGATGCACCGCACACGCTAAGAATATTATTATACGTATACACACGCATTGACCTTGCATCGGCGTACACCGTACAGTCGGAATATTGGCTCCTGTTGGATATTTATTTTTTTTTTTTTTTTACTTCGTTTTTTATACGTATAAATTATTTCTATAGGGTTTCGTGCGTTTGTATTTTTTTTTTGTTTCCTCCTCCTCCTCCTTCTCTTTTCACTCCTCCTCCGACGGCCGGCCGACCAGCCATTCATAATATAATTCTAAAATTATATCCGCGAGCGTTCCTCCTCGGTGGTTCGTCTGCCGCATGCATTATAAATTACGTCAAATCGGCGGCGGCGGCGACTGTTGTCTATATTATTACTATTATATCGATTCGAATAAGATTTGAAACCGTAGAAGTGAAACAATTGGGTCAACGTAAATTAATTTTCACGGTATTCCAGCCGTTTTTCTACGACGCAATGGTCCCGGCCGCCGCGATTCGTTTTCATTGACAAAAAACCAACGACGGCTCAGGGTATTCCGAGTGAAAAACTGCATTACGCGCGCCGCAGTATATTATTATTATGCACACGTTGCAGCGTTCGTCGACGTCGGATAACAATTCTCAATGCCTACGTTGCAACGGTATGGTGTTAATTGCGTTAAAAGAATACCTTTAACGCGCTAACTGTAAACGCCGTACGACATTATCATATTTACATTTGCACGGGCGTAACGATTAATCGTATTATTATCGAGTGTGTAGGTTAGGTTTTGAAACTGTGCACCTGTTGAAAAGTCGCAATCAACGGTCGCCGCGGCGGCGCGCAACGCATCGAATTCATAATTATATTATAGGACGTATTGTTTACATAATAATAATATTAATAATAATTTCATCATTGTAATTTGTGATGCGTGTACGTCTTACGTTTTTGTAGAAAGGCCCGCGCCCGCGTATTATTCATTATTGACGACCTTTGAACGCGGTTCGAACACCACAAAACGCGTTTCCCGTGTAAACAGGTTTGTTTTGTTTTGTTTTTTTTTTTTCTGTAATTTTTTTTACAAATTACCGAAATATCGTCGCGTCGAACAGCGGAGCGTACAGAGCGGACGAAAACAATTATTATCGTTTTATTAAAACGACGCGGGTACCTACGGCGGTGTTTGTTTTTTTTGGGGGGGGAGGGGGGCTGTTGGCCGTAAACGCGACGATTACGATATTATATTGCGTACCCGCCTGCGTGCCCGGCGTTTTAATAACATAGTTTTCGGCAATTAGCGCGACAACCCGTGTAGAACCGTACGGAAACGGGCACCGCGCGTACAATGTTTTACTGTCCGAAAACGCATGCGATGATGTTGACGATCCGCTTCGGCAAAACGATTAACCAAGAGGTCGGATCGTGAAACGCGCGTGAATTATTAAAACCCCGCGTTTCAAAACGGCGAACGGTAAAAAATTCGAATTATGGTTCGAACGGTGCGTGTGTGTGTGTGTATTATTGGGTGTACAATACGACGCGCGATCGGCCCGTACAAATTATTAATCATTATATACATAAGCGTTATCAGACTATAATATTTTAATATAACACTTTGATAATGCCTATCGCGATCGGTAAAAAAAAACCGTTTTGTTTTTATTGCTTTTTATAGGAATACGTTAATTGGGTTTTTTTTTTTTTTTTTATACAATTATTATTTCTCGGTAACGATTTTTTGTTTGTTTGAGATTACAAAAATAACTAAAACCGTACGGTATAACAATATAATCCGCGTGTTTCTAAATTCATTGCCCGATCCGGCGATTGGGAGCTTAGGAACACCGTACATTATCAATATACACTCATTATTGTTTGATATTATACAATAGAACAATCCGTGAATTTTATTTTGTCATTTAACCTCAAACCACATGTAATATGTATTAATTGACTTCAGTTTTTTAGAAATTAAACAATTTTCGAAATTTGTTAAGTAAATCTTTTTCCTATGAATAAAAAAAACATTTGCAAAAAGAAACCAGAAAAACATTTTTGAATGATGATTACCATGGAAAACAATAAAATTACTCATACACATAATACCTTGTACACAAAGTAAACATGCATTGAATGTGGCATACGCCCTTTTACCAAATTAATGTTGATTAATCATATTTCAAAAGGGCGCCTGGATATCCTTTGGTGGACATTACCAACTTAATTTTCCGTATTTAAATATTCTTATTTACCAGTTTATGATCCTATTTTTTCTGATTTTTTTTTTTTTTTTTTTTGATAACGAAAACGTATTTTTCGATTTTTTGGTGGTATTTAACTAAACACTATCGATAATATTCGCACGTATATGGTTCTTAAAGCACTCCGTGGCAAAGCAATCCGCTTGATTGCCTCCACTTCAGCGGATTATAGAAACGTTGACGTTAGGAATTCGCGATCATCTGCTGAATTTAGGAACACACGGATTATAATGCGTATCTGCTATACAACTCCGCGAAAGCCTATATGTTCATTGACGTCCGATTCGGCCCAATAGAGCCCTACTTTCGCCAATATTTCGAAACCCGATCCGGCCTATCGGAGCCTTACACTGTTCTAATTTACGAAAACCCAAACCGTCCCGAACCGACTCGCTTGTCACAAACGTACAGTACATAATATGTGTATAATATCCTCAAAAAAAAAAAAACACGTGTCTCCGATGGTATTCGTGAAGACCCACCCACCCACGTGTATAAAATATATTTATTAATATTTAGTAGTAAATTAGAAAGTATTAAAAAATCCGTAGGAAATTCAACCCGAGCATGTTATAAATTTAATTAGACACCGCCGAATAATTTATATCATGGTACCATGAATACCAGTGGCACACCTGGCCACCGTTGTAGGTGGGAAGTTAGAAATATACGATACCTAAAATTGTTTAGTTTAATAAATATCTGTACACAACGATGAACCGTTGTTAACGAAAAATTATATTCTGAACGAAGCTCGGCCATACACGTTTTGAAATGTCGTAATAATTACAATGTTCGTTAAAATATATTCCCAAAACGTTAACGAAAAAACCACTTTATGACCGTTAAACCTTGTTACATCTCGTTTTTATGAAATCGTCGAGCGTTCCGTGTTTAATCGAACCATGTTGACCTGCACAGAATGCGCGAGAAATAAAAACTACGTAGAAAAAAAAAAAAAAAAACCCGTGCAATCATAAAACGCCTATAAATAAGTGGTTCGAAAATCCATACGATATTTCCGACCGATTTACAATTGAAACCCCGAAAAGACCCGTCCCCGAAACGTCTAGCCGCCCATCGAACGCCGCGTGTGTATATTTTTATGTGGCCGACACTCGGACCGTGTGTACCACGAGATAGTCCGCCGCTGTTAGATTTTTTTATTTTTTTTTATTGTCGACCGATCGCACATTTCTCGTTACGTAATAAAATATTATATAAATAAACGCGTGGGAGACGAGTTGTCAATCAACGTGTGTACGTACGAAAAAAAAAATTGCCCCCCCCCCGGCGTTTTCATAACGCGGGATCAACAAGTCCCCGGTGTCGGACGCGCGCCGACGCCGTACCGTACGTACCGACGTCGGCGTCGTCCACGGCGTAATGGTTTCCAGCTAACACCGTGTCGGGTTTCGTAACCGTGTGTACGATAAATTATTATTATGTACCGTAATAACATTCATAATAATATCGAGTGAAAACGACGGCGTTCTGCGTTCTCCCGGGCGGTTTGGGGTCACAGTCGTCGCCGCGGAGGCGGCTCCGCCGGTACGGCTCCGGCTTCGGCCGTGACCGGCAGTCGGACGAGAGTGAGTGGTCAGGATCTTTGGCCGACGACGACGGCGACGCCGCGCCGCCCAGCAGGGGGATCTCCTTGTACCGGTTTCCCGTGCGCGTGCAGGCCGTTGCCGTTTGCCATCATCGCCGTATTATTTTCCTTTCGCGCGCGTCGCCGCACGCGCAAGAACGCTGTTACACGGCGGCGCGCACACACACGCACACGCACATACACACAAACAAACAAACACACACACACACACACATACACACGGGCATGCACGCGAGAGAGACAAACCGCTCGCGAGTCCCGAGTGTACGCGTTTTTACGTATCGTCCGACCGAACGATCGGCGGCGGCGGCGGCGGCGGCCCCTCCTCGCGCCAACGGAACCCCTCCGCCGCAGGGTCCGTTCGCGGAGAGCGTACGGGAAACGCCCGGCGACCTCCCCTCTCGCCGTTCCCGTTGCCCCTCTCGCCGCCCTCGCGGGACCCGCCGCACCCCGCCCGGCCAAACGCTCCCTCGGACGGACGGCCGGCACCGTTCTCCCCCTCCCGGGCCGCGGAACCGACGACGGCGGTCGACCGCGGCCGACCGGCCGCGACACCGTCGTCGCCTCGATGGCGTTCGGTGCGTGTTACCCCGTCCCCGCGTACAGCTCAGTAGTACACACCGTGCCGTCCGTCACGTAACGTTCGTTGGATATACGCGCGTCGCCGGTCGTCGCCGCCGAGTCGACGATTCCGAATTCACGTGTGTGAAAACCGCCTATTACTTCGGTGTTTTTTTTATTCTTTTTTTCACAGTTTTTCCGGTGTTTTTTTCTGTTTTTTTTTTCTTTTGTTTTTTATTTTTTTCTATATTTAGTGGCTTTTCCGAAGAAGAGCGTTGCGTGCCGACGTTGTTTTGTGCGCGTGCATTGTGTTTTCGTATATTCCGCCGCGCGCCGTGGTGTGATCGAGTTTTACGCCGTTTTCCCGACAAACGTAAGTTGCCTGTTGTACTTAGTTTTATAGTCGTAATATTGTCGAAATCCCAGTAACTGAGGAACAACGCGTTCCCGCACTAATCGGCCGCGATCCGTTTTGGGCGCACGACACTGTACGCCCGCACTTTGGCCCTCCGATAACACCGGATACGCGTCGTTTTTTTTTCGTGAGCACCCGACCAAACCGCCGGTTTTAGATCGCGCGACTCGCGTGGGTTCGTCACGAATTCGGGTCATTTCGGCTCGTAAACGGTGCCCGCCAAGTCTCCCGGTCGAACGTCTTGTATAACGCCGTTGTAAACCGCGGCGAAACCCTTGTGAAAAAAAAAAACTCCGATCGATCTGAAAATCTTCAATTGTTGTTGTTGTTATTGTTGTTAACCGACGACGTCGCGGCGTTCTTCAAGGACGCGGTTACGTGCCTTTTCGTCCTTAATATGTGTTTCGACTACCTGTCGTCGTCGTCGTCGTGGTCGTCTGTTCGTTTTTGTGACGAAACTTCCGGCCCTTACGTGACACACATCTGCGCCGCGCAAGACGTGGGAATTCGTGCCGTGTAGTTTACTGTAATGTGAAATTTCTTAAAAAAAAATCTACCGTAACCGTATAGGTTGTTTACGCGTCACAGGGAACTCCCAACCCCTCCCCTTGTCCTCTCCGACGACCGTGTAAATGTTGTTGGTGATTCATCGTTTTAGCGCGTGTCGATGATTAAGGTGCACGGGTATTCTAAATCTGTTCAAGACGAAACGATTCTAATTGTTCGGGCTTATTTGCGAAATCGATTTGACTTTATTTTGTAATTGTTTTTTTTTTTTTTCATACATCGTTATTGGCGGCTATTGTTGTTTCGTCGAGTAAATCGCTTTATAAGAAGATTATCGCGATCGTCTACAATATCGTGAACGACGGGTTGTTAAAAATGAAAAGAAAAAAACAAAACAAAACGTAAAGTCAATCGTTTAAATTGCAGAGCGGTACGTTTTAATCCGATTAATTAATAAACCCGAACACTATACGGTGGTTCTTTAATGATGCAATTCGAAGCAATACGAGTCAAATATCGGACGTTTAATGGATATTGGAAGTTTAAATCCAACACCCGAAGTCGTACCTAAGTACGTTAATGATTACAATATCGATTGATTTTAGTTTTTCGAGACGAGGAACGTGTAATAGCTTCTTATTTTTTTTTACTTTTGTCGAAAAGTTTAGCTTTTCTGAATGCTGCGGAATAATCCGATATTCGTTCGAAGTACCCAAATACCCTAATATACCCAAGTAGTTACTGAGATTATTGTTTTTATCGATTTAACCGTTTGTAAAAGCAGTACCCGTATTGTATATGATTAAAATTTATGAAAAATTGATTTTCACTTAGGTACCTATGTAATAAAAAAAAACACACATGCACACAAACGGGTATAATATAATCAAATAAAGAAACCTTTGAGTGGCGCGATTTATATTATGCGTTTCCCCTATCGTGCGGCTTATTATATTATTGTCCTTTTTTGTAAGGGAAAAGTTTCTACATTTCGTTTCGATGTTTTTTTTTTTTTATTACCACTTCAATTATTTCGATAAAGATTATTTTGTTTGCATATTACGCGTGATATGCTCTGATATATACAATCGTATTAACCCAATTTCCGTTAATTGTTCTCGTAATTTCTTCATATCATATTTTATCTAATTTATAAGCTACAATAAAACGGGTAGGAATACCTGCGCTTAGCATACTGCAGTTATGCACTCTTTGGCTAGCGCCGATGCAATAGACCGCGCGTCGTGTGTATTAATATTGCAGCGCAAACTTTTTTTTTTTTTTCACGCCGTTTTAACGAACGATTTATGAACGTTCTGTATATTTATAAATATTGAATACTATTGTCCTACTTACCGAATTATCAATTAACAGAAAGAATATTAAAAAAAAAAAAAAAAACGTTCTATATTTTACCATTACGACTCCGGACCTAATCACCTCGAGCCTTGAACTCTCGGCGTATACACGCTGTGTATATTATATACGACGTGTGTATACGTTCTATATTATAATTTCTGCGGGCGTTTCGTCTATTTGGTTTAGATTATAAACGTTATCGGAACGAACGCGTTTCACTGAAAAAATAAGGCTCGCCCGCAATATCCGCAGCGGCCCTTGAAATCGAGTTTACCATGCACGAAAATGCCAGTGTAATAATATTATGCAGGTTATAAAGTCTATACGGTATGTTATTATTATACTATACACGGGTATAGTGTAAGTGATTATTACTATTATTTCTCGATTTATTATTATTATTATTATTTTTTTTTTTTTTTTCATTATTAATATTCATCGAGACGTCGTTTTTATTGAGTACGCGTATTGTGGTGCCGTATAGGTTCGTCAATAAAACGTCTGTCAGTCATAATAATGACAATAATATACAATATAATATTATACCGGGGGAAACGAGGACGAAATAAATAAATAATAAAGAATTGAATTCGCGTTCGAATTGGCGTTTCAACGTCCCAACACGCGCTTGTGTTTGTTAATCGTCGGCGCGATATTATTGTAATAATATAGGTATAGGTGTGCAACTCGCGTTAAACGATTAATCTCGAACGAATTATTGTAAAATTAACACGATAATACCGGGTGTAACGTACTGCAAAACGTTTAATTTTCTCACAGATTATCACCTGTATCACTCGAAACGCCGTCGTCGATATGATGTTTTAAACGGGTTTAATATGTTTTACCTATATACGTTCAATCAGTGACGGGGCGAGGGGGGAGGGTGTTTTGGTGTTCAAACGCCCCTCTTTGACTATATATTTATGCCGAAAATTATAATTTTCACCATATCATGCAGTTATGGTGTAAAAAGAAAACAAACGATTAAAAGCAAATTTGATTAATTTACCCCTTTAAGCAATGCTTGTGGCGGAGTAAATGAGTTACGACGTGTAAATTGTGATTAAAATTTGAAATTTAAATTCTAAAAGAAAAAAAAATCCACTAATACCATAAACTAAACAGAATCAATAAATTTTAAAATAACATTAAATACCTATACTTTTAAATGTATTGTATAGATATAAATATAAGTTTTAAATATCCTAGTATTTTACAATTTTTCTGAAATTTAAACAAATACAATTTTTTATTTTATTCATAACCATTTTTTTAACCTATTAATTAAGTTATACATCAGATTTCTACAAAATATGTTGTGTTACGCATAGATAATTATTAAGTGTATTATACATGTTATGATGTGTGGTTACATTATTCGCGAAATAAAGTTACAAAGTTACATCTAAAAACGAAATACAATCACCCCCCCCCCCCCCCAAAAAAAAAAAAAAAAAAACATCCTGGGTATGCCATTACGTTCGATTAATATTGTCCCGAACATTCGGTCGAGAAGGCCTATTCTATGTATCGGGGTCTGCCTTGTGACTTCCGAGACCCTTAAATAGTCGTTGACCGCTTTCGAAATGGCGTAAACAGCGCGTGTTCAATACGGGTCTGTCTATTTCTTGTAATTTTAGCGATCTGCGCGCCCCTGTAGCACAAGAAAATAATCGTCAGATTGTCTGTGTTGAGCCCCGTATGCGATTTACACGAAAAATGAATTCGGCGTTTCTTGTTGAATTGAAAATCATGCATTCAGCTTAATATCGCGTATTTTCGTTCAAACGATAGTTTATAATAGTTTCTGGGGCTTGGGTCAAAAAAATCCAATGTCACTTTTTGGTGGAAATGAGTTGTATGGCCAATCGTATAAAATTGTATACGCTTTATTTTATATAGTGGCAAAAGGGCGTATCTCAATAATCGTTATTGTGAGATTTAAGAAGACCAATGTGCTTAGAAAAATTACCGTTACCGCAATGTCAAAAATAAAATTCAAAAATGCGTTTTATTCTTAGTTTCTTAAAAGTGATTTATTGACCATTTTTGACCCAAGCCCCAGAATTATATTTGTGTATATATATTTGTTTACCTAAACTATGTTTATTTTGTTGTTTTTATAAGAATCGCGGCGCGTTGTGCCGAGATAAAGATGACCGGTGCCGGATTAGGAATTTTTACGCTCTGCGATAAAAACGCTGCACGTCTTATGCGTGGTGTTCCGTCTTCAAACCCTTTAAAATTCGATACTATTTCTCTCCTATAGTTCTTCCTGTGATACGGAAAAATTAAATTAAAGAAACATCTCTCTGTAAATATAGGTACGTTATGCGAATATATTATAGGTCCATGAAAATTTCACACCCGGAGATAAATCTCCGCTTCTCTCCTTCTCCCAAGTTCCAGTTACTCTGAATGCGGTCTAGACTGGGATTCTGGGAACGGGAACTTGGGAATTTTCAAAAAGATATATCATGGATTCTGGGAAAAATAAACCATAAAAAAAATGAACGACCAAACGAAACACTAAACAATAGTATATATGAATATATTATACTTTATAACGTAATAAATTATGTTCTATGAGACAATTGAAATCGGAATTGATTTTATATAGGTACATTAATTGTTTAATTTAAAAAATATAATTTGTATATTGTAATTGAAATTAGGTACTTAACAACGAATTTTTAATTAGTATATATGCGGTAAACTAAATGGATTTATTAGGAAAATAATAAAATATTACAAGATAAAATAAGAAACGACGAAATTCTCGAAGATCGTTTCGCAAACCGGGATAATAATATTATATCCTCGAATTTCGAAAATACTCGAAATATTCTATATGGAATATAAGCAATATACGGAACTCAATATAATATCAATCTATTAGAATGTCCAATTTAATTATACGGGAACCGTTAAACTCCTATAATATATTATATTTATTATCAATACGCGACGCGAGTTTAATCCTTGTCTCGGAGGAAGTTTTGAGGATCGAAGGAATAAAAATAAAACGCGTACGCCGGGTGCTGCGGCGTAAAACTCATCGCGTATATACTATATTTATAGACACACCGATATTCGAACCTAATGGGATTTTAAATTTGGAGTTTTTTATTTTTTTTTCACCCATTATTTATTCCTTATGGAAAACATACGTGAAAAATCTTAATCGACCTTCCGGTAGTACTGTATACACGCACGTGTCGTTCGAAAACATTTTTAAACGCATCAATATCATCATACACTCAACGGTCCGTCCGTGTCGTTATTATATTACGATACGGTATTCTCATCTGTGTGTTATATTTCATAAATTATTGATTCTTAACGTTTTTAACCCAACTCCTGCACCCCTGGGAGAATTTCGGTCACTCGAGAGCGGTCTTTAAGTTTGGGAGAGAGGGAGGGTGAGTTTTGGTAAAAAATCGAGTTGTTGCTTTTTTTCTTCCCGTCCACGAATCTAGCCGAAAAAGGATTCGGCGTTATTGTCGTTTGGTTATTTTTACGAAACGAATGTATTTGGTCGAACATTATAACTGCAAATAAAGGTGCAGATTCGCGTTTAACTTTTAAACCGGCATCGCAAACTTAGCATCTACTCATCAGGCTCGGAGCGGTCGCCTATAAGAGGAATAACGAAACATTATTTTTTGCAGTTTGTAATTAAGTGGAGTGACGTTAAGCACATCGTTTATACTGTCTCCTTCAAACGAGAATGTTAATTTTGTAATATATATTTACGAAAATGTTTTGGTCGGCGGTATGTTGGGGGGAGGAGAAGCGTCGGCGGTCGGTTATCTCGGTAAGGGGGCGCTGAACCGAAAGAGGTTAAGAACCACTACAGTAGTTATTCGTAATAAACGAACGCGTTTGCTCTGGGCCGTTTTCAAGAACGTCTCCCCGCGAGTCGTAGTGTACACGCTTACAATGTTATTCGAATGACGAATGTAACAATATTATTATTATTAGAATCGAGAACGAGGGTCGAATAAAAGCTAATTGACGGCGCGACTACGACCCAAAGAAGGACCGTGTCGCCGTATATATTATACGCGTACATATAAATAATTTCTTACCGATCTCATTTTATAAATGGGACATATTTGGACGACTATTATTTATTGGTATTGCGAATACTCGTTCTCGATCACTATACGCGCGTCTCATATCGAGTGGGCGTGAATCGGACTTAATTGGGCGGTGCGAAGTTAAAATAGTTTACGTAACTGTCGTTTTCCTTTGATATTATATATTGATACGAATGAAATAATATATCGGTAGGTACTTGTAATATTTTAGACGATTTTCAGGGGCGAGAAAACCTGAAACCGCGGGTACGTGCATTTAAATAAGACTATATAATATGATATTATGAGCGGATACGTAATAGATAAGGATACGAGACCCCCCCCCAAAAAAAAAACGAATAGTTACGAGAGGGTGAAACGTGCGTGGAGGCTCGTGAAAAACAATTTCTTACATAGGTTTTGATATTTTCCGAGGGGGAGAGGGGAGGAGGACACGCGGGAGTAAGGTATAGTAAGTATGTATGTAGTAGGTATGTCGAATACCTTTAAAAATACTTATTTTCGGAATTATTCAATGCTGTAATATTCCGAAGAGTTTTAAAAATTATTTTACGTGTTAAAAGAATAATAATTTTTGTCGATGTCAGTTTAGAGCCTATATAATATATCTCGCGGAAAATACTTTTTCGGTTACCTTGTAAAAATAATCCAATTCTATCACACTCCGACTCTATATGATGCGGTATTTCCACGCGGAGGTACTTGATCGAAAATATTTTTCAAAATTCCCAACGGTTCACCGGCCTTCGCTCTTTATTTTATATTTATTTTTTTTTTATCTCGAGAAGTATTAATTTTCAGTTAGTTCACTCCTTGACAGTGCTGACACCCGTCGTCAGCAGATCAACTTGAATAATTAATCCGAATACTTTTAAAAAGTATTTTACCCAAATCTGAGAACATTTCCCTTTCCTCCTTATTGGGCGCCCACCGCGGTGTATTACAATAACATTTTTGCACAAACCAATCCGATATAATGATGCCGCGTTCAACCAAACAATATACTATAATAACGTACTATTTATTTATTTGATATTCGAACACGATCCGCTATACGAATATTACATTATAAAAAGAATTAAGTATTATTAATATTAAAAAAAAAAAAAAAAACACATTTTTACGCGATATCTTATTAGAAAGCATTAATATAATTATAAATCATTTACGGCTAATACATATTATTATATTGTCGATATCGTGTTGCGCAGACCGAGTGCAAGTATGACGGTTTGAACAACCAAACCTTGTTTATATAATATAGTCTAACCTCTACTCGACTTTATCTGATAAGGAATTATTGTTATTACACGGAAAACAAAATGTATTTATTTGCATTTCACAATTTTATAATAATAATATTGAAAATACGTGTGCCTGATGTGGCTCATTATGAAAACTCGTGTGGGAGGGGGGTCCGGGTGTTCTAAATTACATTACGAATAAAAAATATGAAATGGATACGCGAACCGAAATTATTTTGCGGCTGGCACAGATACATAACACAAATAGATAGCCGATTTGACGATTCAAATTGAAGCCAGGCATCCATATGCGAAAAGGGCAAAATTCGACTGGACTAATCCATGAGATTTTAGACTATTCCGTGGAATATAATATAACAACAACAATTTATGATTAGATATCTATGCCAAAAATAAATGACTTTTAAAATGGTTTTTTTTTTTTTTTTTTTTTCATTAAATGTGTTTCGTTCGATTTATCATATAATCCGCGGAGTAATTAAATATTTCATAGATTAATCGATCGTATTTGGTCCTTTTCACATACGGCTATCAAACTCTATGGGTCTTGCGAGACTTAAACACAGACTTGAGTACCTCGTTGTTATATGCATGTATACATATCTGTGGCGGTTCGATATAAACGCAAAGATAACAAAAAATTTGATAGGCCACTCCTATAACAATTGCAGTATTTGTTGTTGTTGTTGTTTCGGTGTTCCCAGAAGAGCGGTAAACTGAGGCGATTTACTGTCCATAACTATAATATCGATAAAACGCCTCACTTTACCAAACTTGGAGTAACTGTACCCGTTCCTCTTGAAACACGGATGAGATATGGATGGCCTATATCCATATCTTCATAATCTATGTATAAACGTATAGAATTATTGCGAATTGCTTCTCGAAAAACGTCCGAGGAAATAATTATGTAAACAATGGAAAAATGTCTGAAAGTGTTCGTGTAGGGCGTAGGGCGTGTTATTAAAATATTTTATTATATTCACATTTGCGTATTATTTTATGTGGACAAATGGGTGTGCTAATGTATGTGTTTCGTTTGTGTGTTTTACAGGTGTTCGGGAACGGTACACACGACACCGGAAAACGACGGTCCGCGAGCTTTTTGTCGGTGCGTCGTCGTCGTCGTCGTGCGCGCGGTTCGATCGTGAAGTTTATAATAATAATAATAATAATAGTAATATCGTTTACAAGTATTCGGCGCGGTGCGTTGTCCGCGGTACGAAAAATATACGCGACCGTGCGTCGTGCGCGACATGCATCAGCACGGTGATCACGCAGACGACGGTCACGACGAGCCGGGCACCATCGCGAGGTGGTGCGCGTAGCGGCCGAACCGCGGCGTCGAGCAGCACGCCGTGCCCGGCCGCAACAACGGTCCATGCGTGATAACGTGCAGCGATCCGTACGCGGCCGCAATGATGGACCAGAAATGTGACGGCGGCGGTGGTGTCGCTGCTGCTGCTGTCGGCGGCGGCGGCGGCGTCGGCGGTGGCCTGGTGTCGTACAACCGCGGCCGCGGCGGCACCGAAGTCATCATCAAACCCCGTAGCCCCGCGGTAATGGTGTCCGCCGGCGTCGGTTACCACGGCATGCCGACCGTCTCGGACACCGCGGTCACCATGCGCAGCCCCACCGGCGGCCATTTGCCCGCGTCCCAACAGCAACAGGGCGCGCCGTCCCGCAACGGTTGTTCCACCCTGTTCAGCGACATCGCCGGCGTCAAGCGCCTCAGCCACGACGACTGGCTGGCCGTCAACTCGCCGCCCGCCTCGTCGCCCGGCACGTCACACATATCCTACACCGTCATATCGAACGGCGGAGGCAGTGGCGGTTACAACACTTCGCCCATGTCGACCAACAGCTACGACCCGTACAGCCCGGTTGGCGTCAAAATCCGTTAGTAAAAACACTTTTTATTTTCAATTTTTTTTTTTTCTTACTTTCGCTTGTCGCCTGCAGCATATATTTACCTATTACTATATAAGCACATCCTCACACTATCCCCCGAACAGCGGAATACGAATTGTCCGAAACGGGACTCCGATGGATCCGGGGAGAGGGAACAGAAGTTACCTATGTTTAGGTACGTGCGAAATTTAATTTCGGAACGGTTTAAATTAGGCACGTTTTGGTTTTTTATCAACGGTTCGATCCGTTTTGGACGCGTGTAAGCGTTTTACACCGTATTAGTTACCACTGGACGCGCACAAACCGATACTCGACGCGGGTCTGGAAACCGACAAAAATTATCTACAGCCGCTCCGGAATGGGAAAAAAGCGACAAAACAAAATCAGCTTTCGACCGTTTTCAATCCGCGGTAATCGGTTTCGGATATCGAACGAAGTGCGGGCACATTCCGCCCGTTCGTAATTACACCGCCGGACACCGCGTTGTCGCTTGACGCGGTACACTCCGCGCGCGATCTGTACACGGAGATTCTAATTTGCCGTGTTATAATCGTTAGGTTATTAACGTGTGAAATTATCGCGTTTCGGCGAATCCCCGTGTATTGGATATTGTTCACGTGTGCTACACCGCGGCAATATGTTATTGCCGCGTACACCGCGCGTTACGATCGATTACGGCGCGGCGAATAACAACATTTAATACTCTAATAATAATAACCATACTATATACTATTCAACTACAATATTATCGGAACCGAAATTCTGTAAACCTCCAATTGAACCAACAGTCGACAAAATAATCAGCAGTACACTTTGTGCAGTTTTCAAACGGGTTCGCCCATACTTGTCCGCGTTCTGTTTGACCAGACCTTAAATATTATGTCCGTAAATCGCCGCAATAACAGGCGTGTTTCGCAGTTTTGCGCGGCCCGGTCGCCGGATTGACAGCCGCGTTTACCGTTTTCGGTCGCTAATCGCCTGCCGATAAGGGCTATCGTTCAATCGTTCAAATACTATACGGTAAACAAAACGTTTCGGCGAGTGACCTAGGCAAACTGTTCAGGTACGGAAAATCGCATCGCCAACACACACGTAATATATTCAGACGGGTACCCGTCCGGTATTGTTGTTGTTTTGTGTTCTATCCCCTCCCCCCCCCAAAAAATAAGTTGCCCTTCGATTTGCGCGTTACCGTTGAAAAAAACCGGGCGAGCGGATTCGGGGCCGGGGCTAAGTTAAGGGTATACTCGACTGGAAAACGGGTCCTCTCGTTTTTACGTGAATTCGCGTACTGCAGTTATAATTGGAGATGTGACGGATTGAAAATTGCAAATAATCGAACCGAACCAAATACCCGATAGTTCGGTTCGAAAATCATTCGATGGATATTCTGCGCGGTCACCAATACGATGTTCTGTGGTGGGACAGAACGGCCTTGTCAAAAACAAGATAAATTCTATTTTTTTTTTCATTAGTGGGTCTCTTAATCGTAAATTGGTAAAGGTCGTGAAGGTTAAGCTAACCTTTTTACTTTTTTAATTTTCGAATAATTCGCGTTCGGTGAAATATTTTAAAAGTTCGATTCGATCCGGTTCGGCATTAAAAATGATAATCTCTAGTTATAATACACAACGCACGTTCCGCGAACGTTTTACGCGTATGCATTCGTGACGACGACGACACGATTGACACTTTATGTCCGCGATGCCCCTCCCCTTCGCCACCTATTAATCGCGTGTGCGATGTTTCAAAAAGTGTATAACGCACAGATTCGTCCGCTCTTTATACGCTCTCCCCTCCCGCGACACGAAAAAAAAACCATTCGTTAGGAGCGATAATATTAATAACATAATACTTATTGAACGTGTTATAGACTCGCTGTTTTTTTTTTTTTTTTACTATAACCGCGTCTAAATATTCGAGCCGCGAAATAAATACAATTAGCGTTTGTGCGCGTCCGCATGACCTAATTAACAAATCAAACACTCGAAACGTCTCGGCGGCCGTCGCCCGGTTTATTATTGTTACGCGTTTATTTTTTTTTTGTTTTTTTTTTTTTTGTTCGCGTACACTATTCTCTAGGGTATAACGAGTGACGGTGAGGGGATGGGAGGAGAAACCCGCGGGCATAACACGTATGCGTGTTTTTGAATAGGAAAAAAACCTTCGTTTTATATATATGGTTTCGGTTTTTTTTTTTTTATCTTTTCTTTTTTTCCATCGAAACGTATGTTATTGGCGTTAATGTGTTTTTTTTTTCACTACAATTAGAAAAAAAAAACCAACAAGCTCGCCCGCGATATATCGACAATAACAATAATAATATTATATGTTATTATATTTTACTCTAGGCGGGCTATCGAGAAAACCTACTAATAATAAATAAAAAAAACCCGAATTTATTACTAGTTGAAATCGGCCACGCGAGTCCGCGTATTATTAAATTTTTTTTTCTTTTTTACTGACACACACGCGTGCGCGCGCGGGCGCTTTCGTATCTCCCCACTCTCTCTCCCGGAGTAGGTACGGCGGCGGCGTAAAATAATAATTTAACGACCTTGGTACAAAAACCGCCGGGGAATATTATTCACGTCGTCCGCGTTGCGTAATAACAATATCGTATACAGTACTATTATAATGTACCGGCGGCGGCGAGGCGAGAGAAATAATAATTATTATCTTTGAATAGAATGGAAAGACAGAAAAAAAAAAAAAAAAATGAAAAAATATCGGAAAAAAAACGCTAAACGATTATCGCCGTATGTAACAATATCATTATCGGTTTTATTATTTTCGGTACACAATAACGGCCGGGGTCGTGTGCGATGCGATTTTCGACCGCGCGCGCTTTATGATTATTCACGCGTGCGTTGCGCCGCGCGCGAAATATAGGCCAATAAAACGCTCCGCGGGATAGATGGCCGGGCGCGCGCCGTCTTTAATTGGGTTACGGGAAATGTATTCAAAGTTCGGCGGCGGCGGCTCTGTGTGCCAAGACGGTCGGATTTTTTTTTTTTGCTAATTATTAATATTTTTTTTATTTCGTTTTTTTTTTTTTTGTTTTCCACTCGCGCGTTACAAAACAGAACGCGCGCGCGACGAAACGGCGAACCGTGAGGGGGAGGGGGTGGGAGAGTGAGAAGGGGGGCAAAAAAAAAAAAAGGACAGTATCGTGTTCTATTATATTATTATTGTACGGGCCCGCGGGCGACGGCGGCGGCGGTGGGGATTCGTAATTTTGGGACAGACCTTGAGCGCGCGCACACACACACAACACGCACACACACACACGCACGCACGCACGCACGCGGCGCGCACATATCACTCGCGCGCTGATACGAAAACAAATATGTAGGTCATTGAGCCTCAGCGCGCGCGTCTGTGTGTATCTCTCTTTCTTTCTCCGCCGCGCGCACGCCGGCCGCCGACGCCGCCGCGGCGCCCCTGCGCGGCTTCCGTGCCGCGGCGGCGCGGCTCACGGGGCCAACGGTAAAACCGCCGCCGCCGCCGCCGTCGTTGTCGCTTTTATTTCCTCGGACCGACGATAAACGGAACGAAAAAAATACACGCGTACGCCGTGCGTAGTGTGTGCTCGCGGGCGTAACAACAATGTTAACGTCGCGGCGAAGGACGAGGAGCGGGGAAAAAGGACCCACATCCTACCCGCCGGCCACCTGTGCCCGCGCGGCGTCGGCGGCCCGAATACCCGAAGAAAAAAAATACCCCTAACGCGTACCAAACAAAAATAAAAAAAAAATAATAATAATAACAATAATAATATAATTCCGTCGAGGACGCGCAACAATACAAAAAACACGAAAAATAATACGAAAACGGTACGCCCGGACGCGGGCGATGACGGTGAATCCAGAAAACGGGAGTAGCCCACATTGCGTTTCTCGTTCTTTTATAATATCATACATGTTTTCCGCCGCGCCGCGCACGCCGTTGTTATTACACATGTGGGTATATATTATTGTTATTATTGTTGTATTGTACGCCTATACGTGTAATACCGTCTTCGTCATCGTCGTCGGATAACAACAATATAAAGCGTTTTGTACGTAAAATACCTAACGGTACCCACTCTATTTATTTTTGGTTTTTATTTATTTGTTGTGTTGTTTTTTTTTTTTTCTATCTTCCCCGTGCCCGCTCGCCGACGAACAATATCGCCCTTGGGCGGCTTAACCTTGGGCGGCCTCGGGGATACGAGCCGCGGGAACCCGCGGTTGTGGGGGGGACGGGGTGGCGGAGGGGAGCGGGAGAGAAAGAACTCGCGGCCGCCGCCTTTCTCTTTATTGTCGGCGTACCGCGCGTTTTCCATACGGCGGACCGTCTGCTGCGACAACGCAATTATATGGGTTACGATAACGGATTACGGAGCGGCGTGTAACAATATAAATCATTGCCATCGCGTCTTATCGGGTTATTTTTTTTCTGTTAATTATTTAATAACGCGACGACACCGTCTCGCGAATGACTCATATCACATTGTCGCGTTATTGTTATTATTGTTATTGTTACGATTTTATTACAATGTCGTACGCGGTGTACGCGAGAAATTGTGTTTCGAAAAACGACCGCCGAAACGCAACAAGCAGTCGTCGTGTCGCCGCAGCTTTTAATAATATTAATACATTGTACGCGACTTACTTACCGCGTACGCGTGCCGTAAAACGGGTTCGGTGTGATATTGCAACGGGTTATTTCGGTAATTTGTGTTTCGCTGCGCCAAACGAAAAGTAATGCATCGCGGTGACGCGTTTTAACTCGCACCACGAGAATACGCGTGCACGGTGATACCGCGTGTGTGACGTGTTACATCACCCCGGTGGTTGATTTGTGCGGTTCGTATATCGGCCGAAATAATGGCCGACGGTGATGAATTGCCCGTTTCACGAGTGCGGCCGAACGACAGTAACGTTCAAAATGAACGTTCGCAATTGATCGGTCGACCACCTATACGCGTTTTTGTAGTTTTTGCGAGTAAATTCAACGCGATTTAATTACAACTACGCTGTACGTGGTTCGGATCGACAAAAGAAATCGTTAACTATTTATTATTAAAACGTGTTCGGCCGTGGTGTGTTTTTCGCATCGACGCGATTTCCGGGAATACCGGCTGCGGACCGAATTTTTCGAGTCCGCCGGCGATTCCGCGAATGGGAAAAATTCGCGGGTCGTGTAACGCACTGGGCGCAGCCGCGTTTAAACCGAAAACATTATAAATGTGGAAAAAACGCTGGACATTTACCCCGTAGTCCGCGAGCCTTTCTCGCGCCGGGTCCGTAATTATTTACAGCCAGGTATTCGTTTCCGTACCAGAAGCGGGGACCCGACCTTGCCGCCCGGCGGCGAAGGGTTAAATCGCTTAATCGATACGCAAACGAACCGGCCGCCTCCCGCCGTGTAAACGCGAACGTCGCACACGCATATTTATATTGTAATATAGGTACCGATTGAAACAACGGTCGTCGTCGTCGTTTCTTTCGCGAACATATTTAATATCCGTCCCGAAAGCGTCGTTTACACGTCCCCGTCAATAACATTACAATTACGCGGTACCGTTTTACACGCGCGCCGACGTTGCGCATGTTGCGCAAGTTTTCGCCGACGGTCCGCGGTTAACCGTTTTTTTGACGTGTCGAATACGCGCGAAACGTTGACGCGAGCCACTTTTCCTTCTCTCTCCGTCATCGTTTTTATACGGAGACCGCGCGACGTCTGCGGCCGCGCCGCGGTACGAGACCCGTCGCTCGGTTCGTTTCATAATAATTAGTTTTTCTTCCCGTCAGAAACCGCCGACGACGACGTACGTAACGTGTCGGCGAATCGTATTATATACGAAAAACACAGCGACGGTTCCCGCCCCGGAGTTATTGTTCCGCGCGGTTATATACATATTTTTTTTTTTTTAATCGAGCGCGTTTGAAAGTCAATAAAAAACCTATTCGTCTCTAACCATAATTGAACGTCGTCGGTCGGGTCCGCGGGACGCCGCCGCGTATACGCAGAACTCGAATGCGGGTTGATAGATTGTCGTCGGTTTTTTTTTTTTTTTTCCCGTTTCGTTCTCGATAAACCGAATACGGGTCGGTCCGTGTGTTGCGCGCGCCGCGTACACAACAATATCGTTAATTGACGGGATAACGATGTGCCGCCGCGCGTGTACGCGCGCATCGCGATCGGCCGTCGATTATCGTTTTCCGCCGCCCGTTCATATTATTTTCACCGTCCGAGCCGGACCCTCGATTTCTTTTTCTGGGGGGAAGGGGGAGCAAAACCCGCCCGAGTGCGGGCAAAACCGAACGAAAATCGGTATCCGTACGTTTTACCGCGACGCACGGCGGTGTTGTTTTTTTTTTTTTGGGGGGGGGGGGGAAGAGATGACTTTCTCCATGACCCCCTCCTCTGGCCGCCGCCAATATATCTCTGTGCATTTCCCCGTCGCGAGAGCGGTCGTTGTAATAATAATATGCGGGTTACGTCCGTCCGGAGGGTCGCGCTCGCGAGTCAAGGACTTTCGATCGAACGGTCAAACTGTATACGCGTATACGTATAATAGTATGATACACGTCGTGTACGTACGTACGCGCGCGTATAATTCTATTCTTTATATTTATAATTAAAACGTAATAATCGTACGTGCGGTTATGCCGGGCGATAAGGTCGCCGGAAAAAAAAAAAACCAACGGCAAAGGGAAAACGGACGGGGATTTTCTGAATTCAAGGAAACGCGTCCGCGCGGTGAACGGACCGAGACGAAACGAGAAAGACGGTAATCGGCCCAAGGTCGAACGATTTCTTCGGGTCGATGATTTCAGGAAACGCGTGCTTTTATTAATAGCAGTAACAATATTATTATTATTGTTGTTGGGATTCGATTAATGGGCGTTTTACGTAACAGCCGTCGTTATTAATACATACACCGTATGTCGTTTACGCTGGATTTTTTTCTCCGTTTTTGTTTAGATTCCGAGCGGAGACTCTCGGTTTTATCCGCGCAACGTGCGCTAATTTTTTTCCATCGCGTTTTGAATCTAATCGGTGCGCCGGGGTGAGGTGATTCGTCCGGATTTTCCCAGCGGTCTTCCAAATACAAATCGGGAGAAAATTTCCGCACGTAAAACCGGACGGATATTTACGGCACGACTGAATTCGCGTCGTTTTTTCGAAGTATTTCGATTGTCTTTCGGAAGTCTCGAGAGCGTCCGCACAATATTATCGTACTGCGCGACCCTGTGCACATACGGTCTAAAAATCCGATTGAGAAAAAAAAAAAAAAACGTATGTTTTTGTCGTCTTGACGCACGACGATTACATGTACTACCGTACAAGACGCTACACGTATGTAGAGAGATTTTCGCCGCGTCTATTCGTTTTCGGTCGCGTGACTCGCGTTTCGTAACAAACCGACGACGGTATACGCCGAGAAAACAAAACCGGAGAAGCGACAAAAAAAAAAAAATAAAAAATAAATAAATAACCTCGCGAAATTTACGCGCGCGCGGCCCGGTTCACGGTATAGCGGTTATTATATTATTATTAGATAACGGACGACGGACGTGGATGACCGGCGCTCGGGCCGAGTGAAACGCCGCGGTCGCGCGTTCGCAGACGCGCGGCGGCCCGCCGCCGGTATGTGGGTCATCCGGAGTCGAACGCGAAAAAATATAATATTGTATTTATAGAAAGGGAACAGACGTTTCGACCTACACCCCGGGGCCTGGTTAACCAGTCGGGAATTCTTTTTTTTTTACTATTATTATTATTATCAGTATTAATATCCCGTTTGAAAACACAATAATCCGCGGCGGCGATCATCATAATCGCGAGAGAAGTGAAATCTCCGTTCGGCACCGGCCCCTTCCCCCGGCACACCCCTCCGCGGCCCGTCCCGCCCCGCCGCCGCTCACCCAGCCCGGGTTCCGATTTACTATTATACTCTTCTGCCTCGGCGCGCGCATAATATTATTGTACACATGCGGTTTTTTTTTTTTTTATCTTTCATTTTTTATTTTTTCCGTGTCTATGTTCCGTTTGTTATTATTGCGCGTCCGCGCGACATCCGGTCGACGCGGAGACGGTGAAAATAATACCGTCGCCGCGCGTTTTACCCGCCGTTTTTGACGGCAGCGGTATGCGGTTCAATTCGTATTTTCTGTGATATCGTACGGTCTTTGCGCGCGGCTTTCTGGCGGCCCTCGACCATCCGATGTAACATGTGTCCGTGCACTGTCCCGCGAAAATTTTAGTACGACAGTCGCGACATCTCGGACGGTGTTGACTTTCGATTATTTTCTGAACTCTATGCGAAAATTTTACGCGTTTCCGGTACAGTTTGTCGTCCCTATTTTCGCCTAGCCACTTTTGATTCTCGTACGGCGACCCACATTCAAAATGCCCGCGCGAATAGACGACGAGTGTACTTCTTGTTTAGGTACGTTTCGGCGTTGGAGTTTTCGATTTGCCGTTAACAGCGCGCCGACTAGAATATTTCACTTTTGTTTTAGTCAAACGCTTCATTTGTATGCACAGCGCGCGGCTTTTGAACAGCGTTCCGTGCTTCTCTCCCCCTATACGCCGCACACTTAAAAAGTGGATTATTCTCGTCAACGGGTTGAAGAGAAAATTGCAATTACAAAACTACATCAATAACCATAACACTCCGCGTGGCTCATGCGGAACATAATACGTTTTAACCCGTTTTGTTTCTCGTTCGAAATCTTTAAATCAAATGTAAAGGCGACACGGTATAACGCTGTTCACACCGTAGAGCCACTCGCAGTTTCCTAACAATTGTAAACAAAATAACAAAATTACGAAAAAAGCTAACGACGCTTTCCGAGCTATCGCGAGACGACCGTACCATCGTATCTTCGTGGGACACTACGCGGTACTCCCGTATTGTGTTACAATACATTACCAGACCGTCATTGTGTTGTGCGCGTACACGCGTCACGTAATCCGTCGGATAATTTGCCGACCGATCGACGCGCCACTATTATCGTGACGTCTCGTCGATAATCCGATAGTTTTCATTTCGATATCGTCTACGAAAATTAAACGCCCGTCGAATAGCGCCGTGACCGTGTTATTTCGGCTTACCGGCGACGCGCCGTGTCTCTGCAGTATTTTCGTTCGTTTTGTCAAGTGTGTCGCGCGCGTATATTATACAGGACCGTGTTTTGCTCCGGACTCGGCTCGTTTAATAACGTATTCGAAACCTCGCTTTGTGAAATTTTATTGGCGAAAAAAAGTACCGATAAAAAAATAAAAATTAAAAATAGAGAAATGTCTTCCGTTTGTGTATACCTGCGATATGTACGCAATAAACTCCGATAATAATGTAATAATTTATGAAAATTTATTTTCAATCGCGACTCTCCGAATACACCCGATTCCGCCTTATACATATTTCATCGGGCCCAACGACGTCAACAGCCGCCCCGGTCGTATGAATAAAATATTAATATAAAACAATCGCATTGTGCGCGTACGTATGGATAGGTATATAATTATAATAAATCGTATAGCGAAATCCGATTTTTATTAACGTATAATAATAATAATACGACCGTCATCGTCGTTATTATAAAAAGAAAAAAAGAAAAACGGTACAGTTTCTATGCACGCGAAAAAAAGTCGTGGAAATTTTGCGCGATGTGGGAGGGGGGAGGTCGGAATTCCGGATAATATTTCCGGAAAATAACGATGGATTTCGCGGATACGTGGGTAGAAGTATATTACAACATGTGCTGTGACATTTCAATTTCCAGTAATCCGTGTGTGAATTAACTCGCTAAATTATTGTATTTTGTTATTTGCGCGCAGTCTGCGCGTTAAGTTTAAACGATATACCTTGGTGCGCATATTGAACGCTCGCATTGAATAAGGCCAGTCGATAGTGTTAAATTTTTCAATCTCGGGGCAACATTCGAGGTCCAGCGGCCGACACCGGTTCGAGGCGTGTAAAACGAATAATTGTATTTTGATGTCGCTCGTGTGTATACAGAACAATATAAGCCGCCCCCGCAGTGCCCCGCGTTTTAATAGAACGGTCGCACACGTGCCGTGTACGTATTGTAATACGGTGTTACGAACGAGTGAAAATCAATTTCGTCAAAAATACACGTTTAAAAGTTGTTCGTTTTGTTCGTTTTTTTTTTGTTCACACACACACACACACACACGCACGTCGACGGGTGTCGTAGTGGTGTAGACGGTGTACGATTATCATTATTATAGAACGAGTCCGGTGTTTTCTAAAATTAAAATTTCTACGACCCGACTATAAATATATAAATATAATAATATAATGTGTGTGTGTGTGTACAGACTGTTGTGCACATATTACACACCGGCATATACGACGTGCCAGGCGGTAGGTTCCAGTCTAGTTGGAAGGGAGGGGAATACACTATATAGGCGTGTGTGCCAGAGAGGGAACGAGGCAAGAGATAGACGGAGAGAAAGAAAGAGAGAGAAATTTTTCACTTTTCGAACGAGGGCACGGCACAGAAACGGTCGGTCGCCGCCGCGCGAAACAATATTTATTTTTTTTTTATACTTTCACTATATAACTATTATTATTATTATTATATTATACACACGAGTTCCAATAACGTTCGTTCGTCCATTATAATATTATAGTTAAAATACCACCACTGCGATATATATGTGCGTGCTTGCGAGTGCGTACAACACACGTGCGATTGATAATAATAACAATTTTTTTATTATTACTGAAAACGTTCGTGGCGGGGGAAACGAGCGAAAGACGTTTTAATTCGGTCCATGGGGAGTGACGATCGCTTCGTCGTCCCTCCACCACGACGAGTAAAACAGGACACACTGTCCCGGTAAACGGTTAAAAAATATCGAATTTCGGGTACCGAATGTAAAACGAGAAAAAAGCCCAAAAATACGAATCTGCACAAAACGTGTTGTACCGTATCGAAACGTTTGTAAACAAATCGCGATTACGGATTTTAGGGACGTTTCAAGGCCGCGCGCTCGCGTGCGTATACGATTAAAACGGTGTATACAATTATACACGGGGGAGCGAAAATCCGCAGAGAAAGCATCAAGCAGCTGTGTATTACAATACCTCCTGTACGATAATATAATAGTAATAATATGAGCAGGAACCGTCGTCAAAAGCGTGGTCGACATTTGTATTATATTATTTTTTATGTACATAATAGGTGTACCGAAAAATAATTTTACACCCGTCGGTTAATCGCCCGGATGTATATGATATTATAAAACACAAACAATGATAACGAAAACAGTGATACGAAAGACGCGCTTGTAGTTGTTGCACAGGCCGTTCGTTCGGGGGAATATACCCGAGTGGCGTATTTACAAACGCCGCACCGAAACGTAACCGCGTGGGTACCGGGAGGTGTTGGGAAAGTATTCGAAACATTATGCGTGTATGAGTACATAAGACAAAACGAGAGAAAAATAGACGGAGATGTTTGTATACGGATTTGTAATCACAAAATATTAATTTTGTATTTTGTATGCACACTCTCGAACCCGATAAAATTCGTTTTCTGACTGCGTGATTGATGTTCACGCGGTTTTCGCGAGGTATCCGGTCGGTGTACAAATGAAAATTGTATGGTTACTGACCTGTGCGAACGATATAACAATCGTTGGTGTGTGGTTTTCGAGTCCACAAGTTCAATATTAAAAAATGCGGGTGCCGGCGCGACGTTTAGAAAACAATAAGAAAATGAATCCTGTACGGGGTTCGGGTAGGATGTACAAATAACAATCTTGTGATTACAAATCTGTATGAAAATCGTGTCGGTGCGGTTATTAAGTCGAAATTCCAATATGCGGGCACCGGCGTGACGAAACCCAATAATCGAAAATAAACGTAAGGGGGTGGGGGGGAAATGAAGCCCGAAAACGAGGCGGTTCGAAGACGGGTTGAGGACGGCGGGTGTGTGGTGTACGCGACGACGACGTATGGGCGATTGACCACGAATAGTCGGGACAAAGGCGGAGGAGATGAGCAAAAGACGCTTCCCGTTCGTCGGTCCGAACCCGGTATTGTCACAGTTACAGTTCGGGGTTGTGTAGCCGCAGCGAGCGGCCCCCGGGTGTAAACCCCCGCGTGTTTATACACCCGCTCGGGGCCGAACACGGACGCGTTACACGGGGTCTGTAAATACGCGCCCGAGCGGACGGCGCTATTATTTTTTTATATTATTTTGTTTTTTTTTCACCGTAGTAGTTTTTCGACCACGCGATCGGCCGTTTACCCGTTGCACGACGCACGTGAATCCCCCGTCGAATCGATACAGTGCGCGTACACACGGACGACCGCGTTAATAACATACCGCGAGTATCGGACGGTAAAACACCACTAGTACATCGCACAGAATTATTACATTATCGGCGCCTTCGATTCTATATGTACATAATGTACCGCTTGTTCGACAGTGAATATGTTATCCAGTCTTTTGTCCGCGAGTCCTTCGCGCGTTGTCCGATTAAGAGAAAAAATAATAAAAAAAATTAGAATCTCGCGTCGAGCATATTTGTACGGTTTTGTTTTCACCGGTTTCGGCTCCGACGGCGGCGTGTACCGTAACGCGGCCTCCGCCGCCGCCGACTGACGAACACAAAAGAGAAAATATTTCGGCGAATTAATTGTTATTAAATTGATTTCTCGTACTTCCACCCTCCTCCACCTCTCCCCCCCCGTCTGTAAACAATAATTTTTCTACCAGAAATCTCTCTCCGATTCGAATACTTTATAGAAAAATTTTGCGTAGTCGCAGTTTCGATTCGGGTCGGCGCATTGGCGAAGTCATTTTTCGATTTTTCTAGGTAATGTTTTCGCAATTGATCGATCAAAAACTGACAATTTATCGTACAATATTCTCATATTGATTTCTGGGTTACCTTGACTGGCGGGGAAAATATACGCATGTAATCATTTACCCTGCTCAGATTCGTTATTCGTTAGCAACGTTTTTATGTATTGAATTATTCTGTGCAATATCCTCCCTTTCCCTCCGAAAACGGTGGCACACTCGTCGGTAGCAGATTATACGATATTATTTTATTCCGCGATAAAAATTATGTACCGCACTGCACGACCGGTAGGTTTAACCCGCAGCGAACGCGGTAAAACGGTTACATTATACAGCTAAAGATGTTAAAAGTGATTGAATTACGAAAAATTAAAATACGCTCATAAGTTATAATATTATATCGAGCCCCTATCTATGGCATTATTAGAAACAAAAAAAATTAAAAAAATACTATACGCGTCGTCAATTTAATAGCCCGAGGCCCGTTTACTATAATACCTATATTGTAGATTTTTTAATGAGCTGTGTGCGTTATAGTGTTCGGTTATTAAATTAGAAAAAAAAAAAAAAAACAAAACAAAAATCTAGCCCAACAACAATAAACTGCACGAGGTGACGTATTGTTTCGAGTGTGGTCGCGTGCGTGCGCCGCCGTTTAAAAAAAAAATTTAATAAAAAAAAAAAAATCAAAAAAATCGCGATTGCACCGTTTTCGTGCGGCGTAGGTATTATTGTTGTAAATACTCTACGTTATTATGTTCCTCTAATCGGCGGAAAATGACGTTGTTCGTACGGTTTGCGATAAAAATGTATTAACGCCGAACAGAAAAATCGGACTTGACACGTAATAATAATATGCGTGCGTTTCGTTCGGTTATTATTATTATTTTTTTTTCTCGTAATCCGCGGCGTTCGAATATAAAAAAAAATAATATCGTTACGATATTATATTGTCCAGTCGTCGTTTGTTATAAATAAATGCGTATATTGGTTGTCGGCAACATAATAATTATTCGGTCGGTCGGGACCGATTAAAAAAAAAAAATTATTGACACGCATAAAACAGAATGATTCCGTTTTCCTTCGTCCCGCCGGCTAGGGTGCGTAAACGATTTCCCGCTAATTATTATTTTTTCAAATCGAATTTCTTCGCGCGATCACACCCGGCTAGAGCTGTTCTTTTAACTTGTTATTATCGCCAATGGCCGTGCCTTGTCGACGTGAATCTGGCGAACCATACGTGTGCGTATGCATAATAAAACGGTAAAATTATTATTTTACAGTATACGGCAGCTACGGGCGATATCGTAGCGATGTCCGTCGTATTTTGTACGAATCCGCGACGTCGAAGATCGATTGTGGATATCGCGAACTACGCGACGGCCCGGGTTTTCGCACGGTTTATTCGTTTACCGTTGCACGATTATCGCGGACGTGACCGGCGATTGCCGATTTTACCGTCGAGACGGAGGTTAGAGATAAGACCGTGATTTATTCCGGTCCGACGGTATTGCGCAGCGGGGGGGGGGTGAGTGTCGACGTACCCGTGATAACGAAACGGACATTTGTTTTTCCATCGAAACGCCGCCACCGTTTCGGAAATTTCCGGCCATCCGCCCTGAGACGATCGGACATTTGTCCCCGGCGTTTCGAGCGCCGGGCCGGGGTCGCTCTTGCCGCGGCCACCGAAAATATTATTGTTATTGTTTAGAGTTCACCCGCGCCGTCGACGGAATTCTGTTCCCGACGTAACGGGCCAATTCCATAACAACGCGTCGCAATGTACCCGCAATGTTCCCGATACGCGGGCCGGTAATTAATTTAGTGCGGCCACGCTGGTTTCCATCGCGTCCTCTATCGTTAATTAACCGCCGCCGGGATCGTGATATTACTGTTGTGAGCGCCACCGGGTTGTGTCGGAACCGGGCGGGAACGAATATTCACGGTAAATCGTATGAAATTTTTACCGTACACGATATAATTGTTGGGTATTTTTGGAAATTTTTTTTTTTTTTACGCGGACAAGTCGAACATAATTTATCGCGTTAGAAACTGTCGAGATCTCGCGTGTGGGTACGGCGGTAATAATTATTAAACCGCGTCGCCGTACCCGTGATTATACGAAACGAACGTAAACGTTTCTCCGCCGTACGATCCGTCCGATTTCCCAAAACACGTGATCGAACACTGCAATAATATCGCCGCGTGCATTTCGTTTGGTTCGCGGTGTTTTTTCCTATGTTCCGTACAGTCATACGTGTCCGGGGCCGTAGCTTTGCAAGACCGAGAGCTTGTCTTGAACAAGGAAACAAAATCCGGAATTCATTCGTAAAAAAAAAAATATATATATATATAATAAAAACACGAAATTTTTCACGAAAATGAGTACCTAACGGCAAAAACCAAAATTTTGTGCAATGCGAAATGTCAGGTGTGCCGTCCGAAATTAAATATGGGGAACGACTGTATTGTGATATTTATTTGTATTCGTTTTTAATTTTACATTTTTTCGTATCACTTTTAACATTAGCGTATTATGAGTGAAGACAAATTCTATAAAATGTATCTTTATTAAAAATTTCAATAACAACAAGTTGACTCGTAAAACATTGTCAATTATCACATATTATTTCAAATACGATGGAGGTACTTTGATTATCGATGTTTAATTCCTAGGTAAGGTAATACGTCGTTATTAAACAAAGAATCAAAACTGATTATATTTGTAATTATTAATATGTATTGTATTCATGGTGGTTAGATTGTATTAGTTATGCATTTATAAAATTGTTTTTGAATTAATTTACGTGTAAAAAAAAAATATACTAATTTAGCCCCTCTGAGAAAATCGTAAAATAACGTCTTTACGGTAGATACTATATTTTTTAGAATCTAATCTTTAAATAGTAAACAGAAAATTAGCTATTTATTTCATATTTTATATAAATAATACACAGAGGAAAATGTAAATTACTTGGGTATTTGATTACTCTTTTTTTTTTTTTTTTTTGGTAACGATTATTATCTATGCGTTGGTGTGCTGGTCAAAAATAATAAAAAATTGAAATGATTCCATTTCTGGGGAAAGAGGCGATGATACCTATGGTATATTACGGTTTGGTATAAAGCGTACGAAAAAGTATACATTTTAGCCTCTGCGGCTACCGGGGTGACCAGATAGGCTACAAGAGCGAGCATTTTCGTGTGGTCGGATGCGCCGAAAAGCCTTAATTGTTACAAAGTACACCGAAAACGTTTTAGACCAGTAACCTTCGTCGGGTTTCTCTTGCGTAATTGCCCCCCTCAATATTCTCCGCGATTTAAAATTGTCGTGTTATTCATCGTAGAAATTCCAACGTTATTTTTTATTGTGCGTATTTTTCATTGCGCGTTGTTATCGAAATACGAGAGACACTTTCGTCGTGAATAATACGAAATATCTTTTACGTAGGTACTCTCATCGACGAGTTTTATCATTTTTTACGGAATGTCACATAAAATCTCCAATCGTGGTTTAAAACAATGGTGGTGACGAGACCGACGTCAAACTCACAGCGAAATGCCAGCGCATTTCTGGTAAAATGATAAAAAAAAAAAAAAACAATTTTAAAAATACATGTGTACAACCATGATTTGTTTATCCGATCTACAGAGTTGAACAAATTATAAAGAAAAACTGCTTGAAAAGAGTCTGGATTACTGTTTGCGGACGGACAAGAACGGAAAACCACTAAAGTCGTTCAACTAATATTTAACGAGTTAAAGGGAATAAATAACGGTTGTCACGACGGTGCTGTTTTGGTTTCTTTGGGGATTATTGTTTGTAAACACACGATTGAATCGATACGAGCAAAAGGGACGCTAAAAGACGAGCTACTTGCTGGTTTATTGACGTCCGTGCCGCCGCCGGCTATTATTTTGGCCGCATCGATCTGCCATCTGGCGGACGAGCTCGGCGTTCTCGTCAAGCCATCCGGCCGGTAGATAGCAGTACTATTTACGACTATACCGTAATGATAATATTTAGACCCATCATCGAACCGCGTTTTTCCGCGACGGGCATTATCGATTTCTCCAATACTAAGCCAGAACGATTTTCCAACCAAATTAAACCGTCGTTCTCTTATCTTCGTATAAATTTTAATATTATGCATCGCGGCCTGCGATCGCTCGTCGATTACCTACGAGAATCGGGAAATCGATCGAGCAAAATGATTACCGTTCGTACATGTTCCGGGTCTACAAAATGTGTGTAACCACTAAGGCGCACTAACTCCAACATTGTCCGCTAGAGGCATCGGCACATCATCGAAACAAAACGACGACGACGGCGCATCGGTAAACCGTGTGTACATTGAAAATTGGCCGACAAAAATTCCTCGTGTCGTTTGGCCGTCGGTCGTTTCGGGGTCTGAAAAGATCCGAAGTCTAACGAAATAACGACAATTCCCTGCGGGGCGAACAGTCGGGTACCTACTGCGTGTTATTGTAATAAAATATTTTGCTTTGACGAGTTTGTTTTCTTTACGCCCGTGTCCGCGGGACTTTGGCGTCGGAAACGTGCGTTTTTACACACCTAATGTCATCATTCCGGGAAAATGTGATTCGTACATCCGACGGGCTCCGGAGTCCAGAGGCGTGTTCGCACTTTTAGATGGCCCCGGGGTACTGCGCTTTAGGCGGCCCGATCACAACCGTATTTTCGGCGACGGGCGAGATAAACAAAAAAAAGTACCGCCTCTTTCAGCCGTGGTTTTTTTTTTGCCTGTAAAGAGGTCCTGGAGAATTCGGAGTCCGCCGACACTCGGTTGTCTGCGAACGTCTATAAGGTTTTCCCCGCTGCCGCCGGACCGTATTCCAAGCGTTAGCCGTCTGACGATTACACGCGGTTACGTTATATTTATTATTATTATTATTTTTTTTTATTGCCGTTTTACTCTCGTATTATGTACCCACGTACCTATAATATATTTATTATTATAATGATAATACTAAACTCGTGTACGGTCTACGTGATTGCGTCCGGCCGATTTTCACCATATGTCTTCTCGATAAATTATTATTGAAAACTATTCACAGGTACATCGGCGCGTACTACGCACGCGCGTTTTATTATATACATTACAATGGTGGCCGGTGCGTATATTATACGTATCCGCCGCCTATACTGCATATGCGTGTATATGCGATGTTTTGGGCCGAGTCCAATCAACCTGTCAATCCGTGACGACCGAAACCGATTTTTTTTTTTTTCTCTCCGTTCTGAAGAAAGCAAAACCCTCCCGGTCCGGTCCCCCTCCGTCTTCCCGCAACCACCACCACCACCACCAACACGTTCCCCTCGCTCGCCCCGTCGCCGTCCGACGGGACACGAAATTATTGTCATCGTCATCGCCATCACGGTTACACGGGTTTACAACAACAACAACAACAACAACAACATTGATTTTCCACCAGATTACCTATTATCTACTTTTTTTTTTTTCCAGAATCATTTTCCCGGTCGGTTTTTTTCATTTTCAAGGACACCTTTTCCCGTGGAAATCTACTGCGCAGGCGTTTCCGCCGTCGTTCCGCGAACGCACGCGCGTATTATTGTATACGACACGCGGCCCGCGTTATTATTTCGTTATTTGCGGCGGTCTTTAAATATTAAACAATATAAAATACAATATTCTGTGCGTGTAATGTAATGTCTCGTAAAAACAAAATCGCTTTTCTCACGTTCCGCACGTCATTGTTATTATATGCGCTCGTGTGCCTATAATATTATATTGTACGGGACGGACGGGATGATAATAATAATAATGCGCGGACCGATAAAACGTACGTTATATTTACGGACCGTAATACTATGTGTTTGCGACGTCAATTAGGCATTATTGAAAAAAAAAAAAAAAGAAAAAAAGAAATGAACGTCAACAATCAGTATAATATACAGTACAGTCCGCCGCGTTCGTTAATAACGTTTTTAAAACGTATTGTTTTTCGACTAAACGGCGGGGGGGATGGGGTGTTACTGTTTGTTTTCTGGCCGCCGCGACCCGACGGCGATTCGTATCCGCCGTCCGCGTTTCGGAATCGAGTCGAATAAAACATTACAACGATACAATTGCGCCCGGCCGTGTTCGCCGGCCGTGACGGTGTGAAAAATGGCGGTCAAGAGAACACGCCGCGGAGCGGGGCCGCGTCGTCGTAGGGGAAATCGCGTCAAAAAGCAAACGGGAAAAAAAAAAAAAATCGCGAAAAAACCCGCGCGCGACCTTGCGACCGATAACAACGCGCGACGAACCGTCCGCCCGCAAACGCGAAAATCTCCGCGCGGGCGGCGCGTACCATATTAATCACAATAATATCGTATATTGCGCACGGAGGCTCGCGTAAAGTGGGAGGTTAGGGGCCCCTTATCGGCTTGAAAATACGAAAAAAAAAAAAAATAATACGAGTAATGATTAACATCGAAATGTTATGTGTTTCAGCCGAGTTACGAAGAAAACGCTTGATGCGTATTGATAAGAAATTGTATTTGTTTTAGGATCCGACTTTTAAACTATACCAACTATACCGTAGTCGAGTGGAGGGAGTAGAGAAGAGAATTTTACGATTTATGCACGATTCTTATTTGTTATATCACTTCCCATTGATATAATTAAATATAATAATATATAATACAAATATATTTTTAAAAAATGCACGGCGACATAATCGTCGTTATTTTTGCTGCCCGCGCAGGTTTGACATATTTTATATTATTATTTTTTTGCATTATTTTGCGTACTTTTTTTTTTTTCTGTTTTTAGGGAAAATTTTTGCTAATGTGAACAATGATTTATTTTGTATTTTTTTATAAATAGCAGAAAAATAATCTGTCATTTACGTGAATCCGCCCAATATGAAAAGTATCTACAATTTCGTTTCGTATCGTAATCGATTTTTAAGCAGTCCGGCGTATTGACTCGTCGAACATTCTATGATTTCTTGTCGGTCGCATATATACGTATATATTCGACCGATAAAAAATATATTTCAAAATATAAACACACTTTCTTTTTTGCCTTTTTTTTTACGGCGTATATTATCGCGTTCGTTTTAAGATTCCTCAAGTCTATACGTATTATAGAACGTATTTCAATTATTCGTAGCGCTACAAAATCCGAATCCTGGTAATAAGGATAATAATAATAACAATATCGTATTCTATAATAATTCATTGTTGTTACATACCGTCGTCGGAGACTGCGCGCGTTCAATGACTTTGGGACGCAGGGCGAGTTTATCTCTGTCTCTCTCTCTCTGTCTCTCTTTCTCTCTCTCTGCAGTATGTGTCAGGTGTCCGTGGCGGTCTGTCTGTCTCTCCGCGGACCAAAAACGAAAAATCTGCCCGGAGGCGAGTGCACACCGCGCACACCGATCTCGACCCCGTACGCCTACCTACGTATACGGTTTTTTTTTTTCTATCGACCAAAACAATAATAATAATATTGTATACGTCGTTTCTCCGGACAATGGCGCCGGGACCGGGGGCAGCACACACGTCACGTATAGGTGGCCGATAACGGATCCGTTTTTTTTTTTTTTTTTCTAGTCAATGTACATTGTACATACCTGTATGCGTGTATAATATACATATGTATATTATTATTATTACTACGCTGTCTCAATACACGGGCTAGGGTTGATCCGGAGTGTGTGTCTTTCCGGAGGCGGCCGGTGAACAACCTAAAAATTCCGAATATAACCGTAACACGTTATGTCGCCTATCGTGCCGTCGTGTATTTGTTTAAAAAAACGCTCGCTTAAATTTTTAACGAGCGCTCCGTGTATAATAGTACAATAATTATTATATCTCCGCGCCTGTGCGTATAAAATATTGTAGGTGAACTGATAAACCGCAGGTCGTCAGAGACGTATTATAATATATTTTTTAATCGACGGACGATTTTATCATGTTTTGTTTTCAGTTTTTCACACAGTGACCGCGAGTCGCGACGGTCGGATCCGTGGATAATAAACACTCGGATAAGCTTTAGTTTTTATTTCTTCAACGACAAAAAAACTAAAGCCATTGTTTTTCTAAACATGACACATTATAATAATATGTAGCCAGTTATAAGTTTAGAAAAAAAAAAAAAACACCGAGTTTAATCCTTAAACATTGTAATGTCTTGACTGAATGGCTGTCTTGAGCGTAGATCAAAAAGATTAGTTCCAGATAGTAACGGCGGGAACGATAACAAATCTTATCGAAAATCACCGGGAGCGCTCTGATAATTGGCCTCGGTCGGCCGCCGTGCCGGGGACCGAGCCACTCTTGAGAACAGTATGAACGTGCCCCGTCCGTGTCTCGTCTTATGATATTGACGATTTAATTTTTCGGCGATTTTAACAGCGCGTACGCATTTAGCAGACGTGAAATAATGTCGTTTCCGAACGGAACGTCAACGCCGCGGTCGCATGAAGGTTATAATGTCGCGTATAATATACGCCCGTAGTGGTGGAGCGGACGGTCGTCGTTGTCGCAGTTTGGCGGCGGAGGTCGGGAAAAGGATTCGTAAAAAAAAAAAAAAAAACTAGAAAAAAAAAACTGCCACGTTGCTATCGATCAAAGTATCTCATAATATTACAACAATGCCAGCGGGAGTTACGTGTGCGTATATATATATATATGTATTATTATATAGGTATATACATAATATTAAGTATATTGTTATTATTATCATTATTATTATTATTACGACGTTAACGCATCCGTGACAAGCAAACAGAAGATGGAAATAAAAAAAAAAAATCACGGCGGCGCAAAAAAACCCATCGACGACGCGTAAAACGTTGCCAACGAATATTATAACGCAGGTATATATAGGTAGGTAGGTAGATAGGTAGGTAGGTACACGATATTGTATACCGGGAGGTAGGTGTATACGGGCGAGCGGAGCGAGGAACAAACAAAATGATTATAAAAAAAAAAAAAAAAAAAAAAAAACGGTCCTGCCGCAGAGCCGCGCGCGGTATACGACGCGATCGAAAATCCCAAATTCCTCATCTACTACCACAGAGATAAACCGCGTATGCCACAGAGTCGTTATCTTATCCGGCATTGACCGTACGCGCACGAGAATAATATTGACATCCCGTTGCGCTATGAGATCTGCGGTCTAAGGTCGCTTCTCGATTTTGTTTAAGATTTACGGGTGAGTTGGGTGCTCAATATGAAAATAATTATAAATATCAGTAACTGTTTAATACCCGTTTGGTAAAAATAAGCGAACATATTGCGATATATTGGGAATATTGGTGGGTGGATATTGGTTGGACTGTATAAGTTACTTCTGGATTATTTTAGATACGTTTCGCCACTGGACGTGACTATAATATTACACACTACAGAGTGATTTTTTTTTTATCATAAACCAGCAATTATCAGTGTGTTGCATATCAACATTTTTAGAAAAATATTCTCTGTTCAAATCTGTGTTCATAAGGGGGGAGGTGTTCCTATTTGAAAATATACACTTATTCAAGGTACATGGAGTAGGGGTAAAAAATAAAAAATGATTTTAAAATAAAGCTTAAACGTAATATATAATGATTAGAAAAAACGGGAATCGAATTCACTTAAAATCCTCCGAGATGATTGCTGGGTTTATGATAAAAAAAATATCACCCTGTATACCTCGATCTGTCGTTGCGTACGGGGCGCACAGACTTGGCCCGTCTAGAAAACCGACGGGAACGGACTTATCGTTTTCCAAAGGAAAGTCCCGCAAACAATTTTTAAAATGGCGAGTGGACGCCGGGACCGACGAGTGGACGATAAGAACGAACGACAAGAGACTGCACAAATGGGGGGGAGCACTCCCGGAAAAGCCGAAACACGTTAATTCGTACGGAAAATGACTGCGGTCGGGGCGAGAGGAGACACCTTCAGAGACCGAAAAGAGGCCGTAAAGAAGACGTGTGTGCAGCCAAGAGTGGCGCAGAGGATCGGATTGAAAGGCGCGAATGTCGAAATGGTGGTCGGCGTAAAATTATATTTATTGTCAATTACGCCGCGACGACGACGGCAATTATTGCAGACCGCGGTAAACAGCAATGACAATAATTATTATTATCGTCTCGTTTTAATTACCCGATTTCCCGTCTCGTAAAACAGTAATAATTAGTCAAGTGTATTATGTTTTTCTCTTTGTTTGCCGTCGTTTTCCGTTTCCATTAATTATTGTCATTCGTCAAAAGCGAATTATCTCTGTTTAATAATGTAAATAACCGATAAACTCCGCCGTTCGGCAACTCTGATTACATCGTTGTTTCGCATTGTGTGTATCGTTGTTAATTATCGACGGACTTCTCGGTGTCTACCCTATTACAGGTACGCTGGGTTTCAATTTTTTTTTTTTTTTTTTAATAATATTACGTCAGATCGTAGGCGTATTATTATTGTTATTCAAGAAAACACGACTACGGAACCTTACACTTGTCACGAAACCATCGCGTCATAACAACATATTATTATGTTTATCAAACCGTGATGTTCAAGTGCAAAGAGAATTGATTTTGCGGCCTCAAAAAAAAAAATAATTTTTTTTTCTGCGGTTCGGTTTACGGTGCTAGTTGTCGTTTTTTCGCCGATAAAAGCGACGGTTTTTTTTTTTTTTTATATTATTGTCTTTATTCCTCTTCAATCCGCGTGAAATAACTAGAGACCACAAGAAATATTATCCGCATTGGGTTCAATATTATTATACGATTATAAACCGTTCGCGTCTCTCGCGCATCACGCATCATAAAAATTTGTTAACACCGACTTTCGCGGCGTTTTTAACAAGTTCCCTCATCGCGCACTCGGCGGATAATCGTAATTTATAATAATTTTTTTTTTTTTGTTGACGCGTAACACCGTAAAACATCGGACGCGGCGTCATTATCGCACGCGCGCGCGCATTAACGTTTATCGTTGCTATCCCGACGCGTTCCCTCTCGTACGACGCCGACGGCGTATAATAATATACCGGGAATAATATAATTACCTTTCACGATTGTTGTCGTTCGGTCTCCAGATGGTCCGTGACGGTCGAGGACGTATCGCCGTAAATCGAGATATCGTCGGTACGCGCGAGAGAGACAAAAAAAAAAAACCCTCTCTCGCGGTTTACTCGGCGTACAGAACCCATTAGACCCCTCCGACGACGACGACGGAATCCCCTAACGCGCGTAATATACGCGTTGTTATTGTTTCTTTCGTTTTCGTCGCGCGAGCGTTATTATTCTGCTTCCGAGCCGCGGAGTGAAGACGCGTAAAATCAACAAACGCAAAACCGGTTTCCCGTCGCTCTCCCGCGCCGCCGACGTGCGTACCGTGGCGCACGCATACCTGTTGGCCGCGGCGGTCGCGCGCCGCCCGCGTACGCAACGGCGGCACCGGGCGCGCGCCCGCCCGCCCGCGTACATAGGGTTTGGGTGTACGCGTATTATTATTGCCCCCAACGAGTTTTTACGCGCCGGGTGTTTCGACCGGGTGTTCGGCCGCGAACGAACGGACGCGCCCGCCGTTAAAGAATGCGCCGCGCTCACAAGGGTTGAAAATACCCCCGCGAGAGGGTTGCCGCCGTCGCGTTTAATGTGTAACACCTGCCGCCGAGCGACGCGGCGTACGCTGCGCGTATGGTACGCGCATGCCCCGGGCGCGTTATTATGTTCGGGCCGGACCCGCTCACAAAGTGCCCCGGCGTCGAAACGCGTTTCCGACGAGCCTCCCCGTCGTCGCAGTCGTCGCGTCTCCGTCTCCGTTATTATTGTGTTATACGCCCGGGCCTACTAATACGGTATGCGGGGAACGGAATCCGCCGTCGTCGTCGTAGTCGCCAAGACTCTCTCCGTAAACCGTATAATAATAATAATAATAATACGGGCGATGACTATTATATTGTACACGCCGGTACCGCGTTTTTACCCCGTCCGACGTCGGTTATAAAAAAAATACGGTGGAAAAAAAAAAAAAATAAATCCTCCGGAGACCCGCGGTGCGGAGCGTATACGTCTAATATATACGGTATACGTGTATAATAATAATAATAATAATAATAATGCGTACAAAACATTATATAGTATAGTGCGCGGAGGACGTGTTAGTCACGGGTTTCCATGTATGAAAAAAATATCCATTAATCATTGACGTGTATTATTATACACGACGAACGAAATTAATATAATATTAACCCCTTCGCGGGACATTAAAATGTACGATAGCGTCTCGGGAAAAAAATAAATAAAAAAAAAAAAAAAATCTCCCGACAATCGGTCACGTGATCCGATTACGTTATTATAACATTTATTTTTTTTTTTTTACCTTACCCGTAGACGTCCGCCCGAGCTCTTGGCTTTTCCGTAAAACGTGTATTTTCTGTATTCGTATATAATACAATACAATAAAAACGATCCTTATTTGAATGATAATACCTACATTTCATTTCTTTTTTTTTTTTTAAACTCCCCTATTATCGCCGTACGCCGTAGGAATTCGTTTTTCTTTTTTTTTTTTTTATGTAAACTACTCTGCGTACATCTCGATTGCAACGGGTATCGACGGGTTTTAGACTACGGGTTATGAGCAACCGCTGCAGACGGGTGGCGATCGTTTCCCGACGGTGATAAACGTACCCAATATTGTGTTTCGTGACAAAAAACGATACGTATAATATCTAAAACGCGTCCGTTTTTATTGAACCGTTCGGCCGCGTTTATTTTATCCGTACGACACGCCTTATAGGTATTCGTCAAAATTAAAATAAATATTCTTGGTTTTTCGTGTTTTACAAATAGCTCTGTATGATGTAACGCATATGCTCGTGCGTAGTACAACCCGTCCAGTACGGTTTTCGATTCAAAACTAACCGAAGGAATACACGTTTTTTTTTTTCAACGTGCACCACATATTTCTAAACACATCTGTTGTCGGTCTAATGGATTATTAATTAATTAATTAGCGTGTTTTATATTCAACGGTTGCGTACTGCAGGAGTGACAGAAAGCGATATTTAAAAATAGATAAGACGTGTTTTAACGCGCGTACACCATTAGCCCGGTATTATACAATTTATCATTGCACGGATGTTTGTCAAATCAAACGAAAAGTGTTTTCTACTAAATTAAAAAAAATAAAAAATAAATGCCCGTTGATATTCGAAAGATTTATGAAAAAACGTCGGAACGAAACCCCACGTACACACTGACAAATAAAACGAAATCAAACATGTTCGCGGAGACGGCGATGAGTGGTGTGTATACTTTCCATGACGGTCGAGGCGAAATGCGCACGATTTCCCCTTATACACCAGGCGCCCCCGCCCTACCACAGTGGATACGCGTCATAAACGACGACGTTAGAAAATAATATTATTGCTGTTGTTTTACTGGCGCAAATTGAACTAGCGGCGGTCAGTTGCGTAGAAAACAATATTTCGGGAAATGTTTTCACACGAGCAATACAATAAAAGTTTAAAACAAACATTTCGAACGATCTTTAATACTACATATGTACTACTCTACTAATGTACAACGCGTTTTCCGTAATTCAATAGGGGAAGGGGGTCAGTGGCGTAAATATCGGGAGGGCCTAGGTGGACAAACGCCACGGGCCCAAAACTGATAAGTGCCTTAGCAGTAGCCTAGACCGGGCCAAAAGCGTTATTGGACAGGTGAGCGTCTTTTCGAATGACCTTTTATTATTGGCCCGTCGGTTCAGCCTTTAGGACCTTAATGCGATACTTTGCTACGGGCATAAGAAGTGCCCTAGCTACGTTACTAGGGGGGGGGAGAATATCTTCCCCCTCTCCCGTATGCGCGTGTAATTCCGGACGGAAGGACGGTGTCCGGGCACGCGCGAATACGACAATATTGTAATCCCGTCGAAATAACGGGTTGCCGACGGGGCGTACACTGTTTACGACGTGTCGCGTACAATAATAATTACTGTTATATTGTTATAATAATATTATATTACAACGTTCGCGTACGGCTCGAGAGAAAAAGAAATATTTCGAAATCGTTGTTATTGGTGGGCACGTAGCGATGTTTCGTTTTAAACACTGCGCGGCGCGGGCCGACGTCGCATCACATCCGCTGCCGGCCGGTGCATCCCGTCTCGCGGAGAGAGTACTTTCACTAGAAACGTTCCGGGAGAGTCGTACCGAACGCCGCGGCGTACGCGCGTATAGTCTGCACGGCGACGGCGGCGTCGTTGTTGTGTAAGAGGGAGCGGCGTTTTTATTTTCTGTATTTTTATTTTCATTCGTGCGCGCGCTCGCCGGCTAACCCGTCACTCGGTCGCTCTCTCTCTCTCTATCTATCTCCGTTTCAAACGCGACGCGTCGTATCTCGCCGACCGCAATAAACGTCCGTCATCGTCATCACCGTCACCATCTACGCGTCTCCGTCGGGCGCCCGGCACAGAATGATGCACGTCGACGCGTCTCTCGTACCGCGTCGTCGTTGTATACCACGGCGGTGCGGCGTCGCGGCTGATATCGCGCGGTACAGCGTGGTATAATATCGAATATAGTCGTACTCGTGTACGCGGTAATGGTGGGGTCGGGCGGGCGGGCGGACGCAAGCAAAGCGTTGGCCCTGAACTTATCCCCACCTGGCCGCGGCGGCGGCGCTCGCGTGTTGTGTTGATATCGGAGGCCAATGCCGCCGCCGCCGCGGCCCGGACGTCGCACTCTCTCTCACCTGCAGCCGCCAGTTCAAGTTCATCGTTCCGGCAGTGTCATCCCGTCGCGCGTTCAAGTCTCCTTTCGTCGTCGTCGTCGTCGTCGTCGTAGTAGTCGTACCCGTGTACCGACCGAGTGTGTGACATTCGAACGCGACACTTTTTGTGTTTTTTTTTTTGTCGCTGTTTCCGAAATAGTTATCATTCATTTATTCAAACATTATTATTATTACTTCGGCCGAATTCTATTTCGAATAGTTGTGCGCGTCCGAAGACGGAACATAATATTATAAACGTACGCATACGTCCGTGTTGGCGCGCGTCAGATTCGAATTTGTGTTTAAATTTTTTTTTTTTCGTGTTTTCGTGTCGTTGTTTTTGCCACTGTGCACCCGTCGTCCATCCCACGGACGACCGTCTCTCCGTACGAGGTACGAGAAAATGTTATGGTAAACAAATCGGCCGTCGTTTTAAAAAAAGATATTATGCTATTTGTGTGCAGATTATGCGACCATAGACACCGGACTACTGTACTATAATAATATTATCTATAGTGAAGAGGTACGTTCAATTGACTCGGAAAAGCACACGTTATATTATTACGTTTTCGTTGTATTAATCGTTCGAAAATATAATCGGTACTAATAACCGACAAAATCAATGTAGTCGTTAAACGCCGCACACAATACAATACATAATTATAATTTTTTTTTTCTACAATCTCACCCGTGTGTTACCGAACATCATATTATGTTAGCGTGTATTCCATATACTGGTAGTCAAGTGACGTCCCCTCCACTTTGATATAATTTATTATTCATAAATAATATATATTACACAACACTTTTCGGTACTGTAATTAATATTCTGTTGGTTTTGTCCGCGTTGTTCTGATGTTCACGATAAATTACTTGCATTAACACGTGATATTACACGGAGACATATCTACTGAATTTTAGTTAAAAGTACCCGTTAGTCGTAAATAAATAAAAATACTCACGTTTAGGCAATAATGTTGTGAAAAAAATTTCCGTTTACAGAGTGTCTAAGGTTATAGCATAATATCACCTATACATATTATATACCATTAAAACGACGACCTAAACATTCGTGCGCGCAAAAAACCAAATATAAATATATATGTTTCTAAGCCGTTTATGCGATTAAAAATCAGTGGTAGGTACCCACTCCGTCGGATGCATATTTTCAGCCGGAAATTGGGCATTCGGGCACAATAATATTATAGTTGCTGCGCGTCGAAACGTTTTCGCGGATCCGTAAAAGGATATGGGAAAAATTCGAGGCAAACCAAAAAAAAAAAAAAAAGAACAAATACGTATAACGGCGTACGGCCGTACACTTTTTGAAAGTGGATACCTCTAAATCGTGTACAAGTATTTATGCGTAATGGGCGATATAGATTTCTCTATAAAAATTACATTATATTATTATCGTCGCAGACGACGGCGTCGTCGCTCCGTATCGCACCCGACACGACGCGCGTGGAATGTTGTTTTTTTAATGGACTTTTTTTTCTTTTTTCGGATGGCCCGCTCCCGATGACATACAGACACCCATGCAGGCCCGATAATGTTAATGACCTTATACGCGTTACAATAAACAAAAACAAAACCGCTTAGCGTAATGGGCCCGTGAAAAATTTATAACGCCGCGCTTTATTATTACGATCATAACGTATATTACGCGCGATATGCAGCTATCGGTATTATATACATATACCTATGCTTAATCGCTTTTTTATATTTTTCGGCGATCCGTCTCTTTAATGTATCTAAGGATAATAATAATAATCCGGGCGGTCAATACATTAATACCTACTCGACGACGCTGTTATGTTACACGTATATCATTGTGTATTGCGTTCGTTTTGCTAGATATATACGTACATATATATGTATGTACAGATAATTATCTTGACATCTGCATAATATAAAATGTAATAATATCGTGTAAAGAAAATGAAAGAAATAAAAAACAACCGTGTGTATTCGATGGACCGGCGACGGAGCACAAAAGATTCTATTGTGCGCAATGACGTCACGTTATTAAATCGCTGCTGGTTCCTCTATTCTATAAAATAATAATAATCATAATAATAATATAGTATACCTATACACGAAAAAACATCATTCACACGACGTTGCCGCGGCGGCTCGTCCACAGTGCGACCGAGAACCAAAAAATTAGTAAGTCGCGCGTATCATACGTGACAGGGAGTGCCCCGGGGAGTCGTCAGGGAGTTTGGCGTCGCGGAGACGCCACTCGCACGCGCGGGGAAAAACGGCGGCGAAACATATATTTTTATAAAACAGCGTATCCGCGCGACGGCCGCGCGCCGTCAGGACCCGTTTCCGAACCCGTCGTATTTTACAGAAGTACCGCCACCCCGTCGAACCGCGACGATCCCGTAACGCGGACAGCAGCAGCTGCAGAATCACCACCGCCGTTACCAGCAGCGTCGTTGTGCGGCCCGCACCAACGACGACGGCAGCGGCCCCGAGCTGTTCGCCGCCCCGCACCAACGACGACGGCAGCGGCCCCGAGCTGTTCGCCGCCCCGCGTACCGTTTACACATGTGAGCGGCCGCCCTGGCGTCCGGCGACATAATGTTACGACTGGCGTCCCAGAACGACATGGCCATGACTTCGTCGTCCGAGGTCTCGTCGTCTTCCTCGTCCGCGGCCGCCGGTTTCTCGGCCACCAGCATGTTCATCAACGCGTTTTTCAGCACCAACAACAGCCCGATGACCCGCGAAAGTTTCGAGTTCCTGCAGGAGCTCGACGACAGCTTCGGCGAACAGCCCTCGTACACGCACCAGCAGCGGTACCAACAGGACGCCATTATGAACCGGTTTATGACGTCACAACACAATACCTCCGTGCCCGTGATAACAGGTAAAAAAAAAAGCGGTCTCCGGTCACCTACCTACCTACCTACATACATGCGTACCGTGTACTATACATACACAACGACTGTCAAAAAGGATTTCTCTACGATTATATAATCCCCGTTCGGTGTGTATTTTTTAACCGTACGATTGAAATATCGTGTTCATTCGTCACTCGGCAGTCGTTGGCCAGTGTCACATGACACACACGACACGTCGTTCGCTCTGCGCGTTGCGTTACCGGTAAGAAATGTTTTCGAACCGAAACGCATAATATTATTGTTATCTCGAATTTTAAATCTGTATTACTTAAAATGTGTATTTTGAATTCTCCAAATGATTATTATTTATAAGGATAGAAAAAAAAACCTGGTAGGTAACTGCGTATAAAAAATGAAAAGAGACCGTGAAATACTCTTGGTGGGATTATATTATTAGGTATACGAGCCGGCTGCTGTGTAATAATAATTCCACCCGAGTTCCCCTCTCCTGCGCTCCTCCCGTGGTAATCACTGGTATCGAGAAGGATTTTTTAATAGCTTTTTTTTCCCAACGTGTCGATAGTAAAATGAATACAATAAAAAAAAAAAAAACACCCGTCCAATTAAATGCGTTTAATATTGTTCATTGAACACACCGCCGACAACGACGTCGCGGCTCTGTCGTCTCGTTACGAATAAAAAAAAAATAAAGTATCGTCGGTCCGCGCGTAATCGATCTCTGTGTAACGAAAAGTAAAAAAAAAAAAATCGAATTGAAACCCAACGCGAATACCCGAGAAACGCATAATGGTGGTAGTACAGCTAACCATTTATCGGAGTGGTTATCAACTCGTTGTAAACGTATACCGCGGTATGATACTACGCCTACGGTTTGGCCCACAGACAATAAACGCGCACATAAATTCTGCCTAAATTCCTCGCGTGTTTCGTTTTTTTATGATGTAGGTGTATGTATCGTACCCGAAATGTACCGTTTCCACGACGTACCAGACGGCTATTTATTTTTTGTATATACTTCTATTCCATTAGGTATCCGAAAACTAAGCGCGTACCCCGGTCGGAGTATATATTTTTATAGCGGTGACACGGTTTCGGCACCGCGCGTTTAATACGGTTCTCAGTGATAATAATATACTATGATGTTATTATTATAATGAATGGACACCGTTGATTATAATGTTACTAGGAACAAAACTCTTGTTTTTGAATTTGAATTTTTCTTTTCGGTTTGTGTATAATAATTTGTATGTTATCGGCACGGTGTTTTTATTTCGGTCTCTCCAGGATTATTCCACGGAATAACCTAATATTATCCACGTGTTCTGGCGATTGTAGTTATTTCTCGAGTTTATTTTTATCAATCGTGGAAATAACCGTGATACAGTCAATATTATTTTCGTTGCATTATCGTTTCCACGATTGCCAGATGTTTATTAATTAAATATTAATTGTTGTTGTCGAGATCGATTTATAGGCACCGTAACATTATAATAATTAATAATAACAATAATAATAATTGCAATCACGTGATAAAAATATCGTTTATAATATTACTATCATTCGGTATTATGGTAGACGTGCAGTTTGTACAGCTCGTAAAACCTGTAAAATCGATCATTTTCTCCACGGACGATCTCCGTTTTAATTTTACGTCGGTTAATAAAGACATAATATTAATATTGCCGATACGCGCCGGTGTAATAACGTATACAAAATCGTGCGTTTATATTACGAATGCGCGGTCTGTTAATACAACACAGCAAGTCACAATCGTTCACATATTTTACGATAGAACCGTCTTAGTGTTTTGTCCGACGCGCGGGACTACATGGGATATTGAAATTTGAAAGACCGATCCCAGAGAGAATTTGAATATTTCGACCAAAAGCGTGGTACACACACACTAGACGCGCAATTTTCGATTTCTATCGGAATTATATGAAAACATTACAATTGATAAGAATGCCTGCCCATATGCCGCGTTTTATGACAAGACAGTCCCGCAGTAATATTGCCGAGATCGAAACGTTCCGCGTTTATTATTATTGCGGTGTTCGAGTATTATCGAAGACTCGGACTCGGCCGGGTCGCGTTTTATTTACTCGGCAGTTTTGTTTCTATCGCGGGTTCGGTCTCCGAACGATCGCCGATTACGTCCGACGGTGATTACGTACGCGCCGGAGAACTATCGGAGGTAACTGGGCGGGTCGTTGGTGGGTAATTTTAGGAAACACGGCGACCGGTGATAATAATTTCGCCGTGTACTAATATTGTATCGTTCCGGTTACCGTATTATTATTACATAGTGTTGTTAATGTTTCCGTCGACGGCTGTAATTCACGTGTGTTCGCGTCTGCTTTTAGCCAGACGGACGACGCGAATCGGTCGGAATGCCATTTGTCCGAAGCGTCGGGCGTTCCGGACGACTTTTCGCGATGTAAACAAAAATAATTAACCGGTTCTAAACTCCCCCGTCAATTCGTTTCTACTGCGGAATCGCAGTCGTTGCAATCCCGCGGATTTTTGTGACTCACCCGATACGCGTGCCGTCGCCGCACGGGTCCGTTGGGAATACGCCAAAACGCGTTAATATTTCCTCGGCACGTTCGCGGTCGCTTCCTTCCGCTTTGACGATCGTGTCTCCTCTGCCGTTTTAACCGTTAAGTCACGAGGCTTCCCGAAAAGACTGTTAATTTCCTCGTCCGGTGTATACGGCGATAGTGTAACGGCGTAACGGCCTCATATTTCACGATTTATTATCGGATTATTATCCGAGCCCGGATTAAGCGCAGATCCCCGGGGGCCACAGTTTTTGTTGAAGGAACCCGTCATTGTCAATGCATCGTGTTCAATCTTAAATTTTGAATTTGGTATTTTATTTTTATTTTTTTCGTATATATTTTATTGCGTTTAGTAACTTTTCGGTTACCTTTAGCGGAAACTGCTAGATCTCCATTGTAATATTATGCGTTGTTTTTATTTTGTTCAAACGGTAACGAGTGAACATTTTTAACGATTTTTATTATTATTCTTTTTGGGGGCCTCTAAAATACGTTATTTAGGGCTTACATTTATTCGCGCAGATTAATAATTGCGTTGTAATCGATATTCGTAATTTACGAATCGTAGTAAACGTCCGATATATTATATTGTTTCGAACGAGCTTGTTTTTTTTTTATTTTTAGACAAACCACGTTCATCACGCGGATACGCGTGCGAGTCGAATTTTAATTTTTTTTTCTCTCAACCTTGGTACCTACTAGGAAAAAAAAAAAAAAATGATTGAATACCCGTTTTCTGGATATAGGTACAATAGGTGCTCTCGAATAATTCGTATCGTTTTGTTAACGCCGAATGGCAGGCAACAGTAATAATAATCGATAAACGTCGGTCGCAAGCGGCGTGTATAATATTATAATAATAACAATAACAATAATGGTATCAACTTCTACGCGACGACGAAGAATGCGCAATGGCCGCAAGAGAACTTACCAAGTTTACAAGTGCGAAAACTGCTGTTGTGTGGTTACGAGAATACCATACACGGCGTGTGTGCGCGGCTGTGTGAAAGAGTTCAAATAATTATTCGTGTAGACTTTTATATAACACCAAGGTGTAATACGCCCTATAATAATAATATTGTTATTGTTGCGTATTCGCGCGCGTGCCATTTCAGAACTGCAGTGTTTTTCTCCCGGGAAAACGTCCATAAATATGTCATTGTATATTTTTTTCGGAGACTGAGCGAATGCAGTCGATCACAATCGCGGGTTTTTGCGAACTGTTTTTTTTTTTTTTTTTTTTTTTTTTTTTTTAATAGATTTTCACCGAAACGTCAGGAACGTACCGGTTTTCGTACTGTAGTGCGGTGAATTTTATTTGTTTCGTATACTCGCGGACGGCCGTATTCCCGTGTACATGAAACTTCGGATCCGGATAAGATAATTCGCGGAAAAACAGTGTCGAGCACATGAGTCGCAATACTTTCCGAGAGGGTGTTTCGTCCTGTTGTCGGGAAATCGGGTTTCCCTCCTACCCACACGTATTGTTCGGTTTCGCGACGGTGGTTGTTAGCCGGCACGTGCGTAATATTCTCGATGAATCCCCCTCCCGTTCTCCGGTTTCCCGCATATTAATTGTTAAGTTTCCTACCGGCCGCAATTGCGTATGAAAAATTAAAATAAAATACCTACGCGTTCGGAAGTATTTATATATATCAACCCCCCCCGTAGTACTGTTACGGAAGATTCTCACTACTGCACAGCAGCAACAACAATACAATAAAATAATGCTGCTGCTGCTACTCGCGACGACGACGACGACGATGACGTTCACGTTCACTTGACCGTGACAGTTGGAATGAACCTTAGTCGTCGTTCTGTTCTGCCCAGTGCACGTGCCTACGTATATACAGTGTGCACCATATTATTATTATTATTATAAAACGGACATTATTGCTACCGTCGTCGTAACAGTCATTATCACCGTCCGACGACAGTATCACGCCTTTAATTTTGTATTTTAGTTTATATCGTTATTATAACAGACGTCATCGCGCCTTTGCGCGCGGTCAACAGTACGCTACACTTTACGTAACAAAATATAACATTATGGAGAGCGGCGCACTTCACAAGTGCTAAAACGTCTACGACCAGTATTGCGTTATCATTATAATTATTGATGATAATCGTAGTATTCGTGCGGTGCACCTAGGACCGCGAGTCCGGTATGACGAATAAATACAACGCGTTTTGTCGTCGCCCTTTCAACTCCGCCGTGTGGACCCGTTGCCCTTTAAACGCGCGTAGTCCGTAAAAAAATAAAAAACAATTATTCCGGAGACCGTCGAAAACGTGTGAATCCCCGACGTGGTCGATTTTTCGTCACGAACGCGCGTTTCGGCGGCGGCTGCGTCGTGATCCGTGCACATTGCATCGACGTTACAGCAACAACAATAGTAATAGGTGGTAACGTCGACGAGAAAAATATAAGGTATTACGATGGAAAAAAATAAAAAACGAGCAACAACAACGTAATAACGATAAAAAAAAAAAAAAAAAGTAATAATAATAATAATAACAGGAAAAAAAAAGAACACAATTTTGTTTTCCATTTTCATCGCCGGTTCGTTCCGGTTATTATCCGGACCGCAGATCTTCGCGGTTTTCCGATTCTTTTGGCCTTCACGGGCCCGCGAGTAATTTTTTTCCTCTCGCCGCCGCCATCATCTGCTGCTGCCGCCGCAGCACGGCAGTTGTTCCGCTCGCCGACCGCGTAGATTACCCGGGGCCATGGGGCGGCGCGCACAAAATTGCTCTTGACGTCGTCGTCGTCGTCCGCAAAAAAGCTTTTGGTTTTCCCGGGGACGCGATAAACAGACAGAAAAAAAAAACGTCGCGTTTTCTTCCCCTTTCGAACATTCCGTCGCGAAATACCATTGCCCGTCGTTCGACGGCGGAAAATTTCGCCGCCGGACTCGAAAACGTTATCGAAACACGATATTATACACAATGTAATACTCGCGCGCGTATTACTCGAAAAAAAAAATAAAATAAAAAAGCTTTTTCTCATTCTCCACGGACGCGGCGGCGGCGGTTACACAATACACAATCGTCGTCGTCGTCGTTAACCGGTTTCGATTCCTAGAAATTCTTCTCGGTCTCCGCACGCCATCGCCGCGGCACCAGCAGCAACAGCATCTCCAAACAACGCACATAATATTATTATTACTTCCACCGGCGTGTGTGTACCGCCGCCGCCGCCGCCGAGGCCTCTCGTACGCACGAGAATAATAATACGTAATGATAATAATAATAATAATGATAATGGCGCTGCGTTATTATTATCGTTCCCGTGGCGTTCGGAGATCGATTCCCCGGCACACCACCGCACGCAACAATGGCTGGTACAGGCGACGGGACCGAGACGATAATATTGTTATTACACGCGTATTGGGTATTGGATATTATGTACGAAGACGGACAAAATAAAATGTACACGATATTATTTTATTATCACGGTATAATGTATTGTACCCGGTCGTCCGTAGAATAAAAAAAAAAAAAAATATTAAAAAAAAAAAGCATCGCGACGTAGGTATACAAAACCGAGTCATTTCTCTCCCGGAGATGGGCGAACGTCGCCTTATAATAACGATATTATCGTAGTTTTTTTTTTTTTTAATGGTATCTTTTATTTTATATATATATATAAATACCTATACGCCGTATTATTTTAATATATTACGGTCTCGGGGGTGGGGGGGGGGTTTCCCCCGAATCCGTCCCGCAGGCGAGAGCGATTATACCGCGGAGGGATACAAACCCAACCCCTCTCATCTTTCGACCACGGCGGCGTGCGTTCCTCGCCCCCCGAATAACCGAACCTGCCTTTTTTCCCCGTCTTTCTCCCGTCCGATAATGATAATAAAATAATATCGTACGCCTTTTCGGGTTGGGGTGTGGGTTACGGATAGGTACGCGATACGTATTGCGTGTGGGGGCCCCGGGAAATTCGGTACCGCGCATATGCGTTTACAGTGATCATAATGTAGTGTGGCACGGTCAACGGTGTGCCGGCGAATACATTCACGGGTTACGCGCACCCGCAAGGGGTTGAATAAACGCCGAAAAAACGTTTCTCGACACGCTCGAAACGGCACTTATTATTCTACACCGCGTTACACACGTGGAACCGGGCGTTTTGGCGCACTCAAGTCTTACGATAAAACGGCGCAAACGCCATTAAACTTGGTTCCGAAAGTGGATCGTAACCCGACAGTATTGGGATTCAGCGGGACGTCCGCCGCGATGATCTTTTCGTAGACATTTCGAGTGCTTGACCACCGGTGTTATTCCCTTCCGGGACCTACTATAAATGTACTGGGGCACAGATCGTTTTTTGACTTTCCAAGCGGTTTCATAATAATCGGGAAGATACGCAGGAGAAACGGGGAAATGTACGAGAATAAAACGCTTTTATTACGTTCAATTCATTTTATTTCTTTGCGGTTTAATGTTCACGGTAAATTAAAAGCTCGCGCGCATACCTTCAATGCACACACGTTTTTAGTTGGCGTACCACAACGCCCGTAATCAACGAACTCGCCCATAGGTACCAGCCCCGAAAACCCGCCGTTGCCGTGCGGGTCCGCTGGTCACCGGAGCCGGCGGTTCCGGTAATTACCGCGAAATATATTCCGATACCGTGTAGGTGATGTAATAATATTCGCCGGCTCGCGCGTCCGATGAATATTCATTTATGTTCGCGATGCCCGAGAAATAAAACATCTGTCTGTTATTTTTTGTTTTTTTCCAGTATTATTATTATTAATTATTACGCGCGCGTGTGTGTGTGTGCGTGTCCGGTGTACGCGAAACGCGTAAAATTAAATCTACGCGAAATTCGCATTGTTTTTTTTTTTTTCTCTCTATCGTAATTATTGTTTCCCCCGGGTCATTGTTCCGCGCCGTTGTATTTACGAGTATAACAATAATGATATTATTACGGGTGTACTCGGCGGCACCATAACGAATTTATCTAATAAACTGTGGACGTTCGATAACGATATAATATAATATCGCGCGCGCGCGTGTGTGTCCGACGACTGCGTTGTGTTATATCGACGGACGAGATTTATTACCGGGATTTATTATTTCGCGTTTATTGTCGTCGTGATTATCATCGCGTATTGATACGCGACGGTCGTGCGCGTGTGCGTGCGGCGGCGAACGTGTCTCGGCAATATCCGTTGGGCTAGGTCGCGGGGGCAAAATACGCTTGTGTCGCGTTTCCGTTCGCGAACAAGAATGATAAAAAACAACAAAAAAAAAAAACAAACCACCCAACGAACAGCGCTAATTTTTTTTTATTATTGTCAGATCTCTCGTGCGGGTTTCGCATCGCCCGGGCGACGTTATTCTTTTCGGACCGTCGCGGTGATAAAATCCTGCGGGAAAACAATACGAGAAGAAGATAAAGAAAAAAAAACCACCGTCGGCTCCGGGCGATAATTACGCGCGGGCGGGGGCGGCCGATAAATCTGTTTTTATTGTTATTGTGGTTTTTTTTTCTTCACGAGCGCGCGCGTTACCCGAGCGGGGCGCGCTGCGCAAGAACGCGCGTCGTCGTCGTCGTCGTCGCGGTCGGCAACTGTTGCGAAACGCCGGACGGCCTTGAACAGACGTCGTCAAACGTTTGTCTAGTGATTTTTCTTTAGAAATGAAGAAAAAAAAAACAAAATAAATAACTCGCTCGCACGCTATATAAAATATTATTGTACGCGCGCAAACTCATCCGGTTACTTTTTTTTTTTTCTTCTACTCTCTGTAATGCCGTCTCCTTCTGCGCTGCGACGTAAAATATGTATTCGGTATTATTACTGCGTATCGCGCGTTGCCGCCGTCGATCGACCGTGTCGCCGTGTATCTGCTGTACGCGTACGGGCGGCGGCGATCTCCAGCTCCGAGGGGGGGAAAAAAAAAAAAAACGTGGCCTCCCGCGCGCGCGAGGAGCGCCGGCCGTCGATAAATGCCCACTGCGGGCGAGCGATCGTACTATTATTATTATTACGGATACCTTATATCGTATCTTGTACATGGAAAAAAAAAAAAAACTGATATTATAAAACGTCGCGCGTATTATTGTTACGGGTTTTTTTTTGTTTTTTTTTTTTTTTTATGTAATACGCGAGACTCGCGCTCGCGCCGCTCAAATAATATTGGTCGACGACGTTCGTAAATAATAATAATAATTATAATATTAATGAATCCGCGAGGACAATAACCTCGGCGGCCGCGGTGTGTGTGTGTACTATTATATCTGGCGAATTTCCGAGGGAATAATAGTGGTGTCGGGCGCGAGCGATACACGTATATTATACTCGTGTTATTATTATTATCATTGTGTGTGTTGCCCGTTGTCGATCAAGGTCACTGGGTTCGTCCACTATTTCGTGTTATGACGTGTACTACTACACTACACTACACTACACCGCGCTGCACTACACCCGCGCGATAGCCCCCGATGATGATAATAATAATAATAACGATCGGGCCGCGGACAATTCCCAAAACAGGTTTTCGGGTTCTGTTTACTTACATCCTTTGCTTCCTCTCTCGCTCTTTCTCTCTCACTCACTCTCTCTCCGGCCCGTCTCCTTTTTCTCGTTGCGACGATGGTCGCCGCGCATATTGCTGCTGCAGCCGACGAGTGTAAAATACAATAACAACAATAATAACGTGTGTGTGTGTGATGTTTTATTTTTATTTTCATTTTTTTCTTTTTCTTGCCCCATACGCAGTTAAAGAAGAATGGTCGCCGCCAAACAGCCTGTCCGGCGCCAGCAGTCACTCGGACGGCATCAAGAAGAAAAAAATCACCCACACCCCCACGGCGACCGGCGGTGGCGTGAATGCCGCGAGTCCGGCCGGCGGCGCTGCCGGGGCGACCGGCGGCGGTGGTGCCGTCGGGGCGACCGGCGGCGGTGGTGCTGCCGGGCCGACCGGCGGCGGCGGTACCGCCGGGGCGACCGTCGGCGGTGTCCTCCGGCCGCCCGAAGAGCTGTGCCTGGTGTGCGGCGACCGGTCGTCCGGTTACCATTACAACGCGCTCACGTGCGAAGGGTGCAAGGGGTTCTTTCGGAGGAGCATCACCAAAAACGCGGTGTACCAGTGCAAGTACGGCAACAACTGCGAGATCGACATGTACATGAGACGCAAGTGCCAGGAATGCCGGTTGAAAAAGTGTCTGACCGTCGGCATGAGGCCCGAATGTGAGTTTCGATATTATCCGTACATGCTATTTATTATGCTCTCCCCCGGGGTATTTAGAGGGGGGTGGGGGAAATTAATATTATTGTATATAGATATTTATAATATAGATCGCAAGCACACTTATTTAACTTTATCTTCCTCTCTAATCTCATCTCCGGCGAAACAAATTCACCTTCTCCGTCATCTCAATTCGCTTCCGCTTCATTCCATACACTCTTCTCCGCCGTGTTTCTGATTACTCTCAACTCTCCTCTTTCTCGCTTTATGCGTGCTGCCAACTCGGACCCTTCATAAAGGTTAACTATAAAGATTTACCTGGTTTCTTAAATTGATATTATCTTACGTGTTTTTTTGATAAATAAATGAATGAATAATTATCTTCGAAAATATTAAAACCACCGTTGTGTTGTCTTAATGCCAGGAATATTTAATGCGAATAAAGTAAAAAGCGAAAAAATAGGTAAGTACCCACGCATAAACGTATACGGTATAATATAATAATACAATATTTTAAATATAATTATGGTAATGCGTACACAGAATACATAATACATTATTGCGTGATATTAGGAAATTCCGAATTAGCACAACGAAAACGATTGGTATGTTAACTACACGAGTAATATCGTAAGCGCGAAACACCCGATTATTTTTTTTTTACGGCGGTAGGGGCCTTCCTCCTAACTAATAGTTTTTTTAAACTATTTTAAAAATTAATAAAAATTATTTTTTAAATCCCTTTTTGGTTTTTATAATTTATGCCAAAAATCAAATGTCTAAAGTCACAAAACCCAAAACTAATCGGAGATGTCTGGTTGTTGCATTAAAAATATCATCGTCAGTAATAATACATTATAATATTATGTGTATGGTTTTAAACATTGATATTTCTATACAAATCAATAACAATACGATAGATATTTTTTTGTTAAAATAAAATTGTTACCTTTATTTTATTAGCGTACAAAACAAATTATAAAATCGTTCATGAAAAAAAAAAAACAATAAAATATATGAATAAGAGTTTACATGTTTTTTTGTTAAAATAAAAAAATGTTACCTTCATTTTTATTAGTATATATATATGAAACAATATTTATAATATTAATATAAAGAACAATTTTTTTGTTATTAAAATATTTAACCAGGAAAACCAGCTAGAAACTAGGTATCAAACTAGGAACAAGTAACTATAACAAACAGCAACTAACTTTTAAGTTGAAAGTTAGTAAAACTATTAAAACTACATGACCACTAAAGTAAAAACAATATTTTGAAATTAAATGATTGAATGAATTGAACGAATTGAATGAACCAGTGATATGCGCAGTCAATACAGTATGACCAACGTTCGGCGCAACAACAAGACATCTCCGGAGAAGTGTTGTTGTTGCAACAAAAGGTAAAACAGACATCTCCATTTTGCATAAATCTCCGTATGCAACAGTCGGATTTGTCTGATTGTTGCACTTATCTAGGGGGATGTTTTTTTCCGTAGGAATGTACAAAAAACGTTATTTTTGAAAAAAAGCTGAGATGTCTGGTTGTTGCACCCACGTCTTTGTATTTCCTTGACGAGTACTTGACGAAAACCTCGTGTTTCGTGCGTTCGCGATGGGTATCCAACACTCGTGTTATCACCGTACGATTCGGGCCCGCGATATATACTGTCGTTAAAATCCCCTGGGGGACCCCGTCGTACGTGCGGACGCTCCGCAAATACCCCCGGCCGTTGGTTTGGGTGGGTATTCGTCGTCCTCGCGGTTGACCGACCGGAACCCATTATTCATGACCCGCACGCCGGAATGCCGCGTTTCGATAACGCGCAAAAGACGCATTTTTCCAACGGATTCGTCGGCGTGTAAAAAAAAAAAAACGGCGAGAGCGGGGTCCGAACAATGTGATGACGATAATAATAATGTCGATTTCGACGGACCGGCTTTCGTTGAATTCTCGGGCCAGCGGCGCGGACGGGCGGAGTTGTAGGAGAAGGAGGTTTTCACGTTTTCCCCGCGGTTTATCCGTAACCCGTGCACACGAGTCGCGTATTGTAATAATTGATAATGACAACGCGCGTCGAGACCCGTCGTAATGCCGTGGGTACACCCGTCTTATCAATTTGTTTGTCGTGCGCTGCCGTTGTTCATCGGACGCGCGCGTTCGGGTCGGTCCGAGTCGCATGTACGCGAGAGCTGCGCGGTAACGACCCGGCCGGAGTGTATTATTATTATTATTATCATCATCATCACCATGGTCGTCGGAGTAGGAGTCTCCGCGGCCGCAATAATATCGTTAGAAAGGTGGTACCGTGTCGGTAATCGCGGTATACAATGATATAATAATATTATACCGCGGTCGTAATTTACCGTCGTCGGCCGCATAATAATAATAATAATAATAATATACGTACGGCGACGACGACGATTTTAAATTCCCGGCGTAGCCCCGGGGCGCGGATCGGGTTGGGTTATAATTGACCCCCCCCCACCCTCCGAGACGACTTTGAAAAATGTTCGTAGTGGGTTACACGGGTATCGGTTTTTTTTTTTTTTTTTGAAATTTGTCTTACGTAAATTACAGTACTGATTATAAATTCGATTAACGGAAAGTCCGGCCGACCGTTGGAATGATATTAAATTATTACGCGATCCCCCCCCCCGCGCCCCCTTGTAATTCGATCGTGAAAACTTTTACTCCTTAAATACGGATGGATGCGCATGCGTCGCCGAAACGTATACGAGAAATACCTACACACTGGTCGGCGACCAGTAGGTTTGGCATTGTTGTTGTGTTCACAGCATACTTGGAGACGTTTCCGTCGAAGCTGCGACGACGTCGTTTCAATGAGACTTTCGGGAGGGGGAGGGTGTATCTTCGAGAAGTTGAAAAACCGTTAGTTTCTTAAATATTTACGCACGCTGGCGCCTGTGCGTAAAAATTCTCCGGTAAAGAGCGAAATTTTCAAATTTAACTCCGCCGCCCCGTTCCAGGGTTTGCCGCCGGTACCCCACCCCCCATCCCCGTATTGAATTCGAATGGTGCCCCGCGGCAAAAGTCGCGTCCGCGCGCGCCGTTCCGACGGGCGATTACGACGAATTCGAATGACGCGCGGTGCGAGAACGACGACAGTAAATCGAACTTGACCATATCCCCGGCACATATTATTATTGTTGGATATTATACGTATTAATAATTTAATAGCCCCGCAGTAAACAACCTTGACCGGGCCGGCGTCGTCGTCGGCGGTGCTAGGAAACTACCCACCCCACCCGCATACCACGCGGCGGGTCCGTTGACCTTTTCGCGCCATTATGTGTTACACTATGCAATACACTACTACTACTATTATTATTGTTGTTATATTTTTATTATCGTTACTGTATTTTTATTATCGCGATCGATGCCGGTGGTGCCGGTGGGGAAAAGAGAAGCGCGGATTTTTTTTTTTTTCTCTTCACTCGGTTTCGCAACGCGCACGAAATTACCGCGGGTCTTGGATTTGTTGAATAATTAATGGACGTGTCGGCCGCGAAGGAGAGGAAACGATACAATATTAGTGAAAAAAAAAAAATTCGGTTCGCGACGGCCCTAATTCTTCAACCCCTCCGTCCACGTGTTTTTCCCTTTCTTTTTCCACGCCGTCCGCGTGAGACGACACGCACCTTACCCGTCACGAGCCCGTAGACGGGGAAGACACTCCGTTATGGCGTGTACGGCACGTCACGTTTAAATATTTAAATCGCGCCGTGTGGGTATTCGCGTTTCGATGTTCACCGTGCGCCTCCGCCCCGCGTGCAAACGCAGTATGCGTATACACGTCCCGCGCCGCAATTCTCGGGGCATCGTGGCAGTGGCGTAACTAGAACTCCCGATGCCCGTGGCAAAATATTGTATAAAGGCCCCGAAGACTGAACCGATAAGCAGACTTATCGGTTGTAGGCCCGTGGCGTTTGCCCGCCTCGCCCGCCCGGTATTTACGCCACTGCGTCGTGGATTTAAGGCGATTCTCGGCGGACACTCGAAACTTAAACGGGTTAACGGCACGATAATAACGCGGGTCTTTCTAAACAGTCGTGTCGTCGGACGCAAACTACCGCAGGTCTTACCGATCTTACCTCGGCTCGTCGTCTAGGGAAAGTGTCAACACTTTTCGGGAATCCGGTGTTTTTGAATTTTGAATTTCCGTCGAACCGTTAAGATATTACACTTTTAAGTTTGAATATCGGGGTAGAGAAGTGAAGCGTGTGGCGACGGCGGCGTAGCTCTCTCCTTATCCGAATTTAATCATCCCCGTTAAAATCAGTTAACACCTAATAAAACAGTGTGTATGAATGTTCTGACGTCTTCAGTTTTTAATGTTTTTAAAATCAATTTTTCTTTCATTGCACTTATGAAAAATGTCCGTATAATTTCCACCTATAAATTGTTATGAAATACTATTGAAACTATCAATTTTAAAACGCATATTTTTATGGCCATTTTACAGTAAGAACCGGTAGACGAATTCAAGTTTGAGTGTAGTAACGGCTTATATAACAATTTTAGTTGCGCATCCAGGTTTTCTGTTTTTAAAAATACTGTTAGGGTCTCAGAACCTAACCCATTTTTATTTAAAATAGCCATTGACCCCCTTCGATACTTCATAAATACGCTCCTAATCAATTTTTACATAACAAATTTACCTGGGGGTTGTTTTTCTTGCAAAGCGCTTAAAAGTAACGAAATAAGTACATTTTAAATAATACGGTATACTTTCCAAAGTACTCCTTAAAAAAAAACTCTTTATTTTTTTTATTTTTTCCCCACAAGTACACAGAGGGTTCAACATTTTTTTAAATAATATGTATAATAAAGGTTTCTAGAAATCTTTAAAATTTTGCTTCATACACAACTATACCAAGTACATCATATATCATTTTGGATTTTATTCTGTATAATTATTTTTTTACGTTATTAAAATGTTTGCGTTATAGAAATTGTGTTCGAGTAAAGTGCATAATTCCTTATTTGTGTAAATATTTATCTTAACAATAATGATTCACCATTCGTTTAGATTCAATATGAGTAAAAAGTGTATTAGATATAAATATTAAAGCCGGTGTAGGTCATTAATATTATATTAAATATTATTAGGTACTGTTTATTATTGGTTCTTACCATTTTGCCATAACATGGTATTATTATTTCTGTATATATTTACTCCTGAAATATCATTACAATGACGTTTTAGATTATGCCATGTATTAAAAAATTGTTATTGTTTTTGGTTATTTTAGGTGTTGTACCGGAAGTCCAGTGCGCCGTCAAGAGAAGGGAGAAAAAAGCTCAACGGGAAAAAGACAAACCGAATTCCACTACAGATGTTTCTCCCGAAATCATCAAAATAGAACCACCGGAGTTGAAGGTATTTGAAAAATCAGACTGATAAATATTTCTCTCAAACGGTCATGTAAACCTTTATTTGTCTATTTTGTTAGGTTGAATGTGCTGAACCAATGGTAATGGGCACACCAATGACACCTGTTCCATATCATCACCAAGTGAAACCGCTGAGCGGTGAGCAGAGAGAATTGATCAGCCGACTTGTCTATTTTCAGGATCAGTATGAAGCACCCAGTGAAAAGGACATGAAGCGTTTAACTATAAACAATGTACTTAATTATATAAAACTTATTTGTAAATTTGCACAATTTACTTAATTTTGTTTTATTATTACAGCAAAATACAAACGAATATGACGATGAAAAACAGAGCGACACTACGTATCGAATCATCACTGAAATGACAATACTTACAGTCCAATTGATTGTTGAGTTTGCCAAACGGTTACCAGGATTTGATAAGCTTGTAAGAGAAGATCAAATCACTTTACTCAAGGTAATGATAATTTATAATTTATTAACCTAACCTAATCTTATATGTACATATATATAAATTACATTTTTGTGTTTTTGTAATTTACCTAGGCTTGTTCGAGTGAAGCTATGATGTTTCGGGTAGCTAGGAAATATGATATCACCACTGACTCGATAGTATTTGCCAACAATCAGCCATTTTCAGCAGATTCTTATAATAAAGCTGGATTGGGAGATGCCATAGAAAATCAGTTGGCGTTCAGTCGATTTATGTACAAGATGAAGGTGGATAATGCAGAATATGCCTTATTGACCGCTATAGTCATATTTTCAAGTAAATATATACCTACTTGAATTTTATTTTTGTTATCAAAATGCATTCCCAAAAATTTAATTAAAAATTTAATTTGTAGGTAGGCCAAACCTTTTGGATGGTTGGAAAGTGGAAAAAATTCAAGAGATTTATTTAGAATCCTTAAAAGCTTATGTTGATAATAGAGATCACGACACCGCGACCATCAGATATGCACGACTTCTCTCAGTACTCACAGAATTGCGCACATTGGGCAATGAAAACTCAGAGCTATGTATGACACTGAAACTAAAAAATAGAATAGTTCCACCATTCTTAGCAGAAATATGGGACGTCATGCCATAGTAAATTGCTTCAGCTAGTTACCTTGTACCCAGTCACACCATTAGTGTCACTTGGTATTATTTTGAAGACTGTCAATATTTTTTCGGACCCCTCACAACCTTGGACAGACATAGGCGGATATGTGTAGTTCAGAACATAAATTCGACTATATGTTCTACTTCTTGGATGACTATTTGAATAAGGTTTCACTTAATCTAAATAAAACGGACATATTGAAAATAAACTATTTAGCATGTCAGGTAAAATATTAATTTTAACACGTTTAAGTATAGTTACATATTTAAAGTTTGAAACTGTAGGTAAATTAGGAGTTGTTGTTAAACACAAGGAATTTAGAAAATGTTTAGCACTCTTCGTTTTTGTATAAGTATGTTGAAATTCTCTCTAAAATTAGGTATTGTTGAACTAAACATTTTTTAACTGAAGACATAACATATTATAATTATTTATGAGGGTGCTATATTATTTCTCTGTTATCCTCGTGTGGTTTTTGAGACTGTACTGTTTTGTACCTGCGTGTTGGATGTTTTTTTTTATATATATATTTTAAATGTTTTATCTATAAGCCAATTCATTTTATTATTAACAAATTTATATATTTTTTTTTTCTAAGAAATGTAAGAAACATCATTTCTATATGCGAAAACTGTGATATTAGGTTAAATATTATATAATATGATAAATAAAATATTGTGTATACTAACATCTTTTAGTTTTTAAACATAGAGCGTTTGTTATACATGTACAAACATAGGTTCAGGGGGCTTAAGGTAAAAGTGACACTCTTTTATGTACATAAGTATAATATTATTTTTTTATTACTTATTATTGTTATGCTTTCAAAACCTAAATAAGCAATTATATTAATAGAAAGTATTTTATTGCAATTTTATTCATAAAAAAAAAAAAAAAAACAGATTTTCTTTTAGACAAAATTATTAATATTTGTAAGTACAAAACAAAAATACAAGTAGGAAAATAAAATAGCTCTAATTAATGTGTGTTTGTGTTGTGTGTATTGAGATGAAGACTGTAAACATCAACGTTAAGATATTTATATTATTTTATTATTATTAATATTTTAGACCAATTGTCTTCTAATTGCTTTATTTACTGATTTGTTTTTCTTATTGATCAATAACTAATAAAACAGTTATCATTTTCCTTTATTTTCTTCTTTGAATTATTAGTCAATTTAACACTTAACAAAATACATTCTTGGTTTAGTTAATACATTTAAAGCTAATTTTGCATTAAATGTTAGTCAAATGTATGATTATAAAAATCCTTTACTCTGCTAACCATATATTATTATACCTATTCTTTTTTACGTTGTTCTTTTTTTTTTTTTGTTATTGTCAGTATAAAACCAAAACAATGTATCCTACAAGTGCAATAGATATCAAGTTTAAAAAATATTATTTATATTTATTTTGTCATGGAAAAGGAAAAAAAACTGTTATATAAATGAAATACCAATTTTATTGGGGTCATAAGTGTAATTGTTTGTTTTTAGGTTGATGGAATAATTATATTTGTAAGTTAGGGTGTACTTGGTGTTGTTTTTTTTATTATTATTATTATTATTATTATTACTAGATAACTGTCATTATCCTGAAAAACACAGGTAGTAAATTTAAGATTAGACAATTTTTGTTTTAAATCATTTTATAGTTTTACACTTACGTGGAATATTAATTCTAAATAACCATAAATATTTGTATTTTGATTATTATCTTTTTTTTTTTTTTGTATCCCTACTGGTTTATCTACATTATATTTTTTGTTATTATGATTTTTTTTTATTTACCTATTTTTAACGACATTGAGTGCACCCTTGTAACAATTTTTATTTGTTGAAGGTGTACCTTGTTATATTTCCTTATTTGTAATTTATTTTTCATTATATTAATCTTAATCAATATAAAAAAGACTAGAGAATATTGAGGGAAAAAAATTGTAATGCATAATAAAGCTCTTTACCAAGTTAATTAATTTGGATATTCCTACCTGATATAATATTTTTAAGGGATAATTTTAATCGTTTATATAATTTATAGATGAAATGATGTTTTTTACATTCTACTTATTTGAGTTGATGTCTTTAGTAAAAACAATTTCACTCATAAACACAGAAAAAACCGCCCACTTGTCAGTTTTAATACAATTATATATTTATTATGTTATGTACATTTTTTATGATTATATTCGTGCAAATGTTAATTCTTAGGAAATTAAATTGTAATTTTAATACAATGTGTTTTTTTTTTTTGTATAGAAAATTTTTTAAAATTACCATTGAAAAATGATCTTGTTCTTTTTATAGATATAAGAAATATGTATTGTCGTGGAAATATTATTTTGACGTTAGGAAATATATAAGTAACCAATATTAACTAAGTGTTACATACAACAACCATACATTTGTTTTCAAATACCCAGTATAACATTTTTGGTGAAATAAAAATGTATTTAAATATTGTTTTTCATCAAAATATATATTCTATAAGTAGTTTACAGAAATTAAGAAATATTTTTGTATAATTTAAATGATCAACTACCACCAGCCCCCATTGCGTGATTAATGTTAATAACAATTGTCATTAGTGCAAAATTTAAGTATTAACGTTTATAAAATTTTAACTAAACAACTTTTTTTACAGAAATGACTATTAGTATTAATAAAAATGGCTTTAAATTTTAGGTTATACATGTTTGAAGTCAAACATTTAAATTAAAATGTCAAGATTACTATGATTTGTGTTTTGAAACTTATTTTTTTAAGAAAACCAATTTTGACGTTGTATTCATTGGAAACTAAGATGATTTTATTAAATTGATGTGAAAATAGTTATAAATACTTAAAACGAGTTTATTGTAACTTAGACATTTACACGCATAGAATTTTTAAATTCACTGCCCTTCTAAACAATTACGCCGTTTTTCAGCGCACTTGTGCAGTTAAATATTAATTATGACACTGCCATTTTTTCTTTTGTACTTAAAAACATTTAAATTATAAATAAATTCAATGATCATTGTTTTTCTACAAAATTTCATATTATCTCAAAATAATATGTTAATACTCAATTATTTATTGTATGCAGAGGCGCTAAACTGGGCTTTTTAAATAGTAAATGTTATAACACTGTTTTAACTGGAGTATTATAAACTAAAGGTATATGTAATAGTTCAATTTTATTGGACATAAACACAATATTAAAAATGATGATTAACTTATTACAAATAGGAAAAGAAATATCTAATTTCGACTACTTTCTAAATATTATATTGTTTAGCGCCACTGATTTTGTGTATTCCCAAGTAGTTCTTTTAAAACTATTTTTGAAAATTAAATGAAATAATTATTGTTCCACAGATCAAAAATGATGTAAATTATAATTTTTTTCTACTTTTGGTTTTATATATATTTTATATGTGTATATATAAAATAAGTACACTAAGTGTCTAGTATGCTTTTTTTAAACGTTTTGATAATTATAACATTTCAGTAACAGTGTTAAAAAATAATTTGTACTTTTTTAAGTCTAATATCATTGTTATTGTACATTACTTTTGTGCAAGGCATTGTGTGTAGGTCGTTAAAAAAAAAAAAATAGATACTTATTATGAGAATATTTTATGTGCTAGATACAGCAACCGGTGATAATAAACACAATTTTTAGTGTTTATATTTATATTATTATAGTTGCACACAAATACGGACAAATTGTTTTTGTTTTATTTTTTTTTTTTTACAATTGGGTGCGCACTTAACTCCGTTGAGACTGATGCATAGAACAGCCGATTTAGTAAATTATTGTGTTATATGCCAGTTGATAATTTTTTTATGGCAGCGGTGAGAATAAACTATTCATAATTCATTTTTTATTACAAGAAAAACTGTATATTATTTATTTTTATTTTCCCTCTGTTAACATTGTTGTTATGTTAGACAAAAATTACAATATTGTTTTATTATTATTATTATTATTTTTTTTTTTTTTTTTTTTTTTTTTTTTTTTTTTTTTTTTTGGGCTCTTGTAGCCATGACGGGAAAATTTGTTTTTATATAAAGGAAAAACTTATTTGTGTGTATGTAATAAAAAATAAAATTGTATACTTATATAATATGATATATTGTGCGATGAAAACTAAATTAACACTATATTAGTGCAAGAGTTGTTAAAATATATATATATATGGATATAAAATGAACCTTGATACATTTTGTAAAAAAAAAATTAAGATAATACAATTTTTAAAAAAAATAAACTACTATAATATTATTTTAATGTTTTTTTTTTTTTTGTTTAACACTGTCACTGATTATTATTTTGTGAAACTCAGTGGCCATATTAAGAATTTTAGTAATTTTTCGTGGGCCATCAATTCAAAAACAAAATGTTCACTAATTAAAACATTATTTAATTCTTATTAATAAAAAAAAAACATACATATAAATGAATACCTACTTATAACTTTATTTAATAAATAACTGAATATAAATATTTTAATATGAAAACTTATGAAAATTACAGAAAATCAAAAAATTAAAAAGTAAAATATTATTTTTTCAGTAAGAAAATAGCTACTTTCTTCATTATCTTCATCATCTTTTTTGCATGGAATTTGTTCGTAAATCGACATCTGTATAACTTCATGATACAATTCATTTTTGAAAAAGCAACTCACAGATGTATGTAGAGCCAAATAGCATAGGTACACATCTTAACTATTAATAATTTAAATGTCTGGTTTTTTTTTTTCGGTTCATTTTTTGACAGAAATTTTAACCAGTCCCTTAGTTTTTAAAAGTTTTCATTGTATAGATTTTTTAGAACATTATCTTCTTGGAATTTAATAATTTCTATTTGTAGAGATCCTTGATCACATTTAAAAACTCTTGTTTCTTCATTCATCCAGTTTTCCTACTAAGTAAAGCTGCTAATAAACAGTTGCACGTGTTTTAGTTTTGTTTGAAATCGGTGACTTTATAGATCAGTTTTAAAACTTGTCACAAAATTGGTGAAATTTGTGATGTCAATCCAAACTTTTCTAAAGTTAGAAAAATGTAAATGTTCATTACAAATATGTTATGAAAAATAATTACAATTTTTATCAAAAACAATTGACCTCAACATCAAATGATAAATAAGTTTCCTTGAAGTTGTAGGGGAATTGATTTATTGAAAAATATCTTGAGAAAATGCAATGTTTGCTGCTTGCCAGCCCGTATTGGCTACTCAGCCTACTATTACAGGGTGATTGCAGTAACTACTTAAAAGAAAGCCTAAACAGAAGGTGTAATTACATGGAGTTGTTTGGAGTATCCATTCCCCTTTCTCAGCAGAGTGGTTATGTATTATTTTAAGTAGGAATTGAAGTCCTTTCAAAGTATAAGTCCAAAGTGTTAAGATTTTATTTTGAATTCTGTATCTATAAATGAATTTTAAGCTGAGCTTAATTGGGGACCAGAGCATGGCCTAAAATAGTGTGTATATTAATTTTAATTGTAGAAATAACAGTAAATTTGATAACAATCTACTAATTATTTCATTCTAACCAATACATATTATTCATTTTAAACTGTTTTATATTAGTGATACTTTTTAAAACTGTACTTATATTTATTTTGTGATGTTCTACAGGTTTATTTTTATTGATTGCTATGGAAATTTATCAATTCTATCAATAATTTAATTAAAAATTGTGTCTCTTGAAATATTTTAGTTCCTGGACTAGACATAAGGTGTATACACGGGTGGTAAGGGGCTGAGCCCCCCCCCCTATTGACCGTATTCATATTTATATATATATGCATTTTGTATATTTTTCAAGTTTCAACTGTAACAATAATTATTAAGTATAAGGACAGGTTTTTTTAAAATACACTATTTTCGTAAGTAAATAATTTAGATTACTATCGCTGTCTATTAATAATATCACTTTATTATCACAGAATAAGATAGTGCCTATTGGCTATTAGATTTATAAGATTACTAGATATTTTTGTCTAATTGTGGTGATAATCGTTATAAACAATGGTTTTGTTATTATTACAACTGCGGCGGTCGGTGTTATCTCGCATACGCGGGCTGCCACCTCACAACCTTGGATAATAATAAAATATCTATGATAGCAATACCTACTGAACTTATTGAACCGATGTTACCAACAATTAACACATTATTAATTTCGCCCACGAATGTTGTAGATAATAAAAATATAACCTTTCATTTTTGGAAAACAATTGTGTTAATAATTTTGTTTTCACTTATTCCTCTTGTGTGTCAAAGTAATAATATTTTGTATACTTACTACTTAGGTTTTTCGTCAATGTTTTCGTGTGAAACGCGTATCTCATAGTTTTGCACATGAAAATAACTATTGAATTGTTCATTATTGCAGAATAAGGATCGAATTCCTTTTCGATTTTTAGTTTGAAGAAAAAAAAAAAGGACGAACATAATTCGCACGCGGGTGCAGCCACTGTTGTAGGTGAGAAGTCGGGAAGGTAAGCTACAGACGGGAATTTAATGTATTAATCTATTAAATCTGTAAACAACGATAAACCGTTGCTAGCGAAAAAACGATTATGAGTCGAGTTCAGTTGATAATGTTGCTTTGTCAACCATACAATATAATATAGCATTATGTCATATTATTGAACTCTTAATTCCACAACAAGCATTAGTTTACATGGGTTTAGTGACTTTTTATGTAAAAGAATATGCTCATTGTATGTATATATATATATATATATATATATATATATATTTAGTTACAAATAAAATATATTATTATTATTATTAATAGCTGAATACTTTCTTTAATATTCATAATTATTTAAAAAAATTGCGTCAATGTTTGATGAGGTCTCGAAAAGTAGAAAAAACGTTATAATTCAAGTATTTTTTTTTTTTAAATTAATTACTGATAAAAATAATTACAATTTATAAATATATACATTTTTTTTTATTATTATTATTATTATAATCTATGGAACATATTATGATTTAATTATTGTCTGGTGATTATTTAAAACTATAAATGATAAATAAGCGAAAAAAAAAAAATTATATATAATATTTATTTTGCTGAAATAAGTATAAAAATATAGAAATACATATCTGCAGAAGGCTACAGATTATTTAAACAATGCGTACTTTTAGGAACATGAAATTCAATATTCGAAACCGGGACTTTTCACCGAGTAAATTTACTATTCATACCACTGTGCTACGTACGTTTCTGTTTTCGCGAAGGATTCGGCAGGAATATAAATAGGCAAAAATATAAAAAAGAACACATACTTTGAACACTGCAGTGAATATATTTTATTTACCGGTGACATTTTAATACTTAGAGCGTTTACCAATATAATACTAATAATACTATGTATATTAAAACATTATAGGTACTTATATGTGATATGCAATTTGTTTCGTTTTTTTTTCTCTCACTAAATAGTAAATATTATTATGATATTATGAAAATTAAAATCACGTGGCAACTTCATAACTATCACACGTATCGCAAGCGTTTTATGTAAACGCTCCGAACACAGCGAGTTGTTGGCTAAAAATGCACAAATGCACGTGTACGGAAAAAAAGGGACGGTCGGACAATATAAAATACGATTCGGTAAAGGTTGTGTAAATCGGTTAATATTGCTATACGTCTGTATCAACCTATTGTTTACCCTTAATTTTAGTATTGGAGTAAACTGGCCGATTAGTATCAAACTTAAAGGTGAGTATATTGTTTGTGTTTGTACGTTGGTTTTTTCGGCGAGATAGGGTGATTTTAAAATCGTAATATTGTACACATTCGTAACTAGCTTGAAAATTAAAATATCGAGAAAAAACCCAACGTACGAATATAGACAGTGTTGAATGTTCTTGTATTTTCAGGTTTAATAATAGACAAATACACCCTAATGTTAATACACTAACAGCACACAATCGGTTTTCGTATACAAAAAAAAAAAGAAAGAAAAAAAAGTATAAATACAACAACATTAACCGATTTTACAACATTTACCGTAACATATTGTACACTATAGCCACCGTGCTGTGTACACCTAGCCGTACACCATATATCGCTAGATCGAAAAATATTTTCTCGTCGACGGTGATAGGGACACTCGTAAAACAGGATCTCAATGATAGGTAGTCGCCGGACGTCGTTATCCCTGGGCGCCGCGCACAGTGGAAGGAGGGGCTGTGGGGCTTAAGACCCCGATGCGGTTTATAAGACGGGGCTCGGCCCCCGTAATTTTTATTTAAAAAGCGTTCATGTCGTTGCCCCGACACTGCGTTACGTATAATTTAATGCAATATTATAAATTTATACCGAGTATCATTCGTTCTTCCTACATGCCTACGCATTTTTGTATTAAGATGACGGTCACATGTGCATTTATCATTTCCGTCTTACGAACGCATGGTATAGTTTTGAACACGCTTACGCACACTGCACAGAACTCGCTTGATTTCGGTTTCAGAATAAAAACATCTAATGTAAAATCAAAAAAAAAGAACAATATTCCGGAGGTCGAGACGTTTGCGTTTTTTTCATTTTTTCCGAATTTAACAGTCAATTTACCGTTTATAAATAACGAGACTTTTTCAACGTTTTTCATTGAATTCGCTAAAACGTTCAAAAAAAAATATTTTTTTCAAAATAAAACGCAACGTCTTGCCACCCGGAATATTGTTCGCTATCAATATCATAATAGGTGCTTTTATTCAAGAATCAAAAACAATTTGGTATCCTGTGTAGTCACCGCAAGCATTTTTTACTGTATTTCGTGTTTGTTAAACAGAAACAGCAAATACATGTGTAACGTACTTTAAAACTTTTTAATTATTTAATAATATGCGATGACCTGCATTATTATTTTTATATTTATGTAACACTCTCGCGTTTTTCGTGCCTTTGCGTGTGCGTGCGTGTGTGTGTGTTTGTGTGTGTGTGTGTGTGTGTGTGTGTGTGTGTGTGTGTGGACTCTGTTCGATATTTCTGTGTTCAAGTGATGCGAAATCTCATGGATAAACCAAACGCGTCACGCCACGGATGCGCGCATCGGAGTTGCACGTCTGGCGACAAAATCGGTGATGGCGGCCGCACGCTCGTCGACGGCCCGTTCGTGAAAATAGCTGACCGACCGCGAGTACACTTTGAGCTCGATGCATTTGCCGGCGGCCGAGGTCTTGTTCCGCTTGCCGCCCGACCGCTGGCAACCCGCCGCCACGCAGTCCACGTCACCGTCCATGATGGCACCGAACGGATTTTTGCACGTTTCCGAGTGCATCGGCACCGGTGTGACGGCAGACGCCACTAGTTTATCGCCACCGCCGCCGCCAGTTACCCGCAGTTTGAGCCACTCGTCGTCCCAGCAACCGGCCCCGGCGCCACCACTGCAGTGTCTACGATGACCGGCCTGCACGGCGGCGGCCGCCACGTCGGTGCCGTCGCTGCGGTTGCCGCCCTCCACTATCACCACCTTGATGAGCGGCACCACCGAGTCGCATATCTCGCTGACCTCCCGGGCCAGCTCGAACTTCTCGAACAGGCTCATGTTGCCGTTGCGCTCGAACGCCGCGTGCTTGTCGCTGAAGGCGAACAGCTGCGTCACGCTCAGCGCGTAATAGTCACCGAACAGCCGGGACAGCTCGCCGTACGTCTCGGTCAGCGTCTGCAATTTACGAAATATTATTTTTACGTATTCATTTACGCCGTATTGTACGCTGTGTTCAACGTGCGGAGTAATACGGTAGGTATCTACGTATTGTATTACCGTTGGTACTATACGCCCAAGTATTAAAACAATAATAACAACAATATGGTATGCATAATGGTCCCGCGAAATAATATACCGAACGGGTGTAATCGTTAAGAAAACTATAGAGGTATCGGTTATACCGTTAACCTATTAGAGACGTTATATCAAATTGCAGTATTATTGTCATCGCGGTATTATTGTGTGGCCGTCGGCCGAGGCGGATGCAAAACTGATGAAATGGGTAGCAGGGACGGGGGGAGGGTTATCAAAAGAGAATCACTACTACTGAAAAAAAAAAAAAAATAATAACAGATACCCGGAGGGATATCAGAATCAGGAAAGTCAAAACCATAGGAGATATAAGAATGGATAGGCCATGCGAATATATCGCATGCAAATTAACGCTTTTATGGTTATAAGGGGTCTTATCAATAAAGTTGTAAACTTGATCGAAAATAATCAATAGTTCATAACATTTTTACTTAATTAGTGCTTTATAATCATATACAGTACGCTATTAGAAAAAAAAAATATACATATATAAATCACAACTTTGGTTAATGAAAATTTGCTATAATAATAGTAGGTATTCAATTGAATTTATTCATGTCTGAAATGGATAGGTTTCGTTAATTTAGCCCTGGTACGATTTTCCTTTTATCGCTTTTAATCTTTCCAATTTCTTGAAAAATATGATAATAATAATATCATATTTTATTGAAATATCTGCTTGAAATTGTTACGATAAACAAAATTCAAATACAAATACGTTGATTGAGTTATCATTGTGAAATATAATAATAATAATAAAACCCCTTACTGTGGGAGTGAGAGCGCTATAAGCAGTCTGTCTCATTCATTCGGCTGCATCCGAGTTCCGTCCCGGGTTTTTAAAATGGATATACTAATTCCGTCCCGTGTTATTTATTTAGTTACACGAGTTCCGTAGCTTTTTGCATTTTCTACAATTTATTAATACAGTTTAAAATTTACGACTACGATAACGATTTTATATTATTTAAAGATAAAGATAATATATCATATAAATTTAATCCATGCAATATTATTAATAAAACAGAATTTTCGAAATATCTAGGAGTAATTATTGACCAGTGCTTAAAATTGGACTAACACACGTACTCAAATAAATTACGAAAACTTCACTACCTTTATATCAACGCAAGAAAAATACTGACCATACAAACACTATGCGTGATTTATTTTTCTATTTTCTAATATGGTACAACCGCATGAGGTGGAATGCACTTTATATCACTTATAAATTTAATTTAATTTAATTAAAACCAGTATACTACAATACACGACAGAAAAATAATTTAGAGATCCCTATTATCCGAACCCTCAAATTAAGTTTATGTTTTTCACAGATAAATATTAAACTATTGAACAAAGCCCCGTCTCATATCATAAATTTTAAATCATACATACAATACAGAAAGTGTGTTAAATTATGACTCAACCATATCCCTAACATTTAAGAGCACTTGTACAAGTTATGATGTGAACCTAGGTTCAGCTAGTTAAATTGTTTTGTTCCTTACTTACCATGGTACTTCAAATTATTTTCTTATCTCTATATTTTATGTTTACTTTTATATCTATGTTCATATTATTTTAATTATTTATTTATTTTATTATTATTAGTCGAATTTTACCAATAAGAGGTGAGTTGGGCCATTATACTCGACATAATTTTATTGTAATTATATGTAAATGTACCCACAGATGGCCAATCAAATATTATTATTTTAATTTTTTGATTTGTATCGTTCCTTTAATTATAATATATCTGGAGCTCTACTTAAGCATTTTGGGGCCCCGGGGCTAATTTTTTCATGGAGTCCTTAAATTAAATTATAAATTCAGTTGTTCTTTTGTTATATCACTTTTTATATTCAATTTATTAATAAATAAATTGTTGAAATCGTGAAAAAAGATACTTTTTGATGATACAATAAAACGCTTCTATAAAAAAAAAAAACTGACTTATTATTATAATTTTTAGATTCTGAGCAGAGCGAGAAATGTATTAATTTTACAACAATGTGTTTTTTTTCTGTGAACAATATTTCCACTAGAAATCTTGCTTCAATTTTCGTGTGTAGTACTTTTTCTGAGAAAAAATTTGACTGAAGTGGTGCTTTAAAGAGATCTTATTTTGATATTTCTATAGGTTTTCCCTAATAAATGGAAAAATTTATGAAATTTATTATTTTCAAATCATAAATATTATAGCCCTTTAAATCATGTACAAAAGAACGCCACTCAGAATCGTTTTTTCGTTTGCAATGGTTAACCGCTGCGTAAAGATATACATTAAATTTCTCCTCTATCTTTACAACTTCTCACCTACACAGTGGACACCCACGTACGAACTAAGTCCATTTTTTTTTTTTTATAAATATTCAAATCCGGGAATTTTGTTTTTTCTTACCCGTATTTCGTTATCATCAGTATAAAACAAAATGTTGATAATTCATTTTTTTTTTCAAAATTCACTATTTCCCAACTTTATCTTGATAAAAAATTATATCAACTACTGATTAAATAATTAAGAAATTTGTCATAAGTGGTATTTTAGTAAATATTTTGTACTTTAACAAATTTATTTTGTTATTGGTTTTAAAAAATAATTTTAAAACCAAATTAATATATAGGAGCCCCTAATATGCCGGGGCCCGGGGCTGCACCCCTATAGCTCTCCCCCTAAGTAGGACTCTGAGTATATCCGTCAGAAAAATCGTTCCCGGTTATTTACATTGCTGGAATTGTTTATTCCTAATCAACATTTTTCCTGATTTTTACGCGGCCCCTAATATTTTGTACATATGATATTACATCGTTATAATTTTTTTCATCGAAACCCATATAGATATTAAAGAAATGAATCGGATACGTAATGAACGCCTTTCCTTTATCATTGGGTTTTAACTTTTAAGACAGTGTAGGCCATTATACTACCGATTTCCGGTCCATATATCTTTAATATATCTATGTTGATACTAAATATAATATAAACGACATTTATTTTATAAATACTAGTATTTTGTTGATACCTAGTTAGCACCGTCACACTGGCAAACTAATAAACCGCTATAGTTTAATACTTACTAACAGAAAGAGTATAATATGTATCGCTATTCGGGACACCTTTATTGGGTTCCTAAAGTCAAAAAGTTCAACATGCCGTCGGTTTCCATAACAACAATTTGATTGCAAAACAAAACAGCACAGTATAGAATATCGTGTTTAAAATTACACGAATTACGTGTTTTTATCAACTCTTCAACTTTATAAATATATATCTTTTATTATTTTGAATTCAACGAAGAGGCTTTTTAATGTGTTGCACGTATTTTTTTTTCCATGAAAAATCCTACGAAAAATTGCAGATTATTCGCCGGACGGTACTTTATAAATATTTTTTAGATTCCCAACAAATTGGTTTAAATTTTGTCGATTTCTGAGTTACCTCGGCTACAAATGAAAACAACGCGACATTAACAGTTTACCAAACTCCACTACGAATCGTTTTATACGGCTGCAATGATTTATCGTTGCTTTCAGCGTGTCATCTAAATTAACCTATATCACATAATACTATTGGAACTTCCCAACTAAAACCATGGTCGATGGCTCGATGTATGGTTTTTTTATTTTAGTCGAGTATTGTTGTTTGTTTTTTACCATTGCAAATCCAATATTTTGGCGTATAATGAATTAAAATATTATTTCAATTTGAACCAACCACCTTATAAAACGTGGTGAATATAGTACTTTGAACAGATTTTAAAATAAAAATCGTCCGTAGCTTAAATACGCACCGTTGGGAAAATATTTATAAATTAGGACATGAGCAAGGGTGTTGATGCAATTGCGTGACCCCACGACCTTGGGTTAAAAATGCGAACGAATAAAAACACGAGGTGTACGGGTCTGTCGGTTATCGATCATACTCGTGTTCTAAAAAGTAAAACATTTTTCTGAGAAATACTTTCAACCGTTATTTTATCATAATAATATATATAATAACTAATAACGTATGTCGAGTAATCGCCAATCGAACGCATTCTCCGAGTAAAAATAACGTGTAAATATAAAGCCGTTCGTGAAAAATGACACCGAGTAAATGACGCAATACGGCATATTAAATAGGTTTCCTGAAGATTGTTTTTGTTTGAAGAGCTGAACAAACGGCGTGTATACAAACAAATGCAGAAAAACAAGTACGTTTATTTTACGTTATGGATGATATTTCTCGTACATATAAGAAGAATACCGACTCAAGTGGCGGGTTTCGTCGCACCTGTACGATATTGGCGAGTCGATAGATAAAAATCGTACCTACACAACGTCATTCAATTATACTTTACGGGAAACCGAGCAAATCCGGGTGATTATCACGTTTATTATAAACGTGTATGTATTGCGGGCCTCACGACCGGGTTGGTCGGCCGTTGCGTTCACACGAGAACAAAAATAAGAACTGACAGAGAACATATTAAATGTAATCCCGTATACTGCAGACACTTGTGCGACAATCGATTGTGCAAACAAAAAAATTGCGTTTCAAGTGACGCATGATATTAATAATAATGATACCATTGTGGTAACAAAAACGGAGTGCACTGTGCGATAATATCCGTCCGAACCTACCTCGTGGCAAAGGTCGAAAAGGTTGTTCCAACGTGCACTGTTCTCGTCCTTCGCGGCGGACAACATGACCGCCAATTTCTTGGATATACCCTTCAGCTTGTACACCCTGAAAATCGGCAACAGCGCCCGTTCCATATAAAAGTGTTCGCTGTACACGTCTGTGTAGATGTCGTCCACACTCTCCCTAAATAACATATATGAACGTGAAATGTATATTATTATATGTTTGCGAGGGATTGTTTAAAAAACTGATGCGATGAGAGAGAACAGACCAAGACGATATTTTGAACATGTGACGAATCAGAGGCTGTATACGAATGGCTATGCGAATCAATGTGAAAAGGAGGGGAATAGGAATACCGAAATGGTATCGTATCCGATATGGTCGGACACGATTAAGAATATATTATGATGAGGACTCGTTTAAATTTGATATCATATTAATTGGTGTAATAATACGTGAAAATACAAAAATTCAACATGAATGTAGCGACGTCACATAAAATATTCTATGCTCAATCGTATTAAGTTCAAGCGTGCTGTACCGGTATTAAGCGGAAGTTATAGGACAAATGAGACCAACTCGGTGACTCCAAATTTAGTTTGTGAAAGAGACGAAGAAGAAGAGATATGTTACTTACAAATTATTACGCAAGAAAGGTCTGAAATCTCTCAGGAGGTGGCAGTAGGTAATCATGCGGGTTCTGGCCACTGATTTCAAATGTTTAATCAGCAAATCGGCGAGATCGTCTAACCTTTCCAACACCATCGGTGCGTCCGGCCACATGTCTTCGACATCGTGCAGCAGAGTGTCCGAACTTTCCTTCACTGAAAATTATACCCCGCCACATTAAAATACACGTTACGTGGCGTAATATTCTGCTGTTGAGATAAAGATCATCACTCACGCTTAGACAACGTTTGTTCGATTAACGATTTGTCGTCCGTCAGAAAGTAATCGGGCCACAGTGCACGTTTTTTAAACGCAACTAGCATTTTTTCCATTTCTTTATTGTACGCCATTTCATTTTCCAGAATAGATATACGTACTCTGACTAAAATCGCGTCAATATCGTCTATTCCGCATAATATTTCTATATATTGAATTAAAACATTGCAATATATTATTCTCAGTAATATTATAACAATTACAATCATTGTAACTAGTCGTAGTAGTTTTATTCGTTGTGTATGGTTTCTCACCCTTGTTTAAATGTGTAAGCGTCATAGGTAACTTCTCCCAACTTGTGATTTCTTGAAGTGAGCGACTTCTGGAAAACGGCATACGTGGTTTCGATAATTTATTACTGGGAACCTTAACATAATAATAATATGTTCATTAACGATTGTTAAACATGAATATAACTTAATGTTATTGCAGGTTAGTTGAATTTAGCATTTGAATCTTACCTGTCGATTTAATCTAGTTAATGGCTCATAAGGACCTGAAAAAATATAATCCACGAATAAAATGAATGCTTAAAATATTATATTTCGTATTTAATTTATTTTACATCTGAGCTGAGATTTTTGATTGAGATATTGAAAATAAGTCTCTTCGTTCCAAGCTTCTTTCACTTGCCGCATACGCTTCTTCCAGGCGGCTAATTGTTTCTCCGAATTAAATTTAATTTTGAACCAATCCAACTTTGCTATGTTTTTGATATGCAAAATCAAATGGCATCCGTCGCAAATTCTCCGGCTCACCGCTAAGTCTCTTACCGGGTGAATCTTTGTTCTCCTTGGATCTTGATCGTCTCTGTTAGGGTATTATGTAAACATTGTATTTATAAATGGTATTGTTCCTATTGTAGTAGATCTATTAATTCGCGTTATAGAAAAACCATTTACCCATAAATCCATAGTGTACTGTTGCTGAGAACAACAAATCGTTGTCTCCAATCAGGGTCTCCAACAACTTTCACCATCAAGATATCGCAAAAACTTGATATCGCTGACATTTTCCCCTAAAATTAATATATATATACATATAATATAATAAACAATTAGGTCAGATATTACTCTTTATTTTTTACTCATACGTCGTGTATTATAATAGTGATTCATGTATAGAGGTACTCGTAATTTATAATAGATATACTTATACAATTATTATAATTACAAGATTTAAATAAAAAAAAAATAAATAAATCATTAATTTAATTAGGTATTTATTTCATTAAAATATTTAACCGAATTTGAAATCACCGAGATAGTGTAAAGATTAAAGATCGCCTGTATCATATTGAAGGAACGAGTAAAATGATAGTTTTGTCCGATTCTTTGCATGTTGTGTTATTAGTAGGTACTTAACGCATAATTAATGATCATACGAAAACGACTTTATAAATATTAATATCATAACTAACCGATATCGTTATAAATATATAGTTTTTAGTTTTTTTTTTTTTTTTTGAAAAAAGTCTATCGACTTCATAATGATGTCTAGAAGAAAACGGCATATCTTCATTTATAAATAAAAGTTAATAATATTGATAATATTAGTGGATTGGATAGGTTAATATTATTAATCGTACGGTAAGAACGGTAAATCCCTACAGGTAATGATGTTGGGTTTAAATTTAAAGGTCACAAGATAATGAAATTGTAATTATTATCTCCTTACGATGATTATTAATTAAACGGCCTCGGGACTCTATTCGTCTGTCGAATTTGATGACTGTCATGCGTCTTGGTATTATTATTAAAATTCGTTACTAACACCGTTTTCTGAATGAATGCGTGAAATATTGTTTACTTACGCATTAGTATAGACCATAACAGACCGGCATTAAATTAGATTAGTTAATATTTGTTTTCATATACGGTAAATAAGTAAATGACTTATATAAGAATAAGAGTATTTTACATGTATTCGTCTAGCGGTTTGATTTTGAAGAAAATAAAGGTTGGACTTTTGAACGATTTTATTAAGCAGATAGGTACACCAAAACACCGAGTAAACAAAGAAAATAACAAACATTTTTTTTAAAAATTGAAATCAAATGAATGGACATTTGTATAGTATTGGACATGCACGGTAAACTATGGTAATTATTTCGATCAAAGGACTCTAGTACTCGACTATGGAAAAACACTCTCACCATCAGTCAACCTAATACACAATTTTATTACACCGTTTATAATGAAAAATAAAACAAACATTTTGTTTTTTATCCATACAAATCGAATGGGAAAATAATTGTAATCGATAATAAATGGTTAAGGAAAAACCGGATTACTTGATAATATTAAATTCAATTTTAACTTTTTACAATATAGTAGTACAACCAGTAGGGGAAATTACCGGATTACGAACACTTCCGGAATAGACAAAATGTTTTCGAAAATTATGTTTAGTATTTGAAAACAAAGGGGGTTAATTTGGATACCTCATTGAAAACCCTTTATTTGTTTCTTCCCCACTAGCAGCTAAACATTATAGGTAGGTATTATAATAATATTATATTTGCTGATTTGACCATTATGACATTTTACTGTTTTTAAGATAATTGGATTAATTTAATCAGTCAAACAAATTCCTAACGCATTAGTGTTTTTATAAAGTAATTATTTCTTCTTATTGCCTATACTGTGTAAATACGTGCAAATTGATAATAGTCTGTCTTTATATATTTATACTGATAAAATAGCAACTATAGTTTTTTTCTTTGTCCGACTACACTAGAGTGTAAACACAAATGGAATAATGTACGTCTATAATGGTAGGTTATTTAACAGCTTCATTTTTTTTACTCAAAAATCCAATATGTCCCTTACTCGTAAAAAATATAATAAACATAAAAAAATTAATAATTATTAACATTTCTATGCAATTTGATTGTAATTTTTTTAATATGATAATAAGATTAAACTCTATAATACGAAATACATTAAACAAAATAAACACTCGATTGAAATTATTCCACTTGAACTTGTTCTAAAAGTCACGTAGGTTCTATACGTATATTTGTACAGGATGGTCCATTTAAGTGTTTAAATATTAAATAATAAATATTTCTTTATTAATTTAGTAATTCTTTAATAATTTCTTTAGTACTTAAATAGGTCACTCTGTATATTAGTCACTCAATAACACATTAATATATTGTTGTATATTAAAGTATAATAAAACCCATGTATTTTAACATGGGTTTTATGATTTGAATGTATTTATGACAACTGTAAAATTTTAAATATACCGCTAATCACTCATCATTAACGCGTGTATTATTTTCAGTATAAAAGCTTAATTAGGACTCAAAAGAAATTTGGTATAATTTTTCGACAGCGGGCATTAAATTACCATTGACAATTTATTCGTAGACGGAAAAAATTAATTATTACCGAAATAATACAAATACAACGATCAAATTATCTTATTTTTATGTATTCGATTGGATACATACTATATACAAGAAAACGTGTTTCATTGAAATAACATTTCTGATGGACAAGTCATTCACAGACACAAAATATTTTGAAAAAAAAACCGCACTTGTTATACCAACACATTCCTCACTGTGCTCAAGATCTAAAAAATAATCAGAATAGAAAATAATACTCGTACGTGATACTACAATTTTATAAAATAAAGTAAATATACCAATGTTCAATTATTTAATGTACCTATGTATGTTATCGTTCCACGAATCACACGACTAATAAATTAATATGGATGTTTATACGATGACATTAAAAAGGTTTAATAAATTAAATATTTTTTAAATATATTAAAACTGGTTAACTAAAAATCTACTATTTTCCTTTATATATTAGTCCAATTTCCGTAGTTATAAAAACGGTTTAGTGAAAATTAATTTTATAAACCGAATTTAATGTGGAACTTTTCTGTGATCTTGAATAAATAATTTAATTTTAAAGTATTTAAGTATTTGACGGAATAAAAAAAAAAAAAAGAAATCGAGACGCGACTCTTTAAAATAAAAGTAATAATGATTGGTTATGAGCGCACAAATAAAAACTGATAAAGTGATGAGGTTTCAAAAACGCGGTCATAATAAATTTGTTTATTTCATAAATCGTTTTGAAATAACGGTTTTAATTTCTTGAATTACCTAGCATGGGCATTTTATTTTTGAAACTTAACTAAAAATAAAAACAATTTGATATGTTGTTTAAATCATTTTATAGTGTTAACACGACAAGAATAAGTTTTAATTTCCAAACGATTATATTTCAAAACCATTTTAACTCGTATCGTAAATGTATTAAATAAATAGGTATATGCATACGATTTTTGATTATACAAAACGCTAATTTATAGGCGTATCTGAAGCTCAAGTGATTGCGTAGACATGTAGAATTAACGTAGTATCAATATTTTTTTAATAATTAAGATTAGTCATATCGTATATTATGTTGATAACCAAATAGGATATTGGTTATACATTTTGAGCCATGTCTAAAGATATTATAAAAATTGTTGTATACGTTTCACGTGCCTCGACGACAGTGGGATTTGTATTTTCTCTTACCAATGTAGACTACGGATATATATGCAGGCGTATATGGATAATAAATAGCTAATAGGTATACGTTTCACTTGATCGGATTTAAAAAATTAATTTATCATATTATCGTTAATATTTTTTACTATCACCGGTAGAAATAAGTAGATTAGTTATTTAAGTAAAATATTATTCGCTTTATTGTCGTGTATCACGAAATCACGAAAATGATTCTTTTAAAACATTTTTTTTTTCTGGTATGCCTGTTATTTTATTTATTTTGAATACTGTGCATGAGGTATACAAATATTTGTATGGCTATAGCAGTGGTGCGCAATATTTTTTGATCCACGATCCCCAAAATTATTTATTTTGATGATACGACCGCCCATTATGTAAGTATATAATATATACTTACTTATTATTATACTTACTTACTTACTTAACATATACAAAAATTGTATTCATATAAATTAAATCGTTAATTTTAATATTTCTTTAATTTAATAAATCCAAAATATAAACAAAAATACAAAATTAGAGTTTTATAAAGTTTAAAATGAAAATAATTACTGAAATTATTATAATTTTAATCAACTTTTTCATTTGGTGTTACATTATTGGCGATTCCCTAATATAATTAATACATCATTTCCATTATAAAACTCTATTTTTCAACTATAACATATTTAAATATGTAGTAAAAAGACGTCCTAGGATAATGGGGATGAGTGCAACCACTGTTATACGTAATTATTTAATGTATACGTAAAAACGATTCTGCGCGAAGTTCAGTTGACAGTGACGCTTTGGCAACAATATGCTACACTATAGCAAAATAATTAAATAGGCTTTATACAGTGTGTAATCGTTTGTTGGAAACACTCTATAACTTAACAAATTTTAAATATATTTGAATTATGTTTGTTTTTGGTGCTTAAAAAACTTTTTTATAACTTATTTGACTAATTAAACAATTTGTATGCCACGTCATTTCGCGCATTCGCATATCAACTTTTTTTTTTAAAAAAGGCAATCCCACCTTATTTTGGTTAAATATTTTTACTCTTTTTTTTTTTATGAACTTTAATGGTAAAACCAACTTCCTATGTTAAAAAATAGCCGAGTTATGGATATTTCAAAGATTGATATTATTTTTTTGACATTTTTGAATTACTCATCAATTTTATGGCTTAAATTTTTAGCACCTCATGATATCTTCTAGTGATATTTTTAGTGCCTACTTTTCGGAAGGATCCTCTTCCCCTATAGCAACTAATTTTTTTAAGTTTGTTTCCTTAGGCGATTTAAAAAAAAAAAAAAACAATGTTAATTAATTTTATTTTTATTAGTTCAAAATTACATTCATTTTATAAATTGTTCAAACTGCTCTCCATTATAATTTAAAAATGGTTCTGTCCTCCGTAGAAATTCTTTATTTGTTGCAGATTAAATTTGCCCTTCAGTAAGTTGATTACACGCCACAATTATTTTTTGTTTCAAATCAATAAGATTAGTAAGTGGGTTTGCAAATAGACGACAGTTTTAGATATCCCCACAAAAAGTAATCAAGTGGTGTAAGATCTGGGGATCGAGGTGGCCATTTTATTATACCATTAGTTCCTATCCAACGATTTTCAAAATGTTCATTTAAATAATTCTTCACAACAATTGCATTATGTGCCGGGATTTATTATGAGAAATACCTATTTCAAAGCCGACATGACGCATACTAATTCTGTGATTTGCTCTTACGTACGCCAACACTTGAAGCTTAATATCTTTCCCTAATGCATTAACTCGTCTAGGTTGCTGGTTGGCAATAATTGTTGTGTTGGAAAAAGAACCGGTATTTTTAAATTTCTTGCTAATTTATGAAAATAACTATGTGACGGATGTTGCCTATCTGAATTTAGAAAAACAAAAAATTGTTTTATTATTTTCATCAACAACACGAAAAATTATAATTAACGATAAATACACACTTGGGTAACGTTCAACATAAACACGTGCCGCCTGACGTGAATTTTTTTCACATTCCCAGTAAATAAAAAGCATATCAGCTTTTTGTGAATTATTCATATTTTGTTTAAACTAAAAGGTATCTCAATTATAAAGTTATTAAATGTAACTTAACTATTGTTTAATAAACACGCGCAAATTCCAAAAATATGACCGTAAAGCAAATATGTAAGAAACAATAGTAGTCGCACTGGCCTATTTGAAATGAAAATAGTCATTTGATCGTATCTAAATTACCTAATATTTAGAGAAGAACAGTTGTGAAATGATGGAGAAAACCTAATTAATTATATACCTAAAGCCTATTTAATTATTTTACTATAATATAGCATATTGTTGCCAAAGCATCACTGTCAACTGAACTTCGCGCAGAATCGTTTTTTCGTAAGCAATGGTTTATTTTTGCTTACGTATACATTAAATAATTACGAATAATAGTGGTTGCACTCATCCCCATTATCCTAGGACGTCTTTTTACTATATATAATATATAATTTATTATTATTATAATTTAATATATATTTGAATATGTTATAGTTGAAAAATAGATTTTTATAATGGAAATGATGTATTCATTTCACGCTTAATGTGCTATATAAGGGACTTTGCAGGTATATTGGTTTTGCATCCCACAAAAGTAATGTGAAATGGTGCCCCTGTTCTCTACCGATTTTTTTTTTCAATTGATAAATAACAATATAAAATAATAAAATAAAAACAAAATTATTTAAAATAAATTATTTCTATGTAAAACGACCAATTTTTATCATTTTTTCACTATGTATTTCTTCATTTATTTTTTCATATTCAGTCACATTTTACTTTTTGATTTTGTGATTTCTTCTGACAATGAATTTTAATTCGAAACTGGTCGTACAATACACATTTCAAAATCCTCCAGGCAAAGCATTCATTTATTTATTTATATAAATATTGTATTGACTACATTGAACTCCAATTTAGAAATGGACATTTCGTAAAGAAGTATTTTACAAAAAACGAGATAAAAATATTGAAAAACGGAATCCAATGCGGTATGTAAGTAGTCTGTCTCTGTCCAACAACAAAATAATTATCAAAATCTGACCAATCTACGAGACATGCGAGTTTTTCCCGTCATAAAGTATAGTTTAGAACTAAAAAACACGCTGGCAACGGACCCCTTAATATCGAATAAGAAGACGTTATATCACAACCGTCTGCAGTATACAATGTCTGACTGACTTGCAATACATTATTATCCGTAAAAGAAATACTTTATACCTTACATTGTACGCAAAGCATTTATAACTATAAAACTCTGTAATACTTCTTTGTTAGATCAGATCTTACAAAAAAAAAAAAAAAAATCCAAATGACATTGAGTTGCTAAAAGTTATAATTTTAACTTTACGTCACAATAATATGACTTAGCGTGTCTACCAGTCGTGTTATTATTTTTGTTTATAATATTATAACTTGTTTTCTATATATAGGTAACACTAAATAGACGCGCGGGAACAACTTTGTGCAGATGTCGCATATTATCGTCACGTTTTCTTAAGGGCCTTAAGCCGATTTTCCAAATTTTCTCCAATTTTGTGAAATTAGTTTTTACCTTTTAATGACTTCCTTAATGATACGACTTTTCGACTAATCTATCGTCCATTTATAGACGAATGAGACGTTTTATACACATACCCACATGTCTAGTTTTACACCACTTATCGGTCTGAAGCAATATGCAAAATAGGTGTGTCCCAAACTCCTGATCCCCTCAAGTTTAATAATATACTACAGTTTATAGAGTACAGGTTTTAGGTATATTAAAAAAGACAATTGGTTTACGTAGTATGTTATCAACTATCTCTTTAATATAGTATAATATATATATCGTATTGTATTATAAATAAATATAGGCTTTCGATAAGACGTCACGTCGTCGTAATATTTCCTTTGTAACATGGTTTCGTAGTATTTAATGTATTGTTTAAGATTTCGTTTAATATAATTTATTGCCTTGAGATAAGACCGGAGTGTCATAAAGAGCACGGTGGTATATCGCGCGTATATAATCTCGATGATATAGAAATGACATTACAAAACTTAAATCAAACTATAATTTATCCAATTTTTAAGTATCGTACATAATGATAGTATACGCACTATAATACCTGTATACAATTTAATGTGGTATCTAGCACATGTTTATTATAGCATACCTAATATATATTTTTACGGCGATTACTTGAAAAAGAACACGGAAAAAGGGAAAAATTCTATAAATGGTACATGCACTGAGAATGAGTACACCTATCTAAATTTATTTGGTTATCCATAATCGATGGTATTACGAATATTCGAAAATATACCCAAAAAATTATTATAGTACACAAATTCCGATACTAAAATGAAAATCGATCGTGTCCCGAAAATGCTCTATAAGTGATTAATGTAGATATAATGAGTCTTAATAAGTAGTTTCGATGATGAAATGTTAATATCTTTACTACAATAAGACAATAATATTAATCCCTCATAAGTAATTTATACATTTATAAATATATACCAATTTCACGCGCGTGTTGTTAGGGTAAAATACTTGAAATGTTATAGTAAGTTATACAAATTTATGACTATATCGATTTTACTATTTATTTGAAAAATTCAACAATAGACTGTATTGTTATATAATATATGTATTATAAAAATGTACATAATATTTCGAGATGTAACGTTTATGTTTAACTGTTTAAGACTATATATATAGTTTTAAAGCGATATCCGCAAACTTAAAAGTTGAGTGCCTAATATATAGCCCCTATATAGGTGATGTTTTAATACCGTGTTTATTCGAAATGTTAATGGATTCTGTGCGGGGGAGAAAACGTTGAATTTTCTGTTATGTGTTTTTATTATGTTTTAGAAAATGCATTACGTAGGAATAGTTGAAAAATATCAAATAGATGTTTATGAAATGATTAATACCTAACGTGTTACACAGGCTCCCTTCGAAATGTAAAAGTATGTTTTTCTAAGAAAATATTTATATTTTGCATGCGGATTTTTTTTTATTCACAGTACAGATTCAACGACTTATGGAAGCGCAGAGTCGGCAAGAATACAGGAGTCTGTAGTGAATACAGTCGACGGGTGGGTACTGGATGCAGTATAATATGTATGATACACTATAATGCTGGATACAGGGGAAATTGAGAGACATGAGTGGCGATACAGAGAGATTAGGACAATGTCTAGATGTTAGTGTTCTCGGAAGTGGATACAGCCGGTATACCTGGTATAACACAGGAGAAATTGAGATGGAAAATGATTGAATTCACTGTGACTAAATGCAGTCAATATATATATATATGTGTGTGTATATGTATGTACAGTATGCGTATAGAGTTTTGAGACGTACCCATATCTCAATATATGAAAAATATAAAGACAGATTATTATGATACACGTTAGATATTTCGTAAGGGTTTTGGTGGGGATATAAACAGTAAAACGTTTTAAATAATAAATATAAGTCAGGCAAAAAAATATGAAAAAAATTCACAAAAAAAAAAAACGCAAGAAATCTGATCGACCGAGCGGCCGAGTTATTCTTACGGAGCTTAAAAAGGCGGCAGCGCCGCCGTGAATCGAACCCCGGGACGATAATCACCTAAACTACCTAACCTATCTATCGACCTACAACGTTTGTAGAAGAAACCGAACGTTTTACGGGTATATAAGTCACAATTATTACTCGTAAACTACTGAAATAAAACGGGCGCTTTGGGACCGTTAAACCGAAGAAAATGTATGAAAATAACGAAGTGAGTAAATAACGGCGAGTAAATACATAGTATATGTCTAATTCAGAGCCCTAAAATGGTATTGTAAAATAGTAAATTATAATACACCTGTGCAGGATCTCTTCAGTGGCGTACCTGTGGGGGAAGGGTCGAAGGAGGCATTTGCCCCCTCCCGTGGTTCGTATAATTATATGTGACAATATGTATGCATTACTATATTTTTTAAATTTTTAAGAAATTTTCTATTTTAAGAATAGGTGAAAATATATTTCGCCCCCCCTCCCGTAAGAGAGGCCTAGGTATGCCACTGGAGCTTTTAAAAGTCATAACAGTCTTCGGTCATAACGTGAAAAACCATTTATTAAAAAAAAAAACGCTTTTTATTAGTCGCATTTAAAATGTAATCGTAATATAGCGAAAACGATTGAATTAATATCAATAGATTATAAATCATTTTTATTGTTCTGCTATCGTGAAATCAATATTTATTTAAATCAAATATTGTAAATGTTTATATTACCTACGCATAATTTTATAACATTGTAGTAACGAAAATTTTATACATATACAATAGGTATTCGTATTCAACATGTATGTAAAAATTATGTAAAATTTAAATTATATATATTTATAATAAAATTTAGTCTCATACCAACATTTTTTTTTTACAAATTTATTAGTTTTTCTAATTGGCGATAGTATTGATAATAGTAATGTTTTGTAGGTTCTATCGCGCAAATGTATCGTGATTTTCAACTTATTTCGCCCTAATTTTTTTTATTTAAAAAGAGGACAAATTCAATTTTGAATAAATGCTAAAATCAAGTAAAATAAGTAAAAATCACGATACATTTACGTAATATAATCTATAAACTATTACTAGGTACTGAAAACTAACGATTAACGCATATATCGACGAACGATGGTTTATGAATAAATAAATACAAATAACTGATAGAGAGCGGCCATTGTTGTAGGTGAAAAGTTAAGAGGGTGAGATACACAAGGTTATTTCATTTATATCTGTAAACAACGATAAACCATTGTTTGATGAAAGACGATTCCGAGCGCAGTTCGGTAATATATAATTTAAAGTGCCATATTTATTTTTATTTTTTTTTGCTTTTTTCGTTTAAATTTGATTTCAAAACGCTTATTAAAAAAAAAAAAGTCCGATGATTTTGGAAATTTTACCACGTCTAGGTAAGTCCACTAAAAGTATGATTACTAAGTTTCAAGTCTCTCCGTGTATTTATAACCGAATTACAGCAAAAAACTCCCAAAAATTAAAATTCACTAAAAGCTCAAAAAGGGGTTAAAAGTTTTGGCGATAATACCGTAAGAAATTAAATCAAAAAAAGAACAAAACATGTGGAATAATCCCTTTGCTAGGAATCTAAAATAAAAATATTTATAATATATAAATGTATTATTCCTTATTTATTATTATCTTGCATATCTTATGTTAGAGTACAATTTTCCATAATACACTTATTTTTTTTCAAAAAATGACCTATGTACGTAAAAACTTTCTCGTACATTCTACAATGTTACATTGTTGTTCTTTTTTTTATACCTTTATTTTTGATTGTGATACAACTACTCACTTTTGATTTTTACATAAATAGATGAAGGTTAGTTTTAATACATTTTGGTTTTAAAATTTTTAATTTCCGTCAATCCGTTGACGAGATATTCCACTTTAAAGTTTGGGTAGGAAAGAAAAGTGAAATATCATTTTGAGTAGCGTTGAAATAGTGCACTTCGCTATTTACTTGGTGAGGTTGATCATCGAGAACATCATTAATATGCATAACCAATATTATGTATTAACTATACAAATGGCGTATTTACGGAGGGAGGTTAAGGAGATACATCACTTCCCTTGACCTTTTATTAGGATCTATTATTGTGAAATTTATATTATGGCTAAAAAATAGATAACTAGATACCTAATTCAAAGTTTAAATTTCTTTACTATTTAGTCTGAAAAATTAATAACTCATGGATGGTTTGTTATCTACGTAGTTGATCCATCAGAAAAAAACCTGAACGAACTTGTTTTTTTTTAAATCTTAACCGCTATTGTTATAACTTATAATATATGAAGGAGGTTACGGATTAATATATAAATAGTAAATTAATTAATAATAATTACTTATCTAGGTGCACCTATGCCCTATATATGTATTTGATTGCAATAATAGTATTATCAGACACATTTTCATGTAAAATTTACAATTTTTTTTTTAGCTTGGTCACATGTTGTACAATAATAATAATTTATAAATAACAATTTCCAAGTACCACTCTTTTTGGCAAAATCCTGAATACGCCACCGGAAACTATAATACTCAGTGGCGTATTTACGGGTGGAGATTAGCAAGATATATTTCCCCTACCCCTCGAATCTATTATTTACACTACTAACTATTTTTAAATTCTAATTTCTTTACTTTTTAATCAGAAAAATCAAAAATTTGACGTGTCGGTTTCTACCTATATAGTCAATAATGTTAATTTATCAAAAAAAAAAAAACCTGAATGTATATATTTTCTTAAAACGAAACCTATATTCAAATCACTAAAATATGAAGGAGATTAGATTAGCACTTATAAAAAGTAAATCAATTATTTAATAATAAGTTCTTATCTACCTAGAATTGTACATTACTTACAAAAGTATACATAATATATATATAAATAAAAAACTGATCCTTTTTTTAAAAACCTGGGTACACGTTACACAAATATGATACATTTTTCAAATTCAATATCTCCTTTCTTGGCAAAAGAATAACACTATTATATACGGTTTGATGGAAATATTCATAACTACAATATTATACGTGTATACTATATACAAAATGTACACGTAAAGGTAATATAACTCGGCCCGGTGTTCATGTTGAATGAAAACTGCCGAAAACGAAAAGAGGGTGGAAAAAAAATATACTCGCGCTGCCTACCTATATTATACCTTTTTTTTTTTTTTGTCCGATGACGGCAGCTGAAAACGACACGTAGGTACAACTGCAATGGGCGCTGAAGGGTCGTGGTACGAGGTATAGACACCGCGGTCACGGACTGCTCCAGGCGCTGGCGGGGGGTTGGCCACAGCGAAATACCGGAAATATTATCGCGTTCTTGAATTTTTTCCTCCAGGGGGGTGGCGGGCGGCCCGACGACAAATCCGGTGCCATGCACACGCGTAATGACGCAGAATAATAATAATACGATATTTTATCAGTTAATTATATTATAGTACGTACACTATATTATTATAATCAATGATATTATTTTATATTATAATATTATTATTATATTGAGCGCGTACGACGGCGAGACGATATCGGACGGATCTGAGCTCAGATCAGGGAGACGGCGACGGGCACGGTGATCGCGAGTACCTTCGCGGCGGGACGGTTTGACACGGCTACATATCTGCGATCGGCGGCCGCGGACTCGGGGTTTTTATAACAGCAGCGCGAGCGGTATCGCCGCCGCCATCGACCGGAGCGCGGCTACGCGTCGCGCGGCCGACATCGTCGTCGCCGCCGTCGTTTCTTCCCCGCCACCGCCACACCCCTACGACGGCGACAACGTGCCGGCGGCCGTCCCCGCAGTACCTATCGCTGTACCGCGCGCGCCACGACCGTTACGATTTCCCACCGTCGTCGTCCGGGAACTATCCGGGAACGCTCAGACTTCCGGACGCGACGAAATTCCCCGGCGGTCACGTGATTGTCGCCCGGACACGTGCGACGGGCAAATAACAACAATAATATTGTAACAATATTAATATCGCGTTTTATTGGTAGTTGGCCAATAATAATAATAATCATGACAATATTTTAGGCGCGAACGTCATTTTCAAATATTTGCACCGGGAAAACACGCGCGAAACAAAAAAAAACTTCCTCGCGTGTTGTCTACTTTGACTCATACTGTTAGAAAAAAAAAATGTTATACCTATACGTTCTTATTATTAGGCACACGTGCGTCGCAGTACCGAAACATTTAGGACACTGTGCAAATTATTCCGATGTTATTTACACAGGCGTAATTACTGCGCACATTTTAACATTATTATTATTATTATTATCGTTACAAACTCCTTTTTCCAGGTTTCCCGCCGTGATAATACCCTTTTTTAATAAAAACAAATCACGGTTTTAATTCAACATAATAATATATGTAAAACCCGTAAAGAACGAACAAATTTGTACATAATTTTAAGTTTTTTTTTAATTTAACACACACAATACACAATATTCATTGGAATGACGACTATGATGAGGCACGAAAACTTTATCGAAACCAAACAGATTTTGTTTCTTAAAGGATATGCGATGATGACGGTGAAAATATGAACACAGATTAGAATCATTATAAATTTTTAGCTTAAATGTAGACGATTATATTTATAATAAAATCATAAATGTGCACAAAAATTTAGTAAATAAAAAAACAAAAATGTATTTTATCATGAGAATAAGCATTTTTTTTAAGTATATAATTTATTGAAACTTAAAACTGAGATCACAAATACTCGTAGTAAATTGGTTTCATTATTAATTATTGTAATAATATCAGTGGTGAACGCTGGGGGCGTTTGGGAATTTAACCCCATTGGAGTTTCTCCTACGTTCACCACTGTATATAAAGTAAATGTAAAAATAATATTTAAATATTTATGATAAAATAAATATACTCTGGCGAAATCCGGAAGAAAATAATATTATTATAAATACAATAATATGTTTTATATTCTTGCTATTATTATAATTGTGTACCTATGCCCATGCTTGAATTTTACCTGTTATTAACTATTTTACGCGGGACAACTTTATTTCTCACACCAAATTTGTAATTAAATTACCGAAATGACGTTACAGCTCATCAAAACGAACTTTATCTGTGTAAGTATTAACGTGCTTATTTTTTTTTGTTTTTGTTTTTTTTATTTACTTATTTATAGTAAATTATTAGGTAATGGCTACTATAAACACACAAAAAGTAAAGTTGTCCAACGAAAACCGGTATTTAGGTAAATGTTTTAATTTTATTACACATTAAATACTTGTATATTTATTGAAAACTTGAAAGGGAATATGAATATTTTGGGGTGATAAATTTCAATTTTTTTTTTTTTTAATTTCGCTAAAATTGTCTATACACGCAAGATTTAAATACAGCCGCATAGGCGCAATTAGGAGGTGCTAGGGGGTATTTAGCAGCCCCAAATCCAAAATTAGCACTTCCAAAAATCTCAGTCAGATTGTTCATAATAACAACTAAATATTTGATCCATGAATTTAATAATTAATGAGCAGAACTAAGTATATAGATTTCCTACAGATAATGCATGTGTGTATGAAAATAATGTTAAAATAGTCACGATAAATTTGTATATACAAAACTTTAAATGAAAGGTGTAGTTAACTATTGTTAGAGTCATGTAAAAGGCATTGTGGGGGCATAGCCTCCATGGGTGTTTGATGTGTTCATAATTTTAGCACCCCCATAGTTAGTGGTCTAATTGCACCTATGGGTCGTGTATAAAAACCTCCTAACTATTATAATTATAAATCTGAAAAAACTTTAAATTTTAAATCAACCAATTTCAAATGATAATTACCAATTATAGCTATAACTAAGACCCAAATTTGAATTTACTCATTGTGCCTTTACATACTTTCTCTGCACGTAAACATTGTAAAATATTTTAAATTTAACGTTTTGATTAGGTTATATAATGTGTTGACCTTAAATTAAAAATAAACATATAATATATTGGCACTTATAATACCCCTGGAAATCCTTATCTTATCCCATGATTGTCTTTACCCTCAATTGTTTCTTCTTTTGTGGTCACGTTTGAACTATTTGGTAGTTAAAATGTCCTTTCAAATAACACGTTTCATCACTTAACAATATTAATAATAAGGTTCGAAATTTCGAATATTTCATATTTTGTACTAAACAGTTTTTCAATAAATATTAAATACATTTTATACAATTATAATCGAATATATTTAACGACAAATATAAGATAAAAATATTAATATAAGTCACTACAACGAATAACTCAGAGCAAAATACAAGAAAATAGAATCGTTGGGCTGTTGGCAGAAGATAGGTATTGTGGCTGAAGAAAATTCTGAAATAGTATAATAGATATATTGACTGTAGCCGGTGTTTCCATGAGCTATTAGAGGTGATTATTTGAATACCTAGGTATTATGATTGGTGTAGGTGTAAGTAGGGAGAATAACAAATAAACTTAGGTACCTATTATACTACATAACTGGAATTTCTGAACTTAGGCTGTTAAATCAGATTTTTTTTTTAATTAATAAATTATAGTAATAGTTTAAATTTAAACAAAATGTAAAAATAGTTTTCGAACCTTAATATTAATTTCCTTATAGTCAAAAATTAATTAGACAATTAAATTTTTTTTTTTTTACTTAACTAAAACTAATTAATTAATATTTATAAATAAATTAAACACACGCACACATTTATATGGAAATTACAACTAAATTCAAAATATTTTGATAATCTGTTTACAAATCATAACAATACAAGGCAAATTGCAAAGTTCTTTAATTACTGTCTTATGGAAAAAATATATAATATTTTGTTAATTTTTTTACATGTATTAATTAAGTTGGTGAATAACGAATCACCAATTATATTCAATTTCTTGTGGTTTTAAATTACCACAAATTTACAAAAGAAATATCAGATATAATAGATAGATGGATAATATGAATAATTTTATCAGTTCAATTAGGTATTACATAATATTTAAATTATGATATGCTCTTGCATGTACTTTGCCCTGTATTATGTGTAAACAACCGAAATGTGAGAATACAAATAATTTTCAAGTAAAACAATACTCAAAATAGATTTAAAATGTAAAAATGTAAATAAAACCTAATAACGCATTTTACCAAACAATACATTTATTTACGGGGTTCATTCGAGTTCCAGATGGACATCCATATGCTTTGGCAAAATCATCTGAATTTGACAATGGTCCCCATACTCGTGTTGGTCCAGGTGAATGCACAGACGATCTGAATTTAGTCAGTGCATCTTCGGGTCGCATTGAACCACACCAGATTTGTGCATAATTTAAAAAAAACAGTTGGTCGTGTGTCATATCAATACCAGGAAGTAATGGTTCTTCCCCATGTTTGGTCACCCATTTCTTATAAGCCTGAAAAGTAATGTTTTCTTTTATATTTACAATACATACACTTTAAATTTATAAAATGAATGTTTTGCAAATGCTTTTATCAATTAGTAAATTAAAACTTGTCAATAATTGACAATATTTTATAAGTAAAACTATATAGCTATATAATATACGGTATATAAATATTTTTTTGAGGGATAATTTGATGACTATTTAATACGTACTAAATAATAATCACATTGTCTGGTCAAATATTTGATCAAGAGGTTTACCATAACGGTTAATGATTAATATTGTAATTTTCTAGTCAATACAAATAATATTGAGAAATATTATTAGAAATTATATTCTAATAATATTATTAGAAGTATCTGATTAATACTATATTAATTTAGGAAAATTCTATAATTGAGTAAGTTTATTAATTACCAATAAAGTGTTTGTCATTTAAAATCAATAAATATATACCCTAAATGATTGTTTAAGTCCACCATTATCAGCAATGTTTTCGCCTTGTGTCATGCGCCCATTGACATGTAGATTGACTTCTTGCATTTTGTACTTTGAATATTGATCTACCATACATTGTGCTTTTTCTCTGAACGTATTTATTGTTTCTGTATCCCACCACTCGATCATGTTACCATTTTTATCAAACTGTCGACCTACAAAATAATTGAATTATGTTAAAAAAGATTAATTAATTATTAAATGCATACACTTTATACAAATAATAGTCTGTAAGGATATTAATTACCTTTATCATCAAATCCATGAGTGATTTCATGACCAATTACTACGCCAATCCCACCGTAATTTAATGATTTAGGGAAATGTTGACTATAGAATAATGGTTGAAGAATACCAGCAGGAATAACTAATAAAAACAAATCAAAATAAAATACTAATTATAATAGACTATAACTACAATTACACCATTACCGATATGATTTTTATTTGGATTATAAAATGCATTAACTACGGCTGGTTCGGTTGACCATTTATCTTTATCAACAGGTTTTCTTAATACATCAATATTTTGATAAGCATCAAATTTCAGCACATTGAATACATTACGAATGAATTGATCTTCGGTCACATTCAACTACAGAAAACATTTTTATGCACTTACTATAATAAATAAAATTATTATTCTAAAACTGCTGAAATTTACCATAATATATTCTTTATCCAATTCATCAGCATTCGTTAATAATTCTGGGTACCCAATTCGTTCTTTCATGGCATCCGCTTTTGCTTTTGCCACTATTCTTGTTTGTTTGTCCATCCAATGGTTTTCATTTAGAAGTTCGTTGAATGCTTCTCGAATTGATTGTATCATATCCATAGCAGTTACCTTGTACAATAATAGAAAAATAATACTGTGAACTAGGATCTATTTTACTTTTTAGTGTTGCAAGTTATTTTATTATATTTTAGGGAACTTTTCTATTTTTAATTATAATTAATAATACATTTTCTTACTTTACTATCCAAACTGAAGTTATCTCTTATAAATAAGGCTCCAACTGCCATACCTAGTCGTTTGTTGGTCCAATCTACACAATCTCTCCATCTACTTCGTTCACTGAGAATTCCTAGCAATATTTTTTTAAAATCTAATCTTTTATACTGAAAATCATCAATCATGTGTGGAAGAATAGTGCTTTGAACTAATCTCCAAATGATGTAATTTTGAATAACCCTATTACAAGTAACAATATAATTGAAGTACAATATAATCGCATGTATTGTATTTTCTTTTAATAGATATAGATACCTTCTATCAGTATTATTTAAAAGTTGGCCCAATTCAATGAAATAATTCATGGCATAACTGACTATAGGTTCCTGATCTGATACTTTAAATTGCAAAATAGTGTTAAAATATAATGTCCAATTGAATTCTGGAACTTGATTTTGTAAATCGTTTAGTGAAAGTTTTAAATATGTCTCTGAAGTATCATGCCTATCAGTATCCGTTTGTGTAATCTTCAAGTTATATAATGTTATCAAAAAATTATACTAACAATGTAAAGTGAAATTGTTAAAATTTACTCACATTTGCCATTTTAATTTCAAATTCAATAATTTTTAATAGTTCCATGGGTGCTGTAGATTTATTAGCACCTAATAATATAGCTATTTCAGTCATATATTTATGATATGCTTGTAATGCTTCCATACTATTATTTTTAAGGAAATAATCTCTGCTGGGCAAACCCAATTGCATTTGATCCAACTAAATTGTAAAAAAAATATAAATTATAAATTACATTTTATAGTTAGTTATAATACTTAACTTCATGTTATATAATAACACCAAAAAAAAAAAAAAGCCAGCCTTATTTCGCACCATGGATAGGTTACTTCTGTGATAATTTAGTTTATATCAGAGTTTATATACAATGTGCAATGATATAATCATTGCAAACAAAAAACAATTCTGAACAAAATATTAGTTTTAGTTGTTTTTCCATTGTTGCTAAGGAATCCAGATATCAACAAACCTCAAAAAAAGACCTAAGAGGTAGACTGTTAATAACTTCAATAAATGAATTTTCAAATATAATACTTTAAATCAAAAAATTCCCATCTTTTGAGGAATGTGAAAAAATTGGAGCGTTTTTACTAACCAAAAAATGTTTTCAGAGTAAAAAATACACATCATTACAAAACTAATATAGTAACATTATAACTTCTTCATTTTACTCAGAATCTATCATTAATTTATTGTATAAGTTTTATATATTTAGTATTTTGTTAGCATAACCTAACATAGCGTAATCTTTACAACACTATCTACATATTATGATAGGTAAGATATTAGTTTTAACGAAATGCTGATTTTTAAATCCGTTTGTAAATTGGAATTTACTCCATATAAATAAATAAAATATACTATTATTATTGCTATTGTTTGAGTTCGTTGTTCTTACTGTTTAGATGCGACTACATTATAATGTCTTACTTTTTTCGCACCTGAAGGATGTTTACAGAAGAATTTTTATCATCTGGTCCAATCCATGATTCAATTATGATTCCTTCATTATATTCCCTTTTTAATCGGCCAAGTAGAACTTCAATACTATACTTAGGTGGTTTCCAGTCATTATCATTCCAAATCACTGGCCAGCCTCCAAATGAATTTAAAAGTTCGTGGATAGGTGTATCTCCAATGTGCCTGATTTGAGCTGTATTCGTATATTTGTTTAAATTAAATTAGTATAATCAAGCACGTAAACAATACTGTAATAGGTATACTTACAAATATTCATACACGATTTATAAAATAATTTTGCTTTTATTGTTGCTGAACTGTCAAATCGATTAATTGTTTCTTCTAGAAGACCTGAATAAAAATGGAACTATATAATAAAAAATGTTTTTATTATTATGTGAATATAATATTTAACCTTTTAAAATAACTTGTAATCGATCAGCAAGCACTTCAAATGTGTTAATACTGCTTTTATCTTCTGGAATTAAATGCTTTTTATCCCAAGTACCACAAGCAAATTGATAAAAGTCTTCACATGGGTCAGCATTTGGGTCCATAGCAGACAATAATGATGCAGCTATAAAATTATGAGCACCCATTGCGTAATAATATACATAAAGATACAATTATAATATTATACAAATAAATAAATATTTATAATTTATTTAAATAACAAGCTCCGAAAGTCCACTCTGCGAGCATGCAAAGTTCCCAGTTCCTAAACATATTTTAAGAAGTTTGGAATCGGTGAATTTCTGTCTTTGTTTACATACATGTAACAAATTAATTTAGACATGTTATATTTCCAAAGAAACAGTATTCATTGGTCTAGTGAAGCGATAATAATTCTCAAAACCGATTTGAATTTGTCTAGTCTATTTCAAATCGACTTTCTCACTTTTTAATTTCTTGTTTTAATTTCTCTTTTTATTAATTTTATGCCGCGTTTTTAATTTTACAGTATTATACAGGCTGTTCCTTGAATATTCTCGAAGATAATAAATAAATCAAATTCTGTTTTTTTTTTTATATACTACTCGCAGGGATGAGGACTACAAATTTTAACCTAACCGATGTTATCTAAGGAATAACCTAAATTACACAATAACATCGGTTTTCACACGAATTAGCAGAATTTAAAACGGCTGTTACTTAGAAACTATTCATCGGATATAAATGTGTGATACATTAAAATTTTCCGAAAATAATAAAATAAAGTTATTTTTTACTTTATTACTAAAAAAAAAATTAGTTCGAATATAAATATTTGTAGTCCTCATCCCTGTGAGTAGTATATAAAAAAAAAAACAGAATTTGATTATCTTTATTATTTCTAGAGATGTTCAAGAGGTATATCTTTGTAGGACAGCCTGTATGAGTAATATACTTCGATTTCCTAAAAAATGGGTGCAAGAAATTTAATTGACAGAAAAATTATACAATTGTTGGAAAAAGAATCTCCATCTAATTCGGAAAATGGCAGTCTGGTGACAAAAAATGTCAATATTGATAACGAAATTTAACTATTAATAAATATTTACACAGCGATAAATGGACCTTTAATTTAACTCTTGATAAACTACATTTTTATCAACAGATAAAATTTAAAACGTGGTTGGTGCAATAGAATTTAGTTTAACTACAGATAAACGAGTTTATATCTCTGTGTAAATAGTTGATGCAACCCGGCATTAATATTGAAAAAAATATTAAAAGACTAGTTTCTTTTAATGATATAATATTAGTATATATTGTATTTTATGTTTAAACGTATACTTATTTAAATTTATAGTAGATATTATATGTTTACTTTACATAATATTATATATTTATATGGATAATATAATAAAAATAGATAACTTATAATATATAATGAGATATTGTAATATATATTTGGAAAAAGTAATTATGTTTTAATTACCTGTTTTAACGCATTCTTCCTTCATACATATGTTGGATCCTATATTTCTGAACCAACTACCTAAAATAATTGAAAAATAATAACCAAAAAATTAATTACAAATAATATTTAAATAAAAATTAGTGCAGGACAATGTCATTGTTATTTATTATAATCGATTAACAGCACATAAATAGTGTCAAGGTTAATTCAAAACCGGTTGATGTCGTATAGGCATTTTTAATGACTAAAAGTTGTACAAGTTGTATTATGAAAGATTTTGACAAATAATGGTTACATTGTGTACTTCATTATAATCTATTGCTATTTTTACAATTGTCAACATTGTATGTTGTGATTTAATACTTCAAAGGTAGGTATGTAACCTTATGTGCTATTTGTGGTTATGCTTTGATTGTATTTTAATATAGCCTAGACATTTTTGACACTGGATGCAAGGTTTTTAGATGTCTTTTATAGAAATATATTATAAGTAGGCACGAATCGGCAGATTTATAATGTTTAACGTTAAATTAAAGCTGAAGGTTATTTTATTTACTTCCGTTAAAATAATCCAAAGGCAAAAAAAAGTAACGGCTATTATTTTATTGTTAGGTGTTAGGTATATTTGTTTTATGAAGAAATAACTCTTAACAAGAGTTAAGAGTTGCGGGTTTTGTAGTTTTATGTTTAAAAGGATTATCAAACTAGGGACGCAATTTTAAGCAGACTTGTTTAAATCAATTTTTGAAGGACCATGAGGACGTTTAAGCATAACTGCTAAAAAATTGTTTTTTCATATGACCTAACCAAATGTATTAAAGAATACGTCTTAATATATCTTATATATTCATACAATTATATTACAATATGTAAGTTTAAATAGTAGTTATAAATAGTACCTATAATGATGTAGCGGAATAACCAGGATTTATCACTGGAGGAGGTTTAGGGATCTACAACCTTTTTAACCTTATCTATAGCTTCACAAAATAAATATACACCCAAACCCACCCTGTCTACACCACTGATGATGATAAAATAATAAATAATAATATTATTACCTTTATGGTATTTAATATGTTGTGTTAGTGCTAATAGTGTGAATGCGGTTTCTATATTGTTATTGTAGTGCCCGATTTACTTTCACTTAACTTTGTCTTTTCAACCGTATAATTTTGAGCTAACATTGGATAATTTTAGAACAGATATCCAGTCACAATATTTAGCTATGATGGATTTAAATAATTCATGTTTAAAAATAAATGTTCAAAAGTTTATTAATATAAAATGGTGTATTAGGTGTAAAAAACGTTGAATAAAAACATTTTCATAGCTCGGTTAAACAAACAAGGTAGGTATATCTGGTTAAGTTGATCGAGTGTCATTTCGATGTTTTTCTATTAAAATAGTGGCAGATGTAATAAAAATTAAATATAAAAACCTACGTTTATTATTATTACGCATGTAATCGTAATATTAAAACTTCTATCAATACAAAAATGTATACTATTATGATATATTATCTATACCATTGTTCCCTATCTTAACTATACCTGTGTAAGGGGATGCAGCAGCGTGAGACTAGCTCGCATCCTCCCCAACGAGTGTATTGTTTGTAAGTGTATTGTCGTACTTATTGTTGTTATGTGCGATAAATGATGACAACAGTGGGGAAGTATTGTTAAAACAGATACAACACTGCTGTCGGTTAAAATTAAAACTGGAAAAAATATATATTCATATATATATATACGTAGGTTAGGTTATATACATATATATATATATAGGTATATCTATATCGAAATTATAAATAACCATCACAGTTTCCCATGTCCATCACCACACAACACGTTAGTACGTTATACATGCACGCAGACAGTTGGTGCATACCTGGCTATAGAGTGTGGTAAATTCGTAATAATACAAAGACGTTTTCGTATAACAATTATAATGTAAGTAACGTTTTTTATTAAAATATTGAATCAAAATGTAATACAATTATACGAATAGCGAAATAGACATATTAATATAACGGTAGGTACTCTTTAATGCACACGATTAAGTCATTTGAAACAATTAAGTTATTTTATGTTAACACAAACGGAGAAAAGTCTACCTTATATTATAGAAAAATCGAATTCATGACGTTATACGTGATGTTAAAAATTCCAGTATTCAGTTAACAAAGAGTCACCAACAAATTTTAGTGGTATTAATTTATTCGTCATATTATGTAAGTATTTTAGTTCAAGCCAAATTACATGTTTTGGATTAGATAATCCTTTTAACGTTTGAAGACAGATAAATTGGTTTATAATCAATTAAAATTTAAGAATCTATAATCATGCAAGCTTTCTATTGAATAACGTTTAAATATGAGGCACTCACCATATCAAACGAGTAATGTAAATCCAATTTATAACCGAGAATGGTATGTTCCATTTAAATATCAGAGGAATTTATAATTATTATTTTTTTTTTTAGTTTAGGTATTTAAAACATAAACTAAAACCTATTAATATCATTAACGGGGAACCCATACTGCGTTCCATGTTGGTATTTTTTCAGAATTAAAAATTATGTCTTGGGATAAAACAACTGTAAATAATCGAATAAATGTCGATTAGATTTTACAATTTTTAATAGAAATTTTATTTACGCGTCGTTGTGAATTTGTGAACTATTCATATATTATTTTGACATGCACTTTTATTCGTCAACACATCGGCACTCTGTTTTGCCTTTTCCTTAGTACTTTGCATCCTTACTTAGTTACTTCTTATCTATTGCTTATTTAACATTTCGTCCTTTACCAAGTATCCACGATAGGAAAACCACTGTTATATTTTTATAATTTCCACAATTATTGCGCAACGGAATACCTACCTAATTATTTGTAATAATCTATATAATTACTAACCTTTACAGTTTTGCACTTTTATTCCAAATATACATTCTATTTGGACGAAAAAATACACCACCGAGACGAGTAATGTGAAACATACGATTAGACACATGAAGAGTCCAAGTTTTTTAGTAGTGGTCTCGGGAACCAATATCCGATAACACTTGGAGCGCGTGGGCATTTCGAGAGGGCTAACGTCACGAATGTGTAATTTGCTTTTGGATGATTGCTCGTTGGTTGATGAAATCCGCACATCGGGTATAAGTTGTGTTTGGTACTGTCGCCCGAAATATCCATTATTTGTAGTTTCGGTGTCTTTGATGTTTCCAGTCTCTAAATCGTCATTATACGTTTGTCTAAGCGGGGATTCTTCATTGCAGCACGCCGGAGTTGCAGAGGAATTATTATTCATAAACATGATTTTCGAATTTAAATAACTCCAATTTCATAACTCATCCAACTATGAACGGTTTTACTTAAAATAATATACATTTTAACTGTTTTTGTAATGTTCATAATCTTCATAAATAGTTATCTGAAAATAACGATACCATCATGTTTATTACATCGATTTCTTAATAATGTTTAAATAGTTTTTAAAAAATCGTTTTATATAGAAGAACTCGAAATAATTATTTGCACTATAAAAAAAAAAAAAAAAAATAGTAAATGTTTTTAAAATAAAATGTTAAAATACGTCTGAATCAGTAGACTAAAATTTCAAACACATGCCCGTTTAGATGATTGATACATGTACCATACGTTAAAAAAATACATACTAAAACATTACAAATAAATTAAGCAAGTATAAATATTTAGAATCGTTTGTATGATTTTATGTATTAATATTCATACAATTTAATTTCATGTACGCTATGTTAATTATCTTTCTTAATTATCCAATACACGAGTAAATTATACCTGTGCATTAAAAATATACTAATAAGTTCTTTTCAGTATGTTTAGTAGGTATATCTAGGTCATACAAAGACAAAATTTCCAGAAATAAATTAATTTAATATTAATAATAATAATTTATTTTTGTATCTATAAGAGTATTTAATGTAAAATATCTTCAGTGAATTTATTAAAAATGTATCAACATTATTTTACTAAAAATGATAATTTATACTGGAAAAAATTATAAGATTATTTACAATAATTTACAATTTATATATCCCCACTTCACATACATTAATACATTAGTACTAGGTATATTACTTCGGTAGGATAATGCCCTCCAACAAATATACCTAAGTCAAAATTTATTTCTATAATGTGAATTCAGAAAATTACATTTTTAATTAAGAATTGAACTATTTATTAATTTTTATATTTTTACGGAGCAATAAAATCCTGTAAAATATGTCAAAATATAAATCGAATCATTAAAAATGTTTAAAACAAATATTAATTATGTAGTTTTACATATTATAGGCATTTTATAAGCATATTTAATAATGAACATAATCTGATAAAAATGAATTAAATAATAAATAAGATTGTATTTTTCTAAACCAAACTTATATTTCAGTATAGCTATAGCCATGTGTATGTTTCAGGATAGACTGTGTTATTAAAATTAAAACGTAAACGTAAACTGCCATATGACACCAACAATTAAACAAAATAGTAATATTTGTAAGTTAAAATATATTACAGATACGTTGAACTATGTAAGTTTTAAAAATAATGTAAATAAATTACAATTTATTTGGTTAACATAATATAGTGTGATAAATTTGTCAATTTGTTATTCACGCTTTTTAATAGGATTGCATATTTTTAATAAATTACATGCATGTTGTATTAAATTAAATTATATTATTACCGAAGTTTACAAAACTCACCGTACTGTCACGATACTTTCAAAATGCACGCAATGTCATAAATAATCCACCAAGCAATTTAAACTTTTTTAATTTCCTATAGAAAAATTTTAAATAATTATAATTTATATATCCTCTGTGAGTAAGTAACTGTCAGGAACTCAAAACTACACTATAACTGTTGTAAAGGCACAGACTACTTTATATACTAGTGGACTTGGAAAACAACACAATACTATACCTAAGTACATTATCATTCGACAACCTTCGACTACTTTCGCCACAGGCGCACGCTTCCTTTTTCGCGCTGATTCTCTCTCACGGGTGCCAATCAATGCTTAATTTTCTTGAAAACACATTATTTTTAATATTCTTTCACAATAAACTTTTTATTGTTTGCAAGGAATGTACTTATCATAAGAATATTCTTGATGATTAGATTTATAAAATTGTATATTCGTGATTTCACTGTTTATATTTGAAAAATGCACATAACACACCGAAAAACAAACAAAACAAACACTACCTCGTCAAATAATGGGCGTTTTACAAACATTTTAAACAGGTAGTATCTAAAAAATGAGACAGGGTAGGATGCTACACTGTGGTCCGGCGAAAAGGTTATGCAATCAATAAACACAAAAGGACCTACGTATGTAGTTTCGTTGTATGAACATAGATGGTGCTAAAATATATATTTGGCAAAATATGTTGGGTTTTAATGTTTCATTGAATGTGAATAACCTACCACTATATAATATTTTAGATCTTAAGCGCAACGAAGAATGTATTTGTTTTATTATGATAAATATTTGTTTTCAATGCTAAGCAAAGAGAAGAATATTATAGTTTTACTATAATATTGTGAACAATATTATACCAACTATAACATTACTTATAACTATTATATGCGATTTTTTTTATCTGTGAATAACTAATCTATCAAAAATCTTCCTTTTTATAGATTTTTTTATCTAGTTAATGTATTGAAGAGGTAATATTTTAATTTTCCAAGTAATTTTCATAATAATTGAGAAAAACGATAAATTTTACGGCATTAACAATTCCTTAATTTTCGATTTTTTTTTTGTTATAATTCGGTGAAAAAATAATTGTATAGACCTGTAATTTGTATAGAATTCTTATATTAGCCTTTTCTAGGCGTGGCACAATTTCAAACAATCTGTCTATTATTGAGTTATTTAAAGGTAGATATTTAACATTTTCGAGTTTTTTAGTTTTTATGGAGATAATTGTTTGGCCAAATAGAAATGTTTGATCATTTAATACGAGATTCGTTATAAGTTCTACTTAGTGGTCAAAAAAAAGGTTGAACTTAATTTAATAGTTTTTTTTATTTTTATTTAATTTTAATTTTATAGTTTAAATTAAAATTTGAAGAAAATCGTAAAAACTACGACGTTTTAAAACATTTATACCCGAGCTTTAATTAAAATCGTATTGTGTTAGCTTGTGCTTTATAAGCAATGATTTATTGTTGCATACAGATATAAATTAATCTATGTATCCTTCCCGACATTCCACCAACAATAGTAGCACAAACATTGTTTTTTATTAACTATAAATGTATGTATGACCTAATTATTTGTTATTTATACAATATTTATTAATACAAAATTAATTAATTAAGCTAATTATACCATTAGAGATAGTGAACGTATAGTACGCGTGATATGTTAATCAAATTTTTATGACACGTAAAAAAATAAACTTCTTGAAATTAAAAAAATATTAATAATTCTAATAATATGTGAATGATATAAAATAAAATTATTAGTACGAGAAAATTTTGAAAAAATATTTGGATAACCTACATTTTTAATAATTATTAATTATGATCAAATTATTACAGAAATCGAGTATAAATATTTATTATTTACTATTTAGGTATTATTGTTTACGATATACACGACTTAAAACAATTATTATAATGAGTTTAGTACATATTTATATAAAAACTTAAATGAGACAAATAGAATTTAACAGTCTTCAAGAAATCGAAATGAAATAACTATAAATGAGATTTTTTTTTTTGTTAGTAAAACAAGCTTTTTTAGAATTATATTGAATGTATGAAAAAATAAAATAAAAATAATTTTAGTTAAATTAATGAAAGCTTGTAAAATTCAAGTAGGTTTGATATTTTGAAAGTCTGGAATTCATTTTCAGATATATTTGGTAAGTATATAAGTAAATAAGTCCATACTTTCAATTTTTTCGGTGTATCACTACATTTATAAATGTTTATTCTTCACAATTATTTTGATCAAAACAAAGCAAAAAAAAAAAATGCATTGACTTAATGATTTATATTAGAAACCGTAAAGGGTACGTAAAGGACTATATCTGAGTTCCCTTATCTGTTAACAGCGTTAAAATTTTCTACGCACATTATACTTACAAATTCATGACTCAAATGAAGATTTATTTTTGAAATATTATCATTTTAAGTTTGTCAAAAATTCAAGTGTATTCAAGTTCAATAGTAATCTGTTTGTATCTACGTGCTTAATAAAAAATGTTAATCGGATTTTAAATAGTGAAGTCACCCTGTTAGTTGTCCTAATATTAAATCCTTTATCGACTTAAAAACCAGAGACAAAAATCACACTTATAACATTTTAGCAAATATGATTCATATTTTGCACCTAATTTTAAGTATTATAGATTATTTCTAAAATAAATGTGT